GCGTGGGCGTGGGCGTGGTTGAGTGGGCGTGGGGGCTCAAACAGGGGTGGCGTAACATGGGGGACACCAACAGGGACAAGGACCCTTATCTACAGGGAGATGACGGACATGCAAAAGAAAACCGCGCTATTGCATGCAGGACAGAACAGGGAAAGGATGCGCTACTACCGCTCTTCGTCCAATCAGCATGTCGAGAGGCGCTTGGACCAGATGCACAAGCGATCTGTGTGTTTGCAGAAGCGAATGCGTACCCCGGTCTATGCTTGGCTTTTGCGGAGAACAAAAGGAAAATATGGTTCGTGAGTCGTGAGACATGAGATTGCGCAAAGGGAATCCCGCTAAGATCATTTGAGTGCGTGAGTGAGTGAACATCTTCTTGAGATATGAGGAAAGTCAGGTGGCCGAGGTCACTCTACTATAGGTGAGACAGCATTAGCCCGCCATGCCATGTGGCCTTGAAGATCAAGTACTTCGTACGAAGTATCTTCAGACTTCGATGATTCATCTCCTGGTTGGTCCTGGTGGTCACTGATCATGTGCATTACCATCACGAAGCCTTCAGACTTCCTTTTTCCCATCTCAGCCATGACGGCGCTTGTTGCGGATGTACTCCAAAAATTATGGATCTCTCAGGGATCAAATCTCGATAAGGTGCGACTACAGCATCTAACATCGAGTAGCGTCTTCGGTGTTCGGCGGCGGGCCGTACAGTAGAATGCTCTAGCATACAGTATGGAGGACCTCAGTAGTATAGAGATATCGTATACGGAGGATTAAGCGTGGGTCTTGCTCTCAAAGGCCATTCATTACTGTATTGATTGTACGGATATTTGCGGTAAATGCTCCTCAATGATTACAGTAACGACTCTCAAAGATACACAGATTAGATCAAGTCAACTGAACTCTTTCATTCTGGAAGTGGCGCAGCGCTGCGCTGCTTATGATAGATAATATGGCTAATTCTGAGCGATTACATTTCCTCGTGGAGATATCGAGCAATGGCTCGAGACAGCATAAGGTGCTCGAGGAAATCGACACGAGCTGAAAAATTGCTCACAGGACAGCCGAAACCGAAGAGAGCTGAGACTTCCTCTTTGTCTCCACCACTATCTTCAGATCGCTGTTCTCAATTATTGGTGGTGGACCGACTACTGACGAAACCCCCACGTACTCCACAGATGGGAAAGAGATCACCGACTTGGAATGTTTGAAGCCACTGAGCCAGCCGCCTCAAATACAGTAACGATGACAACATCGACGCATAAAGGTACACATGTGTATCTTGTAGTAGACGTTGATTTAGCCTCTAGGCCGAGAGACCGGTTACTGCCGACAAATGGCTCGTATCGGGACAGTGAACCTACGGCGGCAACCCCCAGGTGCTATTTATATTGAACTGTTTTATCCAGTAGATTGCAACTATTCGTATTGATAAGGTGAAATACGGAATACATGGAAAGGATGGCGCAATGTTGATGTTTTGACGTTCAAATCGAGACCAACTTGCAGTTTGTAGCCTGTTGCCACGTGTTGGGGTAAATGCAGTAGAAATATACTTACCATGATGATATCTTGTGAATACCTTCAGACTGATAACTGTCTCAGCTGCAGCAGATCCCTCCACAGACGCTGTGGCCCTATGCTGGCAGGTTGATTGCTTCTCCACAAAGATACGGGATGATACTGTATGAAGCTTTAGCATGGGGTCAGGCAATAAACGTTTCGAAGAGGTATCTGTCAATAGTTCGTTATTATTGATCTTTGCCGCCGCTGTCGTTTTATTTCCGGTACTGAGGGAGATCCTGCAGACCTCAAAGCCGTGCCGCAAGCACGTTGCACGAAATAGATGAAGGAAGGGTCTGATCGCAAGATAAACGCGCAGAACTAGAACTAAAAGAGCTGGTTGAGGATCATTGAAATTGCGTCTCCTGGTTCGATAGCTCAGACGCTTGTACTCGATCAGCAGTTGGTCACTAGAGCCGCGCGCTCTTCAAGACCGATCGATCTACCGAGCCTTCGCATGGAAACGTCTGAAGAGGCTCGTACGTTGTGCCACTGTTGATTTTTGACGTGCCAGACACCAGGTTCAGTCCAAGGTCAGCTAATCGGTGCCTGCATACAGGAGCCGTCTACCCGCTGTTGCAGCTCGCCCTAGGCAGTACAGTACAGTAGGTACAGTGCGAGAGTTTTCTTGGAAGACGAGATATCTATCACGAGTATTGGCTGTCCCAAGCACGGCAAACCAAATTAAAAGATGGCATGCGCTTACCTCCGTATGGATATCATCCAATTGAAGTACCACATCAGCAACCCCTCACGATGCGGGCAACAGCGATAGTAGTAGTGAGTGTCACGATGTAAATGATGAGGGGAACATGATGCTGCAGCCAGCTCCAAATGGAGCGTAGTATGCAAATCATATGGGGGGGGGGGGGAAGTGGGCTCCAGCCAATGAAAGTGGCCACGCTGCTCATGCTGCCAAAAGGCAATCTGGTTAGGCAGTTTCTCGTGACCAGTCACAGGCAAGACACGGAGAGAGCGCTGAGAGGTGGCCTTTATTCTTCATGCCACTTTAACAAGGCAGATGAGACCTTCAGTGAGGCACCCGTCAAGACAGATTTTGAATGCGTCTCAGCTGGCAAGGCAAGGCAAGTAAAGGCAGGGGGCGGCCGGGCAGCAGCTAAGCCCTTTGAGCGCATAAAGTTGCAGAGGGCATCTTGTATTCTGAACTGTTCGCCTGAAGCAAAGAGTTTGAAAATTGCATAAATCATAACTCTTGGTATCTTTACGGAGTAAACTTTATATCCGATGCTCTTCAGTTTAGAACAATCTCAAACCACTTCTGGGCGCTTGGTGAACCCTTGCTCTTGTCGCAGAATCGCCCCTGCCCCATATTATAGGAAGGGGAAGCAGCGGCAACAGCTAGGAATAACATTTGGGGAGATCCTTGCGGGAATGGAGGAGAAAAAGGTCGGCGGTCGTCATTTGGTAGGGATAATTAGCGTCTTTTCCCGATAATCCTAGTAGCGTCACCACTCGACGGCGCCACCTGGTGTTTTCCCGCTTCTTCTGGCATTCCAGGACTCCACAGGGTCCACAGGCGAGCAATGCGCTGCAAAGACTCCAAAGAGACAGCGACGCCCTGTACCTCAGGCAGGTGTGTCCATACAGACAGGCTACAGGCTACGAATACAGGCAGCGCTGCACGCTGCAATGCAAAATCCCCGCTGGTGCAGTCTTCCTACAGTAGCCGTATCCTGTCCGGTCCACTTCAAAACACATCCCACGTCGCCGCTTGAAGCGTGCAGGAACAATGTGGACAGTCGCCAGTAACAACAGAGAGAGCAACGCAGTTGCGCAGTTGAGTTATGCGTGATGGACTCGGCGTGCGTGCTTTGCTTTGCTGGAGGCTTCATATTTCATACCGGTTACTCTAGGCACAGCTTCTCATTCATTCGTTCCATCAGAAGCCCAAGGAGACAAACATAATCTTTCTCTTCGAATCAGAAGCCGAAGGGGCATAAAATCTCAGTTGCGGCCACCACCATCCAATAGAAGGAATACACCACACCATGTTGGGCCCCCTGGCGGCATCCTGCTTGCTGAAATTTCGATTTGTTTTTGGTGGCCGCCCCAAGCCGCTCATCGCCTAGCCCCAACACCCCATCAGCGCATGCCTCCCTGCTGACAGAATGCAAGTCTATACGCTTGCTCTGAACAAGTTTAGCGCATATTGGGAAAAAGACCATGCCTGCACTTGCTGCGGGACCAAGCCATACGCAGGTTCACGCCATCATGAGTATATGGTTCAACCTCCTCCTCCCTCAAGCTTCACTTTTGAGCTGCTAGACCATAACATCTACCCCACTTTGTCTTCTTCACACATTATCCTTCAAGAAGTGGAGTGGCATCATTATCACTATTATCGCCTCACATTTAAACAAGACTACAAGACTTCCAAACTTCTCCAGCATCACACTATTTGCTCCATAATTTGTGCATTGTCCAAAAGCGTAGCCGCTTCACACAATTCTTCCCTCCCACCAGGCTCCACCTGTTGAGTCACACCATCATCGAAATTCCGTACACAACACAATTGCACAAACAAACCCAGCCGAATCGGAACCTTTTAAGAAGCTTCATCCGCCTTCGAAAACTTCCCCAAGAGAACATTTCCACGCTCTACAGCAACAAACCAATAACTACAACTACCCACCATGACTAGTGATATGGAATGGTCCCCAGATTTCTGTCTTGCTTGTGACAAGCAAACAGATGGCAGAGTATATTGCTCGGAATCCTGTCGTCTTGCGGAGTACTAGGTAGCATCGTCGAATGCAGGTTCAACAGCATCCTCCCCGACTTCCCCTCGAGGCCCCTTCTCGTGGCCAACCAGAAGGCCGTCGAATACTGCCTTCTACCTCGAACCAGCCTACAACTTTGGCAATGCACAACCCTATGGTACAACTTCTTCACCACAATCCTCCACCTTCTACCAGCCATCGAGGCCACAAACATCACCTGTACCCTTCACCTCAAGGTCTGCTTTGACGCCTTCGAGCTCCCAGTCCAGCCTCTTTTCTCTCCAAAGCTCAACATCTTCTATGACTTCGGAACCAAGTCAGCTCTCCGATGAGTCAAAGAAGGCTCTAAGGGCATACGCAAGCTCGTTCGATCAGTCACGAAATTCAAGGCGACAATCGACCCACTAGAGCATTTCACACTCAATATTCTACTCGACCTGGGACGTCTCCCTCATCGGCTTTTAATACATGATTTCCTATTCACATTTCCGAACCTCAGCATCCTTCGGCGTTTTTTTCTCAGACATCTCCCTCGGTACAATAAATACCCATACCTCCTCTCACATCCTATTAGGATCGGCGTTCTATCACAATTTACGAAACATGGTGGTTGTACAAAAAGCATTTTACGGAGCATCACATCTCATCTGTCCTTGGGTATAAAAAATTGTTGGGTGTATAGCATTGGAGCATCGGGACAGGAGCAACAGTCACTACTTTGCAATAAGAAAAATTGGTTTCATTTGTACTCGGGCATTTTCAGCATGGAAGGGGATAGGAATCATACCCCAGGAGCGAGGCATCAGGAGCACATTGCAGGATTAGGGGTACCGCTACAACACACTTGTTTTGGTGTTCTGGCTCAAAGGAGCTTCAGTGTTGTCAACAATAGTGGTTCTACAGAAGATTTTGCACGTTGTTAACACCGGTCCTCACTTGTCCTTGTTGTTCAGGGCCTGACTCGGTTATTAGTAACACGAGCTTAGTATAGCAATGAAACAAAGCCCGTCATAAATTGACAGGGCTTGAGTTCTCAACTCAAACATCCTCCCTTCATCTTATGTGATCACGTTATCACCAACTCCAATATCATCGTGACTTCTCCACCATTGGTTCCACCACTCCCGCTGGCCACGTTTAAACTTTGGCACTATATTGTTTTAACTTAACTAACCTACGTGGTAAACAAATACACTTCAGGAAAATTGAAGCGGGAAAACACGTAAGTAGTATGATCCAGGACAAGCTGTCACCTAGCGCTACAAGACTAAGAAACCTTATCTCAGAACGTCCTATAACTAGAAGACGCCCAAAAGTCAAATGGGATGGGCAGTCCGGAGGACGCCTCCTCCTGCGCGCTCATTGATCGTTAAAACCTACCTACCTTGGGGTTGAAAGTCTAGACTACCTACCTTACTCTAAGGGTTTCATCATGGTTGAAACCTTCCGATGTCACTGAACCGGTACATAGTGTAGTCCCGATGATCCGGCTTATGGGTGTGGTTAAGGGGAAAGTTTAAATAGAATAGTATACTCCGTAGTACCCGATTCAATGTGGATCATAGGTACAGGACTACGACTTAGTGCTCTTTCTAGAAAGGATCGCAACATTGAAGTTTATTCCATAGGTACAGTTGGTAGGTATTTGTCATTCAATGCAATGAAATAAAATTAATGTACTGCAATCAAATCAATTAATTATTCGCTATGCAATAGGTAGGTAGGTAGGTAGGTATTCCAATCAATTAATCAATGAGCACCTAGGTATACCATACCTTAGCAATTATAGCTCTAGCTATAGCTATAGATCCCAAAACTTGGCAGAATGGTATAAGTCAATCTCGTCATAACCTAGGTAGTCTAGTGCCACTCATCCATCAACGAAAGAAAAGCCATCATACCAGGTGTCGGAAAAAGGCTGCCAGGATAATGCCTCGATATATTGTTGAGCCCCGAGTCCCGACCCGACACCTGGATTCTGACTTTTCAGATGACGAAAACGTACACACGCATACATACAAGGACGAACCCGTCCCGTCAAGAAATTCAACAAGTCGTGTCTCATGCTCATGCCGGCAGGCTTGTTTACGTTCCTTTAACCACTCTAATGCATATTTCATGGACAACGATAGACTATTGACGCATAGAATTCTACAAAGTAAATTTGCTATTATTGTAATCCCTGAGACATTCCGTTTCAAGAGTAAAGCTTCCTTCCTTCCTGGTTGAATCAAAATACTCGGTCTGTTTAGGGTCAATGCACCAGGGAGGGATGGGATTTACCGGCCCTTCCCGCTGTTCCTTGCTGCAGGGCTGAACCAAAACACTGAAAGAGGAGAGGTCTAGCCCCCAAGCTGAGCTGAAGTGAAAGAATTTTCGCTTCCATTGACTTGCAAAGTCTACTCCGGAATTCCTTATGGCCTAAGCGAAAGAATGATGGTCAGAACTAGACCTGAGCAAATATTATCAGGGTATCACTAGTATGCTATGGGATCGGGATTCAGATGCGATGCTGCATTGCACTGCACCCTCGGGCGTAGTAGTAAGGTACGTACGGTACGGAGTATTGGTTGTGGGCGTTACACGTTTCTACCTCTGAAATATGGATAATCGCGGAAAGGCTAGGAATGTACCCGAGTTTCACCTTACCTGACCTTACTTTACAAGTACCGTATTCTTATTGTTGTTTACCTAGATGGGACAGAAACTACTTTGTAAAGTCACGCCGTCTTTCCGTTTTGTGAGCTGATGTATTTTGGGGAAAACTTTCTCATTCGTTGGACTTTGTGCGGCTTGCCTGTCTTTCATTCCACGTGTCGTGGCTTCGTCGGTGTAAGGTAATGTCATGTAATGGGTCACCGAGATTTTTTTGGTTTGGTTGCGCAAGCATTTCCTACCTTGCCTTGCCTCGTACAATGTTGAATGTATGACTGATGGCTGGCTGCTGCTGTGGCCCACTGGCGCCTGGAGTCAAAGTGTGTGTCACCTCGCCTTGTTTTGCTAGGAAAGTCTCTTCTCCACTTCGGCAGCAGAAGGACTGCGGCTGCTTTAGCTCACCGAGTCAATAGGTAAGCTGTTGAGAATGTCTGTGTTTCGTTGTTGTTGTTGTTGTCGTTCTTGATTGTTTAAACGAAATTTTATGCGATGCCGTCAGCCTTTGATAGGCCCGGCCAGCAAACCCCAGGAGGCGGCATAAGGGAGCCTCATGCCGTTCCAACCTTCATTTTTAGTGCCTTTGTTTTCTTTGGCGCTAGTTATTTCTCCAGAGATTTCTAATTTGGTGATGATTTTTTGTTGTGTTCTCAGGCACGCCTGGTGGCCCAATCGCTTTGATTCCGCGGCAAAAGAAAGTGACAGCTGTTGTGCCACATGCTTTGTACAACACCACTCCGAGCCTTAGCCATCAAGGTATTTGTGTGTTACCTTCTCGGAGATGGCTGAAGATCCCCTTTCTCTGCTTATGGATATCTTGTAATGCTAGTCTGGCATGACTGTGGTGTGTGATATATTACTTTACATATATTCTCTCAATTACTAGTCACGCTGTATGACATATTGCAGCTGTCAGGCTCGGATCGCTTTGGAAAGGTTTTCCATTGTCACTATATGCACACTTATGAAAACACGCTTCATATGCCAGCCATGATTTCTTTACAACGCACCATCAATGTCTTCCGATTCCTAAGCCGCGTTGAATATTCTCTTCGGTATTTACCGCACTGTATTCCCCATCTGAAACCTCATATGCATGTATTATCGAACACGTGGAATTTGCATACTCGGTGTACCACAGCCTGATGAAGTCCAGGGCATGGAGATCTCAATCTCCACACATGTCTCATTGGCCGCGGAGGTATCTCCGGGGGAGGACAGGGCAGAAAAGTACTCCATGCTTCACGTGAGCATAACGCAGTCACTGACCTTTTTGTATTCCCGGGACACTGCATGTAACACCACGTTAGCAAACACATTCAACGTCGAGACTTGTTTCTCCGTTGCAAACCGCTAGCTAGTGCCGCCACTGCCTGAGGTAAGGAAGTGATACTGCGTCGTGCACGTGTTGCGTTGTTTCATGAAATTGGACTATTGAATCTCCCTGCTTCGGGAGCCTGCAGGAGAGTGACCCAAGGGACTGTTCCCCACGGAAAGCAACTTTTCTTTGGGTATTATTAGTCACCGACGGCAAGGGATACTTGTAGTACATTCCTTATTCCTTTTCTTCTTCGAGGACAAGTCAGTGCTGCTCTAAGATTTTATTTTTACTTGTACCCTCTGGCGAGTGCCACGTGAATGCGGGGCCTGGCTATGTCTGTCTGTACCAGCAAACTGAAAGCAAATAAGAGTAAGCAAAGAGCGGTGGAGGCGGAGTGAGCTTTGTGTGCTCGTGATCATGCCGCTGAAGATGCTTCCCGAGACTCGGACGTTGCACCACGAGGTTGTGAATCGTGATATTGTCATAAATTGAATGCAAGATTTCCCCCGGACTCTTTAGACGTTTTACACGATTTGAGACAAGCTACATGGTAAGTTCTACCGGATCCTTTAATTTCCTTGTGGTACACAAGATCGGCTAAAATCAAAAGGCATTGGTATACCTTCAACCCTGAGGTCGAGAAGTCCATTTTTCTAGTCTGAATGAGGTGTTGCGTACATGTTGACGGATGCCACGGGACATTTATTTCCAAGGTAGATATAAACCGGTTGCTGTACCCGCAAACGATGCATTCTGAATGTTGTGCTCCCCTCTTTACTGGCTTTACTTGCTGATAGTCTTCGGCTGCAGGAGATGTGCGAATAAAGCCCCAGTTAGGGAGAATTGGCATGCCGAGGAAAACTATCTCGTCTCTAGTGGCATGAGAGTAGAAGATGCCGGCGCACCTGTATGTAAGATGAACCATATTCCTGTTTTGTACCATAAGAAGGTCAAACAATCGATATTGGTGTTCCCCACCAGCTTCGTCGGAATTTTACGAGGCTTCCAAAAGAGGGGTTTGCAGTGGAACTTTGTTTACGTTCGCCTTATTTTTTTTTAGCTACCTAGCAATTTGTAGTTTCATATCTATCTGGGTGTACCAAGTACGCATTTCAGCGCGCGGTCAAGACTCATAGGCCTCAGAAATTGGAGATGGAGTACTTACGTTTGGGATTTCTGTTGGTGAGTTTAGAGGCTGTGATTGGCGTTGGGAGTGGGATTGAGAATGTAGGTAGTTGAAATAGTCTCCCAGAAGGATTAAATGAAATTGATCTTAAAGCTACTCAGTCTTTGACTTTCAAAGTTCTTCGACTTTCAAAGTTGGGTCTATAGATCATAAAGTTTCAAAATACCTAGCTATGGATAGACTGTTACAGACAAATATACTGCACAATAAAAAATGGGTGATTCAGAGCCGGTCTATGCAAATATTAATGCCCAGACTACTTTGCAGCAGCCCTATTTTCCTTAAATAGAATTGAAAACTGATTACAAAAGCTCTCTTGAGAAATCTAGAGAGTACTGTGATTGTGATGTGCAAATGTAAATACCCCTTTACCCCTTTTCTGACCCTGAGCCACGTGATCACTAGCTGGGGAATCTTCGGTAGCAACCGCCTTCAAACGGTCGAGGCGTCGTCAACATTCACGTCCAATAATACAAGATCTTGCGCCGCAACTTACAAACACAACATTGAAGCAAGAGCTGCTTCACTACTACAACCCAAGAAGTAGGAAGCTCAAGCCGCCCATGTTCTCATCATAACGCCTGTGTAAACCTCCGAAACTACCCCACCGCCAACATGACATCCCGCCTGGTCCTCGTCATTGGCGACCTGCACATCCCAGATAGAGCTATAGATATACCAGCTAAGGCAAGATGCACCCTTCAATCTGCTCGTGCATCCTGCTGACAGCTCTAAACAGTTCAAGAAGCTCCTCACGCCCGGCAAAATCGGCCAGACGCTCTGCTTAGGCAACCTCACAGACAAGCCCACCTACGACTATCTGCGCAGCATATCTCCGGACCTGAAGATCGTCAAAGGCCACTTCGACGCAGACGCTACATCGTTACCGCTTGCGCAGACGGTTACGCATGGCTCGCTGAAGATTGGGTTCCTGGAGGGGTTTACCATGGTTGCGCCCATGGAGATGGACCTTATGCTGGCGGAGGCAAATAAGATGGATGTGGATGTGCTGTGTTGGGGGGGTACGCATAGATTCGATGCATTTGAGTATGAGAATAAGTTCTTCGTGAATCCGGGAAGTGCGACGGGTGCGTTTACAACGGGATGGACAGCGGAGGGGGAGGAGATGGTACCGAGCTTCTGCTTGATGGATGTGAGTCTGCCAAGGTGAAGATTAAGATTGAGGTTTGTGCTGACTTTGCGTGATGATAGGTCCAAGGAATCGGTCTCACGCTTTATGTATATCAATTGAGAAAAGATGCGAATGGGGTGGAGAGCGTGAACGTGGAGAAGATTACTTATACCAAGAACGTGGGAGGTTCATGATGGGATATTGAATGAAGACATATCAAAACTCATTTGAGGGGATCAGGTTAAGCCCTATTCTAGTGGGCCAATGAAGGGAATTCATGGATGTCAACACTGACGTCGAAAGGCTGCTGATGAAAGTGGGGAACAGGTTGGCCAGTAATTTAGTTACCTCCCCGAAAGAAAACATACAGACAAAGATCATTCGCCTACGTTCACCATTCAAAAGCTTTCTCAACCAACCCTATCTGCAGTCCATTGTTTTCAATGCGTTCACCAAGCGTCACTATTCCCGGTCTACACAAAATCAACAAATATATTTCTCCTATCTATCCTCTCAACTCTTTTAATCACTAGCTAAGCACTACTGGTATTCTTAGGAATTCCAGTTCGATTGCCAACTGGGACCTCCAAACGGCCATCCAATAAGCCCGATATCGAGCTGCGTACTCGCTTCGATCTCTTTGGCTCGGGCCTTGAGTTCATCTACATCCCAGTTTGCCCACAAGAACTTCCCTTTCAAGAAACGCGCCTCCGGGCTTGCGAGCCAAACACTGAAACTCGCCGGCAGAGAAACTAAGTCAAAGTCAGCTTCATGACATTTCACCCAGCAAATCGACATTTCACTTACCGTCATCCTGGAACCCGACAGCATCAACACCCCCCGCTTCTTCATTCATCGCAGTTCTAATTATGCCAGGCTGAACATGGAAAACGCTTATTTCCGGGTTTTCAAAGGCCACACTATCCCAAAGCCGAAAAATTGCCAGCTTGGCGATGCAATATGGGGCAAACTTAGGAGTGAAATTCAGATGTGCAGTGGACGAATTAATGTCGATAGCGACTGCGTCTGTCGATGCGTATCGCAGGAATGCCTGCGCAACGATGAATGAACCCTTGAGGTTTTGCTGAATGCCCTCGAGGAATTTGTCACCGTCCGCGTCTTTGATGGTTTCCTGGAGGCCAATCATGGCCGCATTACTGACCAAAACGTTGATCTTTCCGCTGCCGACAAATTTTGCAAAGGCTGCGTCTACTTCGCCTTTCTTTGTGACATCGGCTGAGGCCACAAATACCTCGACGTCGGCGAATTCGTGCTCGATCGAGGCTTTGGTGTCGAGAAGGGGTTGTTCTCTACGGCCAAGGAGGGCGATCCGAGATGCACCTGCTTTGGCGAAGTGGTGAGCGGTCTCTGCACCGATGCCTGTGCCCCCGCCCGTTATAAGTACGGTCTTGCCTTTGGCGGAAAGCTCGGGGCGGGTGGGAGATATGGATTGGTGGGTTTTCGTGTGCCACTAGATCATGGGGGAGTTAGTTGTTTCCTATTCAAGAAGGTTTCGGGTAGAAGGAGCTTATGTTTCCAGTTTGGGAAGTATGTAAGGAGTAGTTGGAGTACATAAGACGAAACATGATGGAAGAGGATAGGGTAAAATCAAAGAGCCAGTTATCTTACGGTTGAGGTTGGGGATGGGAAAGGAGCTGCCATGATGATTGTAAGATGTCCGGATGTCTGAGGAGGTTGGTTCGATTGTTCGATGAGGAACATGTTTAGGGTGAACAATTTCCATCTTTATATATGGGTGAGTCTACGACTTTGGTTTGAACGGAGCTGTGCAATTTGTGAAGTTAAGTGTGGCCTCACGTTTGGAAAAGCCGTGTGGGTTCTATATGACCAATGCTTGAGATTTGCAACTTGTTCCACCTACCGAATTATTCTCAATGCAGAATAGAGTGTTCCGCGATGCTTCACAATACAAAATGTTCCGCCCGACTGACTGTGCTGAGCGGAGAAATTTGGGCTGACAAATGCTGACAAATGTAACGAGCTCTCATATAGGTATTCCACTTGACAGTCCCCATGACTTACTGCGGTCTAATTTGAAATGTACAAAGGAGATATGCAATCTGTTCTGCGGTGCGGGCAGTGCAATAAACCGTTCGACAAAGGTGAGTCGAGTTGTACTTGCACCAGATATTCCTTCCCTGCCATGGAGTCTGTACTAACAGTGTGTGCATGGGTTTTTAGACTCCACGCTGAAGAGACATGGATATTACTGTCGGTCCCGAAGAGCTGGTAGTACCACTCGGTCTCGGTCTTGTATCTCTTGTGCCAGAAGAAAAGCGCGTTGCGATAATAGACGGCCTGGATGTTCGAGGTGCAGCACCAAGGCCATCGAATGTTATTATCCCACCAACACGCCCAAAGGCACAGGGCCAAAGATTCAGCACAGTGATGATGTGCCAGCCGAACGGCGGGATCTTGCGCCTCTGTTGGTGCCAAAGTCTCCCAGTGCCGAGAATCGTCAAGAAGCAGGTGATGCTCGTGATATAATTCTCGACAGCACGCTTGCTATATCAGATGCAGAATTTGCAGCTTTGGGTGCGGAATATCTGGATTGGGATAACCCAGATGGCAATTTCGGCGAATTCTTGAATCTACAAACGACCGATGAGAGTGTTCTATACCCTTTATCGGGTTTGTCATCTTTAGTTCATCATTCAACGCCTTCGGCCAATTCAACAGATCCGCAAGCTCACTCTTCTCCCAATGTATCGATACCAAGATCGCCAACTCGGATGGTACGATCATTCATCCTGCGGCCTAGATTGACGACCGGGGCACAAAGTATCGCCAATCTTATACTCCGCACCCTGATATCTTATCCCCTGATGATGCTGCGCTACAACACCCTTCCACCTTTCATTCATCCGTGTTTGCTATCTTCCGATGTCGAGAATGACCACATGGAGCCACTAAGCAATTGTATCAGTCTGGTTCATATGATCAGTAGTGGGGCGAAGGGGAGTCGAAAGTTGTTCTGGAAAAACGTGCGGCTGGAATGTGAACATATATGTGAAGAGGTACGTTGCATTTGCGATGCTCTATGGGTACAAGAGAACCTGTAACGCGCTGACGGGTACATTTAGCCTGTGAAGCTAGGTGATTGGGCTTTGGTCGCTGCTATGCAAGCCCTCTCTATCTATATCCTCATAAGGTTGCATGAAGGCGAGACAGACCACAACAACCTTGATTTTCTACTAGTCACAACCGTGACCGTGAGCCTATCTACCTCCTGCTTCCCCTCTCGTACTGTACCTTGGCTCTAACGAGATAATACAGGTAATAGCCAAACAGATCGCCTTCCGCCATATCTCATGCAGCATGCAGTACACGCTCCGCGACTACGGACTCGACACACCCTGGAAAGATTGGATATTCGAAGAATCGCGACGAAGGTACGCCGGCCACCTCTTACCTTGCACCCCACCCACTCTATCAAGCCGAGCTTCACGTACTATACTTACCATCCACCCACCAACTAACCTCAAACCAAAGACTAGCCATCATCTACCGCGTCGTGAACATGCTCGTCTACTTCGAGCCCGCAGCGATCTGCGAGCTACAGACCGACCTAATCCTCGCACCGCTGCCGGCGAAGAAACAGCTGTGGGAAGCAGGCGATGCGTATGTGTGGAAGGCGGAGAGCGAGAGGGAGCCCGGCGTGCAGACTGCGTTTGGGCTGGCTGCCAACGGCGACCTGGTCAAGTTGGATGAAAGCCAGGAGCTGCTTTGTAGCGATGCGGTGCTGCCGTATCAGACTTTGCATGCTGGGTGGGAGGAGTGGTGCTTGGGGATGGATGGGTTTGGGGGGCTTGTGATGCTGGCTGCTTCTCTGGTGGCGTGAGGAGGGGTTGCAGGTGCTGGGTGGGTTTTGGAATGATTAATTACCAGGTTTCTAGCGGCTTTGCTTGCATTTTCTATTATAATGGCTGTTCGTGTACTAACTGCTAAGTGTTCAACAGCTAGCTTATATTGCAGGAGTATGATCAAGTCATTCGTACCTGGTGATGGGTAAAGGAGTTATGTTTGTGCGTGGAAGGTTCAAGGCAAGAGCAACTAGATACTCGACAGATGTGGGGGGAAAGCTGGATGCGTCGCCGCGTAGTTTTGCTGTTCAGGCAAGTGCTGCTCTCGCACTACCTTGTATTACTCTTGTGATAGACAGTTAGGAAGGCCGAGCTACCTAGCATCTAAGGATAAAATGGCCCTGCAAACCAATCATGATCGCATGCGATCATGTCAATTAACTGGATTGAGTACTTCCCCACTGCCCCTTTTCTAATTAACCGAAACCTCGAAGTCTCCCGTTAACGGTTTTCCAACTGGCACCACAACCTCTCCCGTACTATCATCATGCGTCCAATCCGCAGCATTTAGTCCATTGACCGAATACCCACCCGGCTTACTACCAACTCCCAAGAAGATAATCCTCGCCACGCTCACACCCGGATTATACCCGTAAGTTCCCTTCAAGCTGAACTTCTTCCCATCAAAAGCAAACTGCAGATATGTAAATGCCTTCTGTTCCAAGCTGATTCCATCGTCCAGATACAGTTCTCCAGACGCCTTGCCGTCGCTTCCTAGCGCGACCACGATCTCGAAATCTTGCTTCCGGACTTCCGTGGTCGTCATGGCGCTCTTCACTCTCTGCGGGACGATAACCCCGCCGCGATAGTGTAGCGGTATATCGGTGATTTCCACGTCGTTGATGGCGATGCTGGCTCCTTGTCCGTGCACTGGAGCATGGGTGTAGAAATCATAGAAGATATCTTTTGGCAGGTATGCAGAGACGGTCGTGGAGTTTTCTTCGATTACGGGACTGATGAGCAGAGACGGGCCGTAGAAATATTGGTTCTCGATTGCGAACGTGTCTGGGTCTTGGGGGTAGAGGTAGAAGAGGGGGTTAATGAGGGGTGTGCCATCCAGTGTTTGGTGGTACAGAGCTGTGTAGATATAGTCCAATAGCCGATAACGAATGTCGATGACTTTCTTCGCGGCTGTCGTTACACTTTCCCACTGATAGAACTCTTGGGCGATATTGGGTGGGTAGCCATTGTGGTCCCGATAGAACGGACTGAAAGCACCAAGTGTTGCCCATCGAGCGCAAAGCTGCTCGGTAGTGTTGTCTGCGTAACCACAAACATCTGATCCTACCATGGGCACTTGATAAATTGAAGCAAAAGCCAGCATTGTTCGGATTGACAGTTGATAATGCGGCCAATCGCTCAGGTTGTCACCCAGCCAGTGTCCCACTTTTGTTCCAGCACCGGCGAACGTGCTTCGTGTGATGATCAAAGGTCTTTCCTCGGGTCGGCGATTCTGCATAGCAGTCCTTGAAGCAGTAGACATCACTAGATTTGTTAGCGAGGTTTCGCTTTTTTGGCATGACGAACTGACTTGTTCCATAGAGATTATGAGTATCGTACATGGCCAAGCCGTTTTGGTGAATGACATCTGTATTGACTGTATGATTGGATATTCCACCTCCAGCAGCGTTGTCGGCATAAGTAAAAGCAGCAGCATTGTGGATGGCGTATTTAGGGTACAGCAGGTCACGCCCAGGAAGACCAAGCTCTTGCCCAGCAGCTTGGCGTTCTTCTACTTGGAGAGCTGGACTATATGGAGCAGCAGCAAATGTTCTCCTTTCTTTAGTCCCTGTACAAGGTGTTCCAGCTGGTTGAAAATCGCAAGAGAAACCCGGCAGAGGGCGGGGTGGCGATCGGACATCTGGAGGAGTTGGGGGGTAGCCAACTGCAGCTGCATATGGCTTCGATAGCATCAGTCTAGATTAATTTACTGGTTGGATGAAGAAATCAGAACTTACATCGTCGCATGGGAAGTTACAAGGGAAGTTAGAAGGTTCATTCATATCTATCCATAAACCATCAATGTCTACACCGCTTGACGGGTCGAAGAAGGTTGAGAATTCATTGTTCCAGTAGGTTTGCACTCCGGTATTGAACCACTACAAGTTCAGAGTCAGCGTTGCCTGTTCAAGAAATTCGAAGCTCGGGACTATCAAGGTCTCAAAACTCCGCGAATGTCCCCCAACAAGGAAACGGAATGCTCAAGGATTTTGCATACATCTGGAAAGACGGTAACGCCGGGCCATACGACCCCAATCCAGTACGAACCATTATCTCGCTTGAGAAAAATATCGTCCTGGGCCCCATTCTGATATGGAGGGTAGTCTTGATATGCTACAGCTGGATCGACCATCACAATTTGCTTCTGATCATGCGAATGCAAGTATTGATTGACTTCTTGCATCTTACTCAAAGGAAATCGATCGGGGTCAAGAGAGAACACCTAAAGAATTAGCTATCATAGTCAAGCTGTTGGAATATCAAACTGTACTCGTCTTCTGTCCACTGCGCAAGTCAGCTCTATTCTGTAATTTCAGAGGCGTGCAATAGGGCTCTTGGCACGTACTATAGTCAATATCTGTCCACATTGTCTCCAATGGGATTTCTGCCTTGGAGTAGTTGTAAACGGCCTCTGCTACTGCAAAGGCGTCTTGGTATCCATATCTACAGTTGTGGAATCCGAACGCCCAATACGCTTGCATGGCGGGTGTTCCCACAACTTCGGCATATTGCTTGGATACATCAATTGGCGTCGGTCCAGCTAAGAAGTAGAAGTCCAGGATGCCTCCAAGAGTATTGTATTCCAAATACTGATCCTTCCCATCTGTGTTGTTAATTTTGACATCCATGCCATTTGAATTGACGAAGAACACCCCGTGAGAGCCGGTAGTTCTGTGCTCGTAATAAACGGGATGCGCTCCATACAGGTTGGCGCCGAGTGGAATTGAATAAGCATCTTGATTCCAGAATGTGCGGATATAATCTGTGGTGTTGAGGCGGAAAGGGTCGGAATGCTCGCCCAGGCCATAAAGATTGGGATTCTCTGGTAGAGAGGTTCTCAGTCTAAGGTACTGGGATTCAAAGACTAGACTTGCTGCAGAAGTGTCAAAGAGGACCTCTTCCCCTCGAGTTATGGAGAACGAGAATGGAGACACTTTGTATGAGAATTGGATGTTGGTTTGCTTGGAATTAGTTTCGCTGGAGGCAGCAGGGCGAGGGAGAACGCTCGCTGGAACTTGATACACGCTGTTGGCAGCATCCTGAATCTTGACATGGATTCGATCATCTGTATGCTATGTTAGATAACTTCAAGTTGCAAGAAGGCAATGACCACAACAGACCTGTCTCATAAACCACCTCTAAGGTCAATTGCTTCAAATCATCACCATAAGCGTTGCAAGCCGTTCCGGCAAGACTCAAATCTGCTGTAAGACCAGAAGACGTCGTCTTCACATTCGAAGCTGTATAACCTGGACATGATGCCAGAGGGTCACTCGAATTGGCTCGAGGAACAATTGATGTTGCAGATACAACTGCAAGGGCAAATGCCAGCCACGACAACAGAACAGCCATGACTTAGAATGACAACAAGAACTCGAACGATCTTTCGCATGTTATTCTGGAGAATACAAGGCTTTAAATACTTCTTTTGAAGCTTCCTTTTCCGGACTAATCATGGTATGGAACCATGCCATGCTTGCTCCCCGCAGCTCCTCGTCTCGACTGCGGGGGTGTTTTCCTGCATGGCCTTAGTCAATCAAAGGGCCTTTTATTTCAGCCATTGAATTTTCTTCATCAGCAGCAACATAAGAAAAGAAGAGTCCAAGGCACCGAAGACACCAAGTTTTTGCTGCTAGATCTGCGGTAAGGGTGTTTCTTGGTGAAGTGAAAGCTTACATTTGAGAGATCCGGCCCGATTCCTACCCCGCTGTGGCCCGTGGGATCCCCGCGTTTGCTTCCCCAGGCGAACATACCCCTTCCACTGCAGACGAATTGGCCAATTGGAGATGATTGCTGTACAAGGTTGTTACTCCCCCTTGAAGCTTTAACTCCGTCTATGAATTCTGTGTTGGGAGCTCGCAAGAGAAAAGGCTCTTACGAGTTACGCCCTTTCAAATTCATGTTAGACTTTATAGGAAACCCTACAAAGCCATTCAGAAAAGAGCGAGAGGTCAAAGGAGGTGGAAAAATGCTAGTAATAAGCTCTTCAAAGACGAGAATACTAAAGTAAGGAAGGAAGAAGGGGGTGGGAGGCCAGCCCTTCTTATACTAATCTAATTCACATAACTAGGACAGATGGAAGGGTGTAAGTCATTACCCCACCTATATTCACACAGGAAGGCAGGGTGTAAGGTTCTCTCACCGAGAAGTGGGGACGTTACCCCTCCTGGTGTGAATAGCCTTGAGCATGTCACGAGTCTGTGACAAGATGGGTATTTAATCACCACCTACTGACACAGAAAGTATAGATTGCAAGTTAGAATATGGTGTTTTGGTGATTAAACCCCATCAAGAGAGCTAAAGGTTGGAACGCTATTGACTCCGACATTCTTTGCAGGAAATTGATCCCGCTGCGTCTGTAAACACAAGAAGGCTGAATAGCTTTGATACAACCCACCAGTGATAGCAAGGGGACAAGGAGAAAGGTAATGATAACTGCTTCACGGGACTATGCCCATCAAGAGTACTGCGAAGGCGTACGAGTAAAGGCACAACGAAGAATAACGATGGCTGTCTAGTGACATGATCATGATGATGGAGAAATAACAGTTCCCTAAAAAGTGCCATCATAAGATTGTTTTACTATCTACGGATAGATTCCTTCTTGACAGGAAGAAAAAGATAAAGAAATCATGCCGGGCAACGTGGGGTCGGATGTCTTACGCAGCAGAAGCTATTATGAGGATCAGTAATGAGAGAGCTATGGCTCGTGAGATGATAGAGCAAATGAGAAGAAGGAAAAGAAAATAGAACATTTCGTACTTGATTAATGAAAGTAATTATGTGATTCCAAGAGCAGGGTTGAGAGTAGGAAATGCTAATGTTATTCATTTATTTTATCATCAAGTCGTCGTTTGATATTCATGCGCGTACCCAGGTCATCGTGTCAAGGGCTAACTGCAGTCTATTTTGAAACAGATAGCTTTCAATTTCCCCAAACTCAGGACACTTGACTGGCTCGTCGATATACGCAGGCTTCAGAGTTGGTAACTGGCCCATCTGATGCACAACATCCCTCCCATCAATTAAGCACAAACGTATCATTTTCTCTGCCTCGAGCATTTCCTCTTCTAGCAGTTGTTTGGCTTCATTTGATCCAGCCACATACGGCTCCCGACGCCTAATTCTGCGGAACCCGTACTTCAGCCCCTTCCATTTGTCCCGGAGCTCTGAGTCTGGGATGTGTTCTCGTAGATCGAAGGATTACGCATCATACCTATAGAACTTAGTAAGCTGCCTTATGGATGCTTGCATTCTTTTGAAGATATGCTCGAGGAACCATTTACCACCTATGGCCAAGACCTCGAAGTCAGTATTGTCTGATATAGTAAGTTTTGGGGGTCGAAAGAATGTCCCACAGGAGTCAAGTCAAAATTACAGAAGTTGCTGACTCTGAAAGCCGCTAATGATTTGTTCAAATTATAGGATGTTCTTTGCAGAAGGTTACCCACGGGAAAGTGTGCGAATTAATCAAGATCTGGGATGCGATGCGGATCCCAGGCAGCACTGTGTTCCACACTCTAACATTTTTTGCCTGCGATTTCCATAAATGCCTCACATCAACAAATTTTATGGCCCGGGATACTCAGCTCGGAAGCTGGCAGATAGGCTTGAAGCACCTGCCATAGAAGAAAGCAGCTTTTTGTATGAGATTAAGCTTACCAGTAAATCAGATACCCATCAATCGTTTTGAACAAGTTAAGTTCTAATGGCATTAGGCCGCTCTTGAGGATTTCAAATCCCTGCAATTGATGTGTGTATTTCTGAGTGAGCTCTGTTAAACCTGGTTCCAAGCGCAGCTTTCTAGCTGGTTGGAAATGGATCTGCGACTGCTGTGCTTTCTTTTGAGCTTCCAAAGGAAGGTATGTTGGTGGTGGAGATCGAGCAGGCCGCGGTGATATTTGTCGCGCCATGGGATGGTGTACTGTTGTCCAATGAAAAGACCAAATCAAATGTGCACACGCTTGAATTCCATGTGCAAAGTGATAGTGATGACCAGGGTTGATTATTATAAGAAAGGTATAAAGAATGTGGTTGACCTCATTCCAGACGCAAATCGAACACCAACTTCGTACCTTCCATACCTAGGTACTTGCAGTACCTATGAAAGAATGATTATTTTCCCTTTGGAAAGAACCAAGCAATGATAGATAATATTGTACAGTATTAGATCCAAAGAACAAAGAACAAAGAACAAAGCAGTACCAAGGTAGTTGATATCTATTCATTTGCCTCTTCTCTACTTGTTTTCCCTAGTGTCCCTATTGGGCATCCATCATTCAGCCTCATGAGATGTGAGTGACTGGTGGATACTGTGGAACAGCGGCACTAACATAATGCGGCAGGCGGAGTGTGGGTGACACTTCAAGCTGATGATAACAATGCCGCTTTTTGTTCATCACAAGACTGGTCGAGTGGTCGTCGTCGAGAAGACAGGCGAAGACAGGAGAGAGGGAAGATGGTGTAGGTAGGTACCTACAGACTTGTGTGGTGCAGCCATTTGCCAGTACCAGTACAGTATCAACAAGACTATCAAATTGCATTGCATCCCCCACTCGAGTGTTGCTACGCTACTGTACGTACTGCATGTCTACTGCCACGGTACTGTAGCAAGGGTTATGTCGTTTATGTCTATTTTGAGCCGCTGCGGCGTTGCAGCATTCAGTTCATTGGCGGCTGAGAATGAAATAAACGACGCCAAACTCTCAGCCCCCAGCGCTCAAGTCAAGCTCGTCCATCCCTCCCATCCGATGATTGATAGACAGCTAAGAATCGAGATGGAGACTGCAGATTTCTCCATCTCTGCTACCTTCCACATAGTCTCCCAGGAAATATCGACACCGACATCGAGATTTATGCATACGAGCCCGTGTTTGCGTCGAGACATACAGCCAACCGTTTTATCTCTGCGACGCGCCCAAATTACGCTGCCTGGCGGCAACCCTGGCGCAAGACTGAGCCCTTGAAAACGTGGAGAAGGTGCTGTTGTACATATCGCGGGTAATCTTCAGTCGTACGGGAGGCGAGCAACCAAGTTGAAACTAGAGCCCTGGGATTGAGTGAGTAATTGCGCCCTAAATTTTCCGGGCTCCAACAGTCCAAGAAAGTTGTTCTTTCAGTCGTCCAGGCAGGTCGGTGCCTTGGCGAGTCAGTGATTTTGGCTGAGAAAGATGTCACATATCTTCACATTGATCTCTCAAATAGAACCCGGTAGTTAACATATTCTTCGGTACTAGATCCCACGGATAGTTTCCTTTTGCCATAATACTGGTTGCGACGTCGATCAAGAATACTAGGGAATGGCCAATCATGGTGGGGGAGATGGCTACCCTTGGGACGACTCAGGCCCCCTTCGACCAGACTTGAGCCATAATGTATCCTCGATATCTGCAGTCAGCTCTATGTCGAGTGGGGATGAACCTAGGGTCTCTGTGGTGTCTCTTCCCTCGCCAATGTTAGATGGTCCAGGATCATTCTCGAGCGAACAAAGTGATGTCAGCCATGTGCAGCTCTCATCAATTGAGGGCTCTGGGGTGAGATCTCCAAGCAACCTTCATCGGTCATCAGCATCACTTCCAGATGCTCTTCGGGTTGGATCACCTTCAACTCCTTTGGGAAGCTTCTTCAACCCCTTCTGTAGTGCAAAGGGGTCATACGAAGCCGTATCTGCTGCAGACCGGTCTAAGAGAGGATCTACATCTAGCAGGCCAGGATCTAGACGATTCTCGACTCAGAGAAAGGGCTCTTTGCTAGGTGGGAATCATAAATCTATACCGGAGGGAGAAGAGATCGATATGGGACTATTGCAAAGTGCAATGCCAATGTCAATTACCTCGTACAAAAGCGGTTATGCTAGTGTGGGGGAAGAAGAGTTAGATATCGTCGGCGATAGAGGCTCTGTCGACCTCTCATCCTTCACTGGCCCTATGAACCCTTTGAGTGGGACCAAGTGGAAGGAAATCAACCGCCAAGAGCAGTCGGGCATCTTAACGGGAGGCTTAGGAGCAGGATGGACTCCCGATGACACCGACACCATTACGAGCACCGATCTATATGCAAATGCCCCTCAAACTCCTCGTACGCCTTCGCTATCTCGTAGAATGTCATTCCGTTCCCCTGGATTGTCAAGGCAGCCAACCCTGCGAGATTTGGCGCAAATTGAAGCCAATAAAAGAGGCAAGGTTATACAAGTCATCGTGGAGGACGAGCAGAAAGAAACCGAAGAAGAGGAAGAAGCAATGGGCGCTATCGTGGATCTCAGCTCCATGACAGGCTCGGCCAATACCAGGTCTATCCACGAGCCGCTCAACATGCCAAAGCAACCTCGGAAGGATACACTGCCAGTTCCTAACTCCGAGGTGTTCTTTCCACAGGCAAATTGGAAGCCATTCTCTATGCGCTGGCCATACCTAACAGCTCTTATTGTAATATCCGTCACGCTCGCTGCTTCTCAAGAGTATCTATATCAGAAGTCCTCCAAGAAACCCCTCTACGAGTTTAATTCTGCTTCAGAACTGAACACCTGGGACTACTTTTGTTTCAAATATCTACCAACCATGGTAGTTGTCATATTTGGCATTTTGTGGCAGGTCACCGATTTTGAGGTCAAGCGGTTGGAGGCATATTACCAACTTTCCAAGCCAGGAGGAGCGCTAGCAGCTGAGTCCATCAACGTTGACTACATTACCTTCTTCAACTTCTTCCGCCCAGTCAGGGCAATGAAGTATAAGCACTATGCTGTAGCAGTTTCCTCCCTGGCCACCCTCATAGCAGTGTCTCTTATACCTACTTTACAAGCTGCCTCTGTCAAATTAAAGCCGGATCGAGCGACACGACTTTTGCATCCCGACGAAATAAAAGGAATTACTATTGACCCTGTCTGGTCAAGGTTCCTGAGTGTTTTGTAAGTATTACCCCGAACATACTGTTTCCTTTCGACCTATTCGGGAGTTTGAAAGTCCCATAAGGAAGGTCTGGCGCTTGAAAAACCCCCGGGTCCTGAAGCTTATTCGATCAAGCAATGCTGACTTTGAGATCTACCAGGTTGGTATTTGTGGCCATATTTGGGTGTGTTTTGGTTTGGCAGCTTCAAAAACGGCATTCTGGGCTGGTCGCCGACGTGAAGGGGATTGCAGGAGTTGCTGCAATGGCAAATCGAAGCCACATTTTGATGGACTTCAAGGATATGGATACTGTGACTCCTGATGAGATCCACAATAGGCTCAAAGCCCATCGCTACACTCTCCGCAATTCATCACTTGCACCGGAGGAAAATGCGCCTCTTACCCAAGCGGAAAAAGACATGTATGATCAACATAATCTTCCAGGGAACCCGCACCCTCTCATGCTGCGTCTGCCTGCCGGGATTCTATTCATCTTAGGCATGTTGTTGTTTTTGGTCTTGATGCCTATCTTCCTCTTCCAGCCCAAAGTGAACATCGTCACAGAAAAAGCGCCCTGGCTCCTAACCGGCATAGCCGTCGCTATCAAAATAGCATGGGGTACTCTCGAAACAGATGTCCGCATGATCGAGCCCTTCTACATCCTTTCCTTACGCCACGCCTCCCCAAAAGTCTTAACGCTAGACTACACAGCCATGGCCTTTGGCTGGATGCCGATCCGCGCGCTGATGAACGGCCATTTCCTCGTCGCGCTCGTAGGACTAGGTTCCGTGCTAGCAGAAGTCCTGACGATCTGCTGCACGTCTTTCGCTAACGTATCCGGCATCGATTTTACAAAGACTCCCCCGCCAGCGCCCCAACGCCGAGGAGAAAACGCCATCAATGCCGGTGAGGAAACGTTCCGCTCCTTCTGGATCTCATTCGGGCTCGCAGTTTCTATTCTCTTCTTCCTCTGCTTCGTTGCTACATCGGTATATTCGCGTCGACGGCACGCGTTCTTGCCTCGGCAGCCGAGTACGATTGCTTCTATCTTGGCCTTTATTCATCAGAGTAAGATGTTGTATGATTTCGTGGGCACGGAGGGCATGGATAATGACAGTATGGTTACGAGGCTCGTGGGCATTGGGAAGAGTTATGGACTGGGTTGGTTTACGGGACGAGATGGAGAGATGCATTGCGGGGTCGATGAGGAGGAGTTGGTGTCTGCTTATAAGCATGGGGAGGATTCGAAGAAGGCGAATATGCCGTGGAATAGTAATTGGCAGAGTTTTGATTGAGGGTAAGGGGTTTGCATATAATGTATGTTTAGATGAGTATATGATAGAGTCTCAGGCGGGTATACAGATTTGAGGTTGCTGTATATAACTAGGAAGGGCGGTTTGATACAATTATAGATCATACATTATAATTGAACCGCAAATTATACAGCAGTGAAAGAAGTGAGAAATGTCATCCATAGACTCGGGTATAGATAGATAGTATGCTAATGGTGACATTTCTGTATTCTAAAATTCCATGCAAAACATTAAGTGAGAGTTCACTCCTCTTCAACTTAAACCACAACTCAAACACCCCTTATCCCAGTCTATCTACAGACATCACCCATCAACCTAGCCCATCAACCCCCCCTTCTCCCCCTCCTCCACAGCAGGACCGTGATCATTCAACACCAAACACCGTCTCCTCGCATCCAAAAACATCATAAACTGCGCATAGCTCTCCGGGATAATCCTCACGTCGCGGCCAACCTCAAACGTATAATTAAACACGCCCGTCGGTTTCGTCTCCCCATCATGCTCCACATTCTTCACCTTACTATCAACCCTAATCTGCACCCTCGTACTGCCCTCCGGACTCACCTTTCCGCCACTCCCACTCCAACTCGCACTAGATTCGTGTTCCAGGATGGGGGAATCGGAATAGGCGACGGTGGCGGTGAGGTATAGCACTGAGCCTACGGGCACGGGGTTTTCAAACGTCGAGGGGTCGAGAGCGATGAATTTCGGGCGCGTGTGGGATATGGACGAGGCGCAGGTGAAGGCTAGTTCGAAGGTGGATTTCAGGAGGAAGCCGCCGAAGATCATGAAGTTGTGGCGGTTACGGTACTGGGGCTGCATGATGGTCACGGATTGGATTTGTGTGTTTCCCATACTGGATTACTTGATTAACTTGGCTTTCCCTAGTTGGAGGTTTCTAGATGGATGGAAGGGGAGGGGAGGGGAGGGAAGGGAAAGGGAATGGGACTTACTATTCTGCGTTATCGGGTTTGCGGGAAGGGTTGTTGGGATCGTGCCATGAGAGTTGTTGGAGCCAGAGGGCGTGGATCAGATCTGATTCTTCGTCATTTGGGGCTTGTTTGCGGAGGGCGAGTCCTAGGGCTGCTTTTTTGCGGTCGTGGTTTTGTTGGCCGCGGGCGAAGAGTGTTTGTTCTTCGGGTGTGGTGGTTTTGAGGGGGCTTATGGATACTGATTTCTTGGTTGCTGGATCTAGGGATACCTTTGTTTGTTTTTGTTAAAAAAAGTTGGTGGGAGTGAGAGGGGTGAGGGAGTACCATGGTGAAAGCACAGGTCATTAATATATCTTCTTCTTTGACGGTCTCTCCTTCAGCAGCTGCTTTGGCAACTTGCAGTGAGACTTCCATGCTGCTTCTTCCTGTAGCAAACGTGACCTGGCCACTGAGTTCCAAGTCACAGATTTCGGTCAAAGGACGAGTGAGAGTAATCCTATCAACGGCTGCTGTGACCGTCATAACCGAATCGCCCGTGTGCTTGTAAGCAACGACGCCAGCAAGAGCATCCAGATCCATGAAGATGGTCCCAAGTCTGATATGACCGGAAGAGTTGATATATTTATCCAACAACCAGGGATCTCTCGCCAGAGGCAATATCTACATGACGATCAGCATTGAACTGGAACATGCATCATGTGACTTACGACTCTGGTATGGCTGTCCTGCATCGTTTTCGGACTCAGATCCCTCTCCACCTTGTTCGTAGACACCGGATGTATCTTTGTCTTGTCATCACGCTGTTTCTTAAATGCCTCGATGAATGGAGTGCTTGTTCGCATGGCCGTGAGTTCAGAGTAGACTCCATCGGTTCGGCATCTTGCACACGCTGAGAATGCTCTTCTTGTTGGACGAGCGGACAGATGAGTAGCGCGGAGGCTTGACGTGAGACGGGGGAACTGTGAAATTCGATTCGACATTTTGTGGTTGTACAGGTGAGGTTATTATTCTAGAGAACGTTGAGTTGCGGTATTAATAGTTGGTCTTCCTTCTTCGCTCCTTTCGGTAACTGGATAGGGCAGATGTGGACTAAGATAAGACCCTGGAAGTGAAGATAGAAAAGGTAGACTTTGAAGATAACATTTAGACAAAATCAGAATTTCCAATCGTTCAATAAAACTCGTTATGTTTTCAAGCTTCATACTACCTACATACTCCATGATCGTCTCTTGTTGACGGTATGAATCGAGGACAGCTTTAGACGATAGAAACTATGCGACATCCAGGGGTTGGTTTTTGGAAGGGGTTTCAACCACGCAATACAGTATTACGTGACCAACTCATTCAACAAACTACCCTTAGACTGTGTGCATTGCTCTTTATTAATACGAATATACACTTAAAGACAGAATGTAGAATAGTCACATGATAGTCATGTGGTCTAGAATAAGGTTACCGGCTTCAGCTTACCGTGAAGATCTTGGGACGGTTTTACGGAGTAACGAGCTAGTCAAAAGCAGATTCCGGCTCGAGGTCTAGACATGCAGTATCGATATTTTAAATTTTTGTGGAAGCGGTTCTATTATTGTTATCATTGTGGCCAGTAGTAGTGGTCTTCATGAAGCTCTGACACGAGCAATGCTTCATCAATTCACTCCCGGTTTGAGTAGCACTGGGATTGTAAAATTGACGATCAATGAATGACATCTTTACTTCATGCACGGTTACAGACTTTCATACCAATGTCTCGAATCAGATGTTTTGGCACTCAGGTACCCGTTGACTGCAGAATGCGAGGCGAGGAGAGACGGGCGCTAAACATTCAACTTTCGGCTTGCCTGGCGAGCCTGGTGAGGAAGAAGCTGGAGCTGAGTAAAAGGGGTATGAAAAATCTTTGTTCCAAGCCTCCAAGCCAGGATCCAACTCCAACTCCAACTCACAGAAGGAGACGTCTCTCTTTACTATGAGTTAATTGTCGGCCGTTAACGCGTACCTCCTTATAGTAGAAGCGCCTGATGAGGCAAAGATTATTCGATACGAGCGCCTCTCGCGAAGCCGAGAGATTGGTCTGGGAGGCTGTGCAAGACGGAGGTTGTCGTTTTTGAGCTCCGTGTTACAGAAGACGTTTGAATGGAACTGGAACGTACCGTACTGTAGCAAAGATCGAAACATCCGGTCGCTTGCCAGCGATCAGGGACAAATAATACCGTAATATCTGCTGGCGGGGCGGATGACTTATTTGGCTTGACTACTACAGTAGTGATGATAAGCTAAAGATCGTGATCGTGATCGTGATGGGGGGAAGGGAAGGGAAGGGAAGGGATGACATATTATACGAAGTAACTTACCCTAGTAGCTAGCCGTATGTCAGCAGAATTATGTCTTTATGATATCCGTCGTATTCAATTAGGATGATGGAGATATTTATTTTTTAATTTGCACCTCCGTAGTATGCTTATGCTTACTTATATTTCAAAGGATTGATAGAGATCTGCATAAAGGATCCGTCCATACGCGGCCAAAGCTGTACAGTACTCGTAAAAACGCCAGTATGACCGCGTAATACATATTTGGCTCTAATTTATAGGCTTACCTGATTGGGAATGTTGACTATGGAATTCTATGCCGTCAGCCAGTCATCGTTGGCTTGGTAGTGTCAATTTTCACCGCCAAGTCTCAGCTTTTGGCCTAGAACGGACAAGCCCCAGCCCCAATAACACGAAGTAGTGAGTGAGCAAGTGCTCCGTAGTAGTGAGAGTGGATGAGCATCTAGTGAGCACCAGACCAGCCAGACAAACCCCCCCCAGCACCAGCCAAAATTGACCCCTTCCTGCCGTACGATCAACCCACCTTAGCCTACCACCCTGCCACCCTACCAAACCCAACCCAATCCAACCCCAACTCCTGTCGACATCAACATTCATACATACTATTCAACTCCAACTCCGACTTCACCACCACCACCACCACCGCCGCCGCCTCTACCCCTCCCTCTCGCCATCGCTGTCGACATCTCTCGTTCTCGACCTTCGATCCCGACTCACCTTCTCTCTTCCTTTTTTTGTGAGCTGGAAACCTCACTCTCGTCTCTCGTTACCTTCCTTGGGTCTACTCGTCATTCCGTCGCTCTCAATCAACATCCACATCAACTCGTAACACACTTCATCATCAACGCTGTACTGCGAAGGGATTATCGAGAGGAGGACCTGCCTTGTGTGCAGACCGATCATACATTTAGTTGGTTGTAGGGGAGCGTCTGCATACACCGACCGACTTCGCGATACCATAGTCGGAAGCCCCGGGACCACAACGCCAGTACCTCCTTTGTCGCGACGACATTCGTCCCTCATACCTTCGCCATCATGCGGTCTTCAATAATACTGTCGCCTTTCGTCTTCGTCACTGCTTTTCTTTCTCTCCTTTCTGGCGCTTCCGCCATGCGATTAATAGAGTCTAAATCTCTTAATACCTGCCAAGACAATTCCAGCTTTACGGCTAGTCTATTCAACGTCGTCTTCACACCCGACAACAGGACAATTACGTACGATATTGTTGGTGTCTCTTCTGTTCAGGGCAATGTGTCATTCGGCATTGAGGTCAGTGCCTATGGATATGTCTTCATCAGACAAACAATCGATCCATGCACAACCAAAGGCATGTCCGGATTGTGCCCCATGGCCACTGGACAACTCGATATCAACTCCAACCTCCAGTTTGACGCGTCAACCATCAGCAGAATTCCAGGAATTGCTTATGGGGTTCCGGACTTGGATGCAAATGTCAAAGTTCAAATTAACCAAACGTCCAATCCTGGAGTCAGCGTGGCGTGTGTCGAGGCTAACCTTTCCAACGGGAAGACTGTCGATCAGAAAGGTGTAGGATGGGCGACTGCTGTTATCGCAGGTCTTTCCCTTGTTGCCTCTGCTGTGACCTCAGGCCTGGGACATTCGAACACTGCTGCACACGTTGCATCAAACGCCCTCTCGCTATTCGGATATTTCCAGGCTCAAGCCATTGTCGGAATGACCTCTGTACCGCTTCCTCCAATCGTTCAATCATGGACACAGAATTTTGACTGGAGTATGGGTATCATCGGGGTTAATTTCATGCAGAGCATTGCCACCTGGTACCAAAAATCTACTGGTGGAACCCCGGCAACCCTTCTCAACACACTCACCACCACATCCGTACAAGTCGAGAAGCGTTCAATTGGCAAGCGTACCGTTGATCAGACCATCAAACTCCTCACTCGTGCCCACGAAGTCCACAAGCGAAGCAACAGCGGTAGCTCGACCCAAGCAGGTACATATGTTGTGAAAGGGATGAAACGAGTTGCCTTCAGAGCTGACATCGAGGCCACCAATCTATTCTTGACCGGCTTAGCTTTCTTCTGCATCTTCATTGTGTTCACCATCATATTTGTCGCTCTGTTCAAAGGGTTCTGCGAACTTGCGGTAAGAATGAAGTGGATGCAAAACGATAAATTTCAAGACTTCCGCAATGGGTGGTTCACTGTCCTCAAGGGGATCATGTTCCGCATGGTTCTCATTGGCTACCCACAAATGACCATTCTCTGTTTGTGGGAATTCACCCAAGTCGATTCTCCTGCTGAAGTGGTCCTCGCCATCTTTTTCTTCTTCGGCATGACTGGAACTCTCGCATGGGCTGCAACAAAGGTTGTTCGAATTGCCAAGCGATCTGTTGAAATGCACAAGAACCCAGCCTACATCTTATACTCGGACCCATCTGCGCTCAACAAATGGGGTTTCCTCTACGTCCAGTTCCGAGCTACAGCTTACTACTTTATTCTCCCGGTCTTGGTCTATACTGTTGTGAAAGGCATGTTCATTGCCTTTGGACAGAATGCTGGAACTGTGCAAGCTATTGCTATTATCCTCATCGAGGCAGCATGTTTGATTGGAGCCAGTGTGCTCCGGCCATGGATGGACAAGAGCACTAACATCTTCAACATTGCGATTTGCGCAATCAACTTCCTGAACGGTATCTTCCTGTTGGTCTTCACCAAGGTCTTCAACCAGCCAGGCATAGTGACTGGTGTCATGGGTGTAATCTTTTTCATCATCAACGCTGTCTTCTCCCTCGTTCTGATTATCCTCGTGCTTATTGCGACTGTCTATGCATTCATTCAAAAGAACCCAGATACTCGATACCAACCAATGAGCGACGACCGCGCTTCTTTCATCAAGTCACAGACTCAGTTGACTACTGAGTTGGATGCTCTAGGCGCCACGGCACGAGGAGATGTCAAGGGTGGTTACAAGCACAACCTTGATCTGGATGATGACAACGAATCATGGTCGTCTGATTCAATGAGACACCCAGCCAATATGCCACTCCCTCCCTCGACGGCAAATTCAGCCCAAAACTACAGAGAACCTCCTCATTCTCCTATAGATCCTTCAGTACCTCTATTCCCAACTGGTAGCCGCGGTGCTCCGCCAAGTTACCAAGACAATCCTCGAGGAATTTACCAAGGCCAAGTTGAGAGCCGGCCGAACAGCGATCTACCCCTGATCAACAATGGAGGATCGCCTCCATACAATAGCTCGGCGACAAACCTCTCGGCTGGGTACAGGTCACAGAACAACGCTAGCCCATCAGGATTTAGAAGCAAAAATAATGCCAGGTAAGAGATTATGACAACTTGCCCGAAAACTAAAACTGACCTATATTTAGTCCTTGGCAGCGTGGTGCGGGTTATGACCATTAATGAAAGGGCTTAATAAAGGCGTTCTGATCGGTCGTCTTAGTTGAATCGACATTAGGGATTGGTGTTATCTGTTTTTTTTTTTTTATATTTGCATCTCCCTCACACCGGCGGTAAAATCCGCAGCTGGCTGTGCGTGGAAAGAAGAACGGTCCATTTTGCATGGGACAGGCGAATTCTGGATTTGGTCCTTGTACAAAGACACGAAATGCATGCAGATGAGAGAGAGTATCCTATTGGGCCTTGATCCTTTCCGGTCTTGTTCCGGCTCTAGAGACTCTTGGATTGCATTTGAAACTCTTGGGTTGGACGAGAGGGAAGTAACACAACACACAACAACTGCTTTTCATTGCGTTTTTGGGACCGGTCGGGAAGGAAAGGAAAGAGATTCGAATTAGCAAGTCGAGGGTATTTGTTGCATTGCGCGGATGTGGGGGTTATTTTGCGTCCGGCAGTGGTACATAATTCGCTAGGGGGATCTACAAACCTACCTAACCTGTAGACAAGAACAAGCAGGCTAGACTGTATGATAGGGATTATTCTACAATGTTTCTACTTTTATTTTTCAATGTTCCAGCTGCCAATTGATTGCACTAGTGAACATTTACCGTTTTTGTTTTTAGCCCTTTCAAATATAAGGAGCACTAACTGACAACAATATCTCGGTTGAGTTTTAATATCTGTTCGCTTTAAAATATATTTCGAGTATTAAGATTCTGCGTTACATGCCATACAAGTAGTGCATGTCTAGCAATCCTTAACTCTTATCTATTAGGTAGTCCTGATTTTTTGGGGAGGCGTAGTCCGTCCAAGTCCCATACCAAAAAGTTAAGCCTTCGCGCAACAGTTATAGTATTTTACGGCCTACTCCATTAAAAGCCCTATGCTTCTTATGCTAGATAGAAAAAAGCGGTTCCGGCTTTGCAATTCGAGATGTTTTTAGATGTTCAAATATTTTTTTTCTATTTTTTATACCCTCTTTTTCCAACTCATAAGCGGTATCTCTCACTCCAACTTTCATCACTCCTCACTAGCAGATAGACACTGCCCCACAGAATACTCCTATCATTGCTTTAACTCGTCTATTCCTCTTTTCCTAAGATTTCTTTCTAGTTAGTTAGTCTGTGGTCATTCCAACCAACCTGGTACCGATAGCGAGCGGGAGCGGGAACCACCCCCTTTCAATCTAGCAACATCTTCCGTTTTTAAAAAGCATACATCATATAAACCCTGATTACACGGGTCCTAAACTATACAAGTAAATCAGCTAGTCCGCACACCTAAAAAATTCAACTCTTTCCTTCATTTCCAAACTCTCCAGTAACAAATTCTTCCTTCGTCTTCGTGTATATCCTCCAAATTCCTTATATACACATACAAGCTGTCCTTAACTACCACACCTCACTACATCACACTACCCTATACCTCGAAAGCACAACACACGGAGACAGACAGACAGACGACATGGCGCCCGTAGCGATAGAATTCGCGTACAGATATCCGTACCAGTTCATCCCCGGCGTGTCTTCTCTTACTCGCCCACAAACCATCATCTGGGGATCTCCATCTTCGTCATCTTCAGATCAAATTACCAGTACACCTCTATCAACATCGACATCACCACCACCTCTCAAAGCTCGCACGCACGACACCCTCACAGCCGCATCACAACTCGCCACAGCATTGAATTCGGCGTTCCTGACCCTGCTCGCCGTATTCACTATCTGTGTCTGTATTGCCGTATGCATGTACTGCGTGGGAAGCCTCAGAGGAGACCAAAATGATCAAAATCAAAATCGAGATCTGGAGCGTGAGAGAGAAGGGGGACGTCAAGTGGAGGTAGGAGGGGAGGGGGAGGGGAATTTAGGATCTGTGACGGCGACGGCGGAGGATACGAAGTTGTCGAATGGCTGTGGGAGGGGGTGTGGAGTGGGAAATCGGTATGTGAGAGAGCAGGAGAGTGACGAGGAGAGCGAGGAGGAGTTTGTGGGGGATGGGAATAGGGTTTGGTAGTTTGTTGGGCTGCGAGTGGGGGGTACTGTATCAAAGAATTTGGGGGATTTGGGGAGGGCGTTTATCGAATTATAGGGGGATGGACCGTTCGTTGTAGCTTGTGACTGCGGATGTCGGTGTGGAGCGCAGGATAAGAAAGTAAAAGAGGTTCATGTACTGTAATGGATGGTAATGCTGGTTATTGGATCAAGATATCTGTCTGTCTGTCTCTGGATTGGTTGGCTGGCTGGCTATCCACACGTATTTCCAGATTAAATTAGAAAAAGGAGTTGTGTGGTTTTCCTTAGAAGGGTGGGGAATTCTGTATGCAAATTATATAGTTATATAGTTCCTGCAATTGTATTTATACGGTACCGGCTAAGCAGATATTTATATTAAACCTACCTTAGTAATGTATAGATGTCTTTGTCATGTGTGTGAGCGAGCTCGAATCCTGTTGCAAGATCCAGCTGAGTCAATGCGGCTTAGTTTACATATCTCTATCTAAAAGAATATAACTCCTATAATGTTTTCCAGCCGTCTACACAAAAACAGCAGAAGCCTCGCGGCAGATAGAAAAAGCGGCACCGATTAATAACATGCCAGGTGGCATGGGACATCAAAGGTCAATTAGAACAAGTGCTGCTTTGTATATCTAGCAAGCTTAAGGATTTATAATTGGCCGTCCTTTCATGTAGGAGGCCGTAAAGCACCACAGGAGATAAGCACTCATTAGGATCTTGATATCTCACCGAGGCCTTTAAGGAAGCCACTAAAGTCTAGAAGGGAAACAGCAAATTAAGACATGTTTTTTTCCCTCTTGCTTATTCAGAGTTGAAATTCATCTATTGCATACTTTTCTACGAGTCATCCACGTCAATGTACACATCGCCACACCCTTGTGTGCAATCAGTTGCTCTAGCAGGAGCTTATCATACATTCTATACACCATAAAACAACCTTCCATTTCAAGATTTCCTTCCTTTCCTCTTCTTTGCCGGTCTCGCAGCAACGTGAGCCCTCCTAATAGCCTTGGCCTCTTTCGTTGTCCTCTTCCCAATATCCCAGCCCCAACCCCGTAAAATCCTGACTACTTTCGGGGTAACTGCGACCGCGATAGGAACACGGATGAAGATGAAAGATTTGTGGATCGCATATGCGAGCGCCAATTGCGTTGCTAGGCCTGGAAACGTGTAGTGTAAGTCTGTGAGGTAGGATATAGTAGGGAAAGAGCACTTACTGGCATCCACCTTGTTCTTCTGCTCAGCCTTCTCGACTCCCCACCCAGCCATTTCAACTGCGTCGCTTACTTCCTCGTTGCCGAAGTGTTCGTGCTCTGCTTTCTTCATCGAGAGTCTCCATTCATGCCATGTTTGCTTTACGGAGTCTGGGATCATCTTTTTCACGTTCGAGACAATATAATGCTCCCACTCGCCTGTATTATTATGTTAGTGGATTGAGGTTGTAATTGAGAAATAAAGCTAAGGCCAATGCAGTGTCCAGTCTCTGTTAGTGTTGAAGCATCTCCAGAGGCGCATTTTGCTGCAAAGGTTGCCAGAGAGATTTATGTTTGATGCCTTTCCTCAACCCACACCTCTTGTTCTTGTCGATACGCTCGCTAAGACCACTCGAAAAGTGCAAGCACTCTAGGAGTTGAATATGGCAAGAATCAAGCATTGAAAGCTTGTCGAAATACCGCCCGGGAACTACTGGCAAAGGGGCTGGATTCTTTCGAAGCAGAGATGCTGAACAACAGACCTCAGATGTTGGTCTGTGTTTTTGTGCCTGGCTTTTGACTTGCCATGGCAACTAATACAAACACCAAATATGACGATACCGCAGTAGCTCCTTTCTTGCTGGTATTGCCGCGAGAACGGGACTTCGAGGGATTAGACTCCAGGGCTCATATTTGATCCTCTCTTAGACCCGCAACTCTTCCCGTTGTGTCTGTACGAATTCGGTCTGCTCTTTCGCAGCTTCCAATATTCTTCATATTCCATTCGGAGTCGTGTTTATCCCAATAAAATATGTCGGCCGAGTCCCTCGCTCAGTGAAAGACTCACATATCTAAGATTCATTCCCACTTTCATGGAGCCGTATATTTCAACCACCACAACCATCAAATTCCCAGAGACTAGACACTGCATTCCATCTAAAAAGAAAACCCACTCACCAATTCTATCGGTCCCCAGCGTCCTAACCAACAAATAACAGAACGGAAAATCCAGCGCACTCAACATCAAATACACTCCCAGCCCTGACCACCCATATTCCCTCGACAATTTACGCATCCTCGCTCCCAAACTTGTTGGGTCTGCCTCGGCAGCAGACCCTTTCGGAGAGCCAAGGTTCGGCGTTGGATCTGGAGATGTAGGCTTGCCATTTCTCCGCCCGCGAGAGCTATGTAGGAAGCGTAGGCGCTGCCAAATGCTATTCGGCTTTTTGGGGGAGCGGAGGTTGTGTGAGGGGAGGGTGAAGGCTGTTGTGGATTTCGGTTTCGAGGTCTGGTGTAAGGAGCGGATGGGTGCTGATGTTCGTAAAGCTGGTCGTGTAGTTAAGGGGAAGCGTAGTGCTCCTCGAGGTATGGTTGTTCGTAACATATTTGGTGGGAGGTTGTGTGATTAGGAGGTAGCTCCGCGTGAGGTCGAGGTTGCTCGTATTGTACAAATGCAATGGGTGCTTCTCGCTGCAGACTGCCGGTCCTTTGTACCTAGGATTCTTTCTCGAATTCAGAAGACCTGCTCGAACTTCTAGCAGCTTGGCCGGTGCTTCCGTTCTAGTTAGATATCAAAGCCCATTTGCGTTTTGCTGAGTGCTTGAGAGAAAGAACAGAAGAAAGATTGAGTTTGGAATTATATGTTCAAGAAGACAAGTAATAATCAATAAGTCATGATTGCGTGTTGTTTTGATTGTCGTAGCTACTCGTGGTCTGACAGACTGACGTTGACAAAATTGGGTTCGGCCTCAATATTGTTCCTACAGTACAGTACTGACCTTAGGCATGCAGAGTGATGCAAGTGGGGCCATGTTTTGTGAACGTTGTGCCGCTTTAAAGGTTCACATCACGAGACAATTTAGAGCGGCATGAGTTCACGAGCTAATGTTTGTTCGAGGACCTAGGTAGGTAGGTAGGTAATGTAAAGTGCAAAATGATATGATACTTTTTGTCGACAGCTAGTACAAATCAATATTTACAATGAATGTGTAGATTCATATAGACCCGCTACAAAAGAGCAAAATGAACTAATATATACTTCAGAATCGAATCTCACTTCCCAACCTTTTCCAACCTTCCTATACAACCTAAGAAAGATAAGTCGTGTCAACCCACCCAGTATAGGTGCTTCCCAGAATAGTCGAGATGGAGACTGCAGCACTGAGCTCGGAAGAAAAGCTAGCTCTGGTTCCTGAAGCGCCAGTTCCAGTGTTGCCGTATTCTTGGAAGGTCACATCCTCAGTATTCGACGTGGTGGAGCTCCATACTTCCCAACCAGCACTGTTGACGACAGCTCCAAGAGCCGTGTTCTGGAAGACAACCCTGGCATACTCGCTCCAAGGTCTGCCGAGATAGATAGACCCGGTCCCAGAAGCCGTGCCAGTGGTTCCTGCTACAGTAGACTTGTTGATTACATAGTAAGAAACATCGGTGGATGAAGCACGTCCATTTGCGGTAATTGCTCCGGGAGCAGATGATCTGATGTCGGAACCATCAATCCAGGCTCTTGCGTGCTGGCCGAAAATGAAGTCGACTGCGCCCTCGATGTAGCACTTGGCGTAGACCTGGTTCCCGATTTGGGCAAGGAGGGTATCCTGGTATCCATACAATCCAACTCCGTAGTAACTGCCCACGGAATTAGTTTGGTAAAGTCACACGTTGGGAGAGTCGAGGAATCTAGGAATGGTCTGGAGAGCTGACACATGGGCTCTTGAAGCAGCTCTTCGACTCTCATGGAAAAGAAGACCGTTTTAGTATGAGAATAAGCTTACCCTTGCTCAGTACCGTAGGCAGCTAGTGCGATTGCTTGAGATCCAGACCCGTAGGTGTTCTTAATGTTGACATTGTAGAACTTGGTGTTGGCTGCTGAGTTTTGGACAGTGCCACTGGCCTCGTCGTCCGCAGCACCGCTCGCAAGACTCGAACTGTGCTCGATATTTACAACATTGCTTGCGTAGGATGACGTATCCGTGGTGTAGCCATAGATGGTGAGAGCTGCAGCTCGTGAAGGGATTATGACTTGCTCAGTGTATGTTCCGGACAGGATGAAAAGGCTCTGGGCAGTGGTAGATGTCGTGCTTAAAGAATCAATAGCAGCTTGAATCTATTATTGATTAGACTTGGTTGCTAATGGAATATGGATATCTCACTGTTGAATAGGTGCCACCGCTACCAACTGTAATTGCACCTGATGGAGCAGTTGTTCGAGCCGTAGCAAGCACAGCCGACACAAATGAAGCAAGTGTGATGAAGTAGTGCATAGTGAATAAATTAGCTTAGCTTTACAAGATTGCTGTAAGAAGAGAAAGATTAAAATGAGTGAACTGAGCTTCGGAGGCGTGCAGGAAAGGGAGAAATATCAGCAAGTGGGAAATCAAGGCAGCTTTAAAGGCATGGCTCCTAAGCACAATACTTTTGGTAAATACGGTACTGGAGATCAATAGGAGCCGTTCCCCGGAGAAAATTTCCCGACACGAAGACTTGGTGGGGAAGAAAGCTTTGGGATAGACACGACTGCGTGTGACCAGGGTCCAGGGATGAACTTCATTCTACACTTTAGAACCCACAGTACTGTACTGTAAGACAGTGTAATTTATGTACTGGGAGGGTAAAACTCATTCCACCTCTCATATGAGGCTATTGAATGGAACCAAAGGATGGATCAATCACGCGTTGAAGCGTAGCGCCGCAGAAGCAAATATTGTGTCAAGCCGGCTGTGGTAGATAGAGAGCCGGCGGGGTCTCTACGGATGTTTGAAACGGAAATCCTCCTAGTCGCGTGAACTACGGAGTACAGTACTTCGTATTTAGATTACTTCGTCGCAGGCCAAATAGTTACGCCAAGAAGACCAGGGCAGGGGTCTTGCTTTAGTGGTTGCCTTACGTCGACTTGAAGAATTAATCCGTAAGTCGACTTACACTAGCCAAATCGGGAATGCATAATAATACCCATGATAATTTATATATAGCACGGACATCCTGACTTGTCAAGTATATCCATCTCTGTAAAAATATGGAGGCAGTCAAGGTACTTAATAAGGCCAGCCTATGCGGAATACACATCTATATAGAGATAATAATAGGTTTTTCTGCCACTTCTATCACGAATAATTAATTGATTCCAAGCACTTTAAATCTTTATTTATAACGCTAAAAGATCAACATCTGACACTTCTAATATATACCTACTAGGATAAGTAAGAAGGGATTTTATATAAGCTAACGCATATGAAAGGTTGGGAACAGTTACAGATATGTATATAATATAACATGTTCAAAACGTGACTTGATTTCGCTATTTATTTTAGTAGGGCCGTAAGTCACTTTTCGCGTCGGTGCTATAGAGGTAGTGCGTGCGTCTACTTGTGCATTTTATACGTTACCGGACTGGTTAGCGTAAGTCGACTTATTAATTTTTCAAGTCGACTTAAGACAACATTTTTACACTGCCCGGGTTGGAAGTTTTAAGCGCCAAGTCACGTTACTACGTAGATTGCGCGACTACTTAGCAGTTACATGTAGGGATAATATATATAGATAGATAGCAGATAAGTTCGCTTGGCACTCTTTACTTAATCTATGGACCGTTATCTTAGCGTAACTATTTGGCCTGCGACTAGGGGATTGATAAATGCGTGTATAATGCGTGTATGTTTCAAAAACATCACATGACTTTACACCTGTCGAGATATGTATGGTGATGATCACACAACCTTATCGTCAATGACTAAGCGAACGAGGCATAGGTAACGTAACCACTTTGCAGAAGGTCCATCATCTAGGTCTGTATCATAATACTAATATAAGTCAAGTCTATAGCAACTAATACATAGTAGAAATGGTCACTCCTGTTCTGAGGGGGATAGCCTAATATGGACATCATAAAACGGGTGTTGAAAAATTCTTCCTATAAAGTAACCAAACTTAGCACTAATAACACTATAAAAGTAGATTGAAGTATATGTGATTAAACCGTTTTCATAGGCCTCAATGCTCTCTACCTGCGACGAAGTAGTTGTTAATCTGAATCCACAAACCAATCGTCTCTGTTAGGGAACATGTGGAATGGCCTGGGGATACGTAGAACCTTTAGTTGATAAAATTAGATTGAGTAGTTGTAGGGAGTCTCTAAATTGAAAGGGACCCGCGAATGCGGGACTCGGAATCATGTTGGACATGTTGGACTCGGACGAGGTTACTGCACGAGTCACATCACCTGTTCGTCAGACCCGCAGCACTGTGATTCGAGGGATATTTGTCGCATCCCGATCTTGAAACCACCACTACCTTACCTTGTATGGCTAATACCCCACACTTGGACCGGGTCTGGCCTTAAGCTTAATTTACCCGAAACATCATCTGGCCTGTCCATGCTCGCCATGGTCCTTGCCCCCTGTTCAGCCTCCTCGCCCGGTCCCTTTACCGAGTCCCTTTAATCTCTGAGTCCACCTCTCTAGACTCCAAATCCACCACTCTAGACTCCAAATCCAGCACTTCCTCCGTACCGTAGCTGCAATGGGCCTTCAAGAGTCCAGCTTTACTGGTAGTCTGGTAGACGTGACGAGGCCTCTTCGGTGCTTTGTAAAATCTCTCACCCAAGAAAACTTCTCCCCTGCTCAACCTCCACCACAGTGCCACTGAATGACGGGAAAACATTGTGTCGTAAACCTTTGTGGATCCAGGCATCCAGCTCCCCCTCTCATCACGCCTACCATGTACCTATGGTCCTATTCTCGGTATGCCCAGTACTCCGTAACTAACTAATCACTCTATACGCAGCTATACGCTATGGCTGGGCCGAAAACCCGGGACCCTCTGCTTGGCTCTCTTTTCTCAAGTGATATAAGAGAAAACTTCAAGCCTCACAATTCTTTTCTCCCCAGTACCTTGCTACTGTCCATTCTTTCAGACCACATTCTTTCAACTACACATTCCTTTCATTTCACCTACCTTTCCCAAGACTTCTATCCAAAGACTTTAAAATGGTTCAATTTTTGAAAGCTCTGGGGCTGGGCCTCAGCACCGCCTCCGTTCTGGTCGCCGCTGTGCCTATGCCGACTGCTGCCCCAAATATCCTCAATGCTGTTGCTCTTGAGAAGCGTGCATCTTGCACTTTCACCGATGCTGTTGCAGCCAGCAAGTCCAAGACATCTTGTGCTACCATTGTCTTGAACAACATTGCAGTTCCTTCCGGAACAACCCTTGACATGACGGGACTTACAACCGGCACAAAAGTAATTACATCTGTCCATCGTTCGATTTGTACTTTTCGCTAATTGGCATAGGTTATCTTTGAGGGAGAAACTACCTGGGGATACGAAGAGTGGTCCGGTCCTCTCTTCTCCGTCTCAGGAGAAAACATTGCTGTCTCCGGTGCTACTGGAAACTCGTTGAACGGCAATGGTGCCAAGTGGTGGGATGGAGAGGGTACCAACGGAGGAAAGACCAAGCCCAAGTTCTTCTACGCTCACAGTCTGACCGGAACCTCCTCCATCACCGGCTTGAACATTCTCAACAGTCCAGTGCAAACCTTCTCAATCAACAGCGCTACGGGATTAACTGTCACTGATGTCACCATTGACAACTCCGCTGGTGACACTGACGATTTGGGACACAATACCGATGCTTTTGACATTGGATCGTCTACCGATATCACCATTACAGGAGCCAATGTCAAGAACCAAGATGATTGCTTGGCCATCAACTCAGGAACTGTGAGATATTTCCTCTTCAATATATATGAGCAACGCTAATCAAAGTAGAGCATCACCTTCACCGGCGGAACTTGCTCAGGAGGACACGGTCTCTCCATCGGCTCCGTTGGAGGCCGTTCTGACAACGTTGTCAAAGATGTTACCATCTCTTCCAGCACCATCAGCGACTCTGCCAACGGTGTCCGCATCAAGACCATCAGCGGAGCAACCGGAAGTGTCAGTGGTGTCACTTACAAGGACATCACCCTTTCTAACATCTCCTCCTACGGAATTGTAAGTCCACCACTTTCTACCAAGAGAGAAGGATTCTAACGGAGCAAAACAGGTTATTGAGCAAGATTACGAGAACGGTAGCCCAACTGGCACCCCCACCACTGGTGTCCCAATTACCGATCTCACCATCTCCGGTATCTCGGGCTCTGTAGCATCAACTGCCACCAATGTTTACATCCTTTGCGGATCCGGATCATGCTCTGACTGGACCTGGTCAGACGTGACTTTGACAGGAGGAAAGACCAGCTCCAAGTGTTCGAACGTCCCATCAGTGGCTTCTTGCTAAATGGGTGTGAAAAATAGACGATAGGCCAAGGGCCCAAGAGAAGGAGGGTGTGGGGATCTAGATCGATCCCGCTTTATATTCTACTGTAACCATATTTTAACCTGGATATGCAAAGCATGCTACTTTTTTTGTACAATAGAAGATCCACTTGGATGGATTATATACTCAACTTGTGTAAAGCACAGGCTGCAAAAACTAACTGTCTTGGATTCAACTCGTGATATATCTAATCTTGTGAACTTTGTTAACCCCTCGATCTTTTCATAATAATCAATTTTGAATTCTGCCAATGTATCCCAGCGCCGACCAATGTCCATGCAAAACTACCTGCCACCTGCCACCTGCCACATGCCATATGCCATATGCCTCATTATTCATACAAATCATTATTCAACGCACCCCCTCCACACTCACTCCTTCCCCTTAACCTTCGGTACCTTCTCATACGCATTTGGACTCCTCGCCCTTCCCTTCCCCTTATCCTTCCCCTTATCCTTCCCATGCTCATGTCCATCATGTCCACAATTCTTCTTCCCATTCCCTCTTCCACTCGGCCTCGCACCCCCATCATCACTATCACTATCACTATCATCACTACTGCTATCCGACGAACTCTCATCACTCGACTCATCTATACCCTTCGGCGCATGATAAATACAGCACACTATGCCACAAATCATTAGCCATCACTCACTCACTGCCTCCCACTACCTTGAATAATAACCATAGCTATAATCATAACATAACATAACATAACATAACATAACATACCTTTACTCTTCTTCCTCCCCAACCCCTCATTATCTACCACATCCTCCGCCCACTGTATCCGCGGTCTCCTCGTCCTCGTCCCCATACTCGCCTCCTCCTCCCTTGTCGCGCCCCGTAAATGCAGCACTGGCGCACTACTGGTCGTGCTGGGTATTTGCGGTGCATCCGAAGTAGACGTCGAGGCCGGGATCTGCACTTGGGTTTGTGCGGTTGTGCCTGAGCCAGAGGCGCGCGAGGCTGTTGCGCTACTTGATGCCATTGCGTGTGCGTGCCGTGCGAGATCTTGCGTCGTGTGCGAAGATGGCTCGATGGTTCGCTCTTTGTGAGGGTCGTATGTTTTTCTTTTGGGAATGGTGGAATGGATGCGGGGGTAGGGTTTTACTCCGCGGCGTTATTAGATACTGTTAGCTATGATAGCAGGATTGCGGAGGTATCGAGGAAGATGCTTGCAAAGTACTGTATAGCAATGGATTGTATTTGAAGAATCGAGGTGGATGACGAAGCTTGCTTTGCCAGAATTTCTCGCATGTTGCCCCGCGGTTCACAATCGGCTGGCTGCGATTTATGCGGGTGTTAGCGCGGAAGCCCCCCCCCCAGGAGGTTCGTATGACATGGGTATCTTCATGCAGAGGGATACGAGATAATCTGGATCATTATGTATTTATTCTCATCTTATCATTACCACTAAAAGTAGTCTATACAAAACATCTAAACAAGCATCAGAGCAAGTATCAAAGTCCCCAATATAGCTGCAAGATCTACCCCCTTTCTCTGGCTCGATGCCCTATTTGGACTATCCTTCTGAGCCACAGCAGTCGAAGTCGGCGAGATTGACGAACAGCTCATGGCTCCACATTGCCATCCGCTAGGACAGCAATTTCCTCCATCACTAGCCGCACAACTTGCCCATCCGCTCGCGCAGGCACCGGTTGGGCTATTGACGGTAGCTGCTGAGCCGACAGGAACGACAACCGTAACCCCAGTACTTATGATAGTCGTGGAGCTTGCTACTGGACATGATGTTGTTTGGCAGTCCCTTCCTGTTCGGCAACAGCCTCCAGCGTAGTAAGCATCGCAAGCGTAGAATCCGGTGGGACATTGAGTTGGGCCTGTTGAGGAAGTAGTTGTAGATGTAGCGCTTGTAGGACGCACTGGAGCTACGCCTGTTGCTGAACTTGCTGAGGTTGTGGTGGAACTCCGGCTGAATGCAGATGAAGAAGATGAAGAAGATGGGGTTGATGTAGCTGTTGCCGTAGTGGAAGCAATAACGATTGTGCTGATTTGCGTGGTTGTTAAGACGGAAATCGAGGACGCCTTAGTGCTGCTGAGGGTTCGAGTTACAACTATCGTTGTCACTGAATTCATAACACCTAATCACAATTAGCCTTGAATCCACAACCGAAAAGGATAATTAAGTACTTACAGCCAACGCCCTCACAAACGAAGTTTGGTATACAGCATCCCCCTCCCAGCTCAGCAGCACAAGCAGTATTCGGCGCATTGCAATCCGTAATCGTCCCCCCACAACTACCTCCCACAGGACAACAACCGACGGGTCCCAACCCGGTATCCTGAATCTTAAAGCAGTTCTCATTCGCACCGCAACAGCTATTTGGGTATCCAATCCCGTCACAACTCGTCGTCCCACTTGGACAAACAAAATCTCTCTTCTGTAATGCAGCAAGGACCGCAACACTCTCCATTGCCCTCCGAGCTCTTAAATCCCCATATGCTGTCCCGAAATCTGAATGCAGCGCAAACGGGGGCCGAAATGATATAGCCGCAGATGCATTCGCCAACAATCTAGCTTCCTCTTCCTCATCCCTAGCTCTTAAAGGAGTGCTGAACATCGGCGATTGCACTTGGTCTTTCTCAAATTGCCAATATTCCATATAGAACTTCTCTCCCTCATCAGGACTCATTTTCATAACTCCCACAGGATTTCTTCCTAGTCGCAGATGCTCTTCCACATCTCGTCGTCGATCGGTGCTTTCTAGTGAGCGTTTGGCTTGTGCTCCTACCAATGGTGCTGGCAATTGCTCTTCTGCGAAGACTGTGTGCGAGGCTATGAGGAGGATGGATGCCGGGAGGCTGAGGATGGAGGGAATTCGCATGATGCAATTGTAGGATAATCTAAGACAATGCTGATGTGAGCGCTACAAGACTGGAACTAGAAAATATCTGGATCGGTTATGAAGAATGCAAGGGGAGAAGATCTAGAGCTGATTTAGATCATGATGCCGCAAGCTGGTGGCTGGTATTGTCAGGAGCAAGATTTCTGTAGCGTCAACAACAAACCGTGTGGCTGGGGGGTACAAGCAGGGTCAGTCCCTGACTTGATAAAGTGTCTGTGGAGAACCAGAGTATTAAACACGTCAAGCTAGCAACGTGTCACTCACTTTTGTTGTTCTTGGGCTTCAATGCTAGTTAGTGCGAGGACAAGGACTTAGAAATCAAAAACTGGGGTTGTAATGCGAGTCTTCATCACGATCACCTGACACCGCGAATCAACTTAACTCGGCATCTAACGGAACGCGAAAAGCTTCCCAGGTATCCCACTCTCATCACAAGCCCATAGTAAACATGCCGCGTACAGATGAAGCGGAATCATTCTTCTACGCAGTATATAGCGCAATTCAAGAGATACCATATGGGAAAGTCACGAGTTACGGTCACATTGCTGCATTAATAGGCACTCGTAAGCCCTTTTCTAATCTCAACTCCTTCAACTCTCCTATAGTAATTTGGAGAGGGCTTGTATTAACAAGACATCAGCTCAACGACCCCGTCAAGTAGGTCTCTGTCTCAAACACCTCTCCACAGACGCCTCCCTCCCCCACCACAACGGCAACGTCCCTTGGCAGCGCGTTATAAACTCCAAAGGCATTATATCGCCTCGGTAAGTTCGTCTTCTATTCTGCGTCTGCCTTTCTTTTTGCATTAGAGCTGAGTCGTTGACTAGAGGTCATCCATCCGGAGCTGCGAACCAAGCACAGGTGTTACGTGGCGAAGGAGTTACTGTTAGTACGGGCAACTTGAGCGAACTCAGGGTGGATTTTGCCGAGTATGGATGGTTTCCCAGACAGCTTCCCAGTGAGGAGGCGGCGGGGCTTGATCCTCATATCATGTCCGATGATGAAGAGTAGCGGAGGCAGAGCGCGATTTCGGGACGGACGTTGGGGGAATTTGAGCGCAGAGTAATTCCAAACGAAGACATCACAATAAACAACAATGTGTGGAATGGTGTATATGGACCTAAAGCTTATAATACAGCGCAAGACCAGAACAAATCTGTCTTACTACGGTCCCCAACACCATCATCCACATCAAAATTTCAGTAAATATGCGTAGTAAAAGTCTCGCCAGCTGATCAGCTCGCCACGCCTATTGACTCTATGTCTTGATGAGACTCGAGTATAGGATGGTCCCTCCCTTCCTCCCAGCCCACAGTTTGGAGTGAATTGGCCAATCTCATTAGCAGAAATCCTCGAGACTAAACTATGCCACTTATACTGATACCAATATCAGACCTCTTTCTCTCATGGCAAGTGCCAAGTAGGACTCACCAAATTTTGGCAGTTCGAGAACATCTCATTTCAACGCTTCCATAACTTGTTTCCACCCAAGAATCCAGGCAAAATCATCAAATCCTCTGTCGATGCAGCCACTCTAAGTAAAGTATGCAGCAAAGAATGATCCGCATGTTGCGTAATATTGAGGCGCTGTAATACCGTCGATGCTAAGCATCGGCGCCGGATTATATATTTCGTGGCCGAGTATGTTTACTCATTTTGCCTCCTCACCACCCTCCGAGGCTCGTGCTTGAGGGCCATTGGGGATCTGATTGTTCGATGGGCCATTAGGATGTTGGCCGTGCGGCTGGAAGTTTTTATTATTGTTATAATTGCCGTTAGGATGATTGTTCCGATGCTGCGGTCCATATTGATGCATCTGTTGTGGACTCGTACCGAACTGGTTTGGGCCGTTGTAACCGCGCATGGGCACTATAATGTATTAGCGGCTGTTAAAAATGATATTGGTTCAGTAAGCTTACTCTGTCCTGGTGACTGTTGATATATGGGCTGTCCATACTGAGGGCCTGGACTCATACCAGGGTTCACATTTCCATACATTGGTGGCTGGGACTGGTGGCCTTGTTGGGATCCTTGGCTCATCATCATTGGAGCAGCACCTCTTCCTGGGCTTGGGTATCCTCCATTGACACCAGGCATTGGCGGAGGGTGACCATTCTGCGGTGGAATGAAGTGGTTTTGGCCGCCCGGGGGGTACATGACCTGAGGGCCAGGCGCCATACCTTGAGAAGTCATGAAGCTATTAGCAGGGTTTTGCATCATGATGGGTCCCATATGTTGTTGCTGTGGCATGAACTGGTGATTCTGAGAGAGTGATCTGAAGCCCTGCATTGGTGGCGCGCCGGGATATTGCACCATCGGGGGATTGTACGGCAACTGAGGTTGACCCATGGGCGACGATGGGAATGCCATAGGAACATTATGGGGTCGAGGGGAGGCATACGACTGCGCAGACTGGGAAGGCATCATGCGATGGTCGTCAGGGCCATTGAAAGGTGGAGTTGGACCATGGCCATGTTGATTGCCATGAAGATTCATGGGCGGTTGTCGGGGAGACTGTCTTGGATGGCCACCTTGTTGCAGATGCAAAGGCAGTTGGTATTGGTGCGGAACCTGAGGAATAGCATGGGAAGGATTTGGCGAAGAAAGGGTTTGTGTCGGGAAGGGTGCCATCTCGAACAACTCTTTATAAGTCAAGTGCATTGTCGAGTCAGGCTTCTCATCATCAGAAGGCGATCGCCAGGTAGGAAGTGTATCAAAGGCGGGCTTTATGCCACCAGTCTTCGCCCAGTCCTTTCCAGGTGGCGGCTTGATCGACAGGATATGTTCCAGAGCATTGAACTTTTCCTTCAAAGAAGGTCGCTCTGAGGTAGGAACCGGCTTGTGCTTCAGCAGTGACTTCGTGGCTGGAGCAGGTGGCTCGACAGCATTGGCAGCAGATCGAGGGCTTGATCCACTGCTAGGGTTGCCGTTGGGGTTAAATGTGGCGGCATGTGGACTTGGCCGGAACTCGCTGCTGTTTGGATTCAATCTTCCACTTTGGGCGCTTGTTACACCACTTGAGCGGCGAGAGAAATTGGGGTCGGCGACGTTGGAGGGCCCTGTTGGTGGGAGCCTCGTCTCGTGAATGGGCATGGGGTTCACAGGAAGCTGGGTATGCTTGTTCTGTTGCTCAATGTTTCTCAACCTCTGACCTAGATTTCCAGGCGGACGGGCCTGCTGAGAGGGCATTGCTTGCTGGGCTCCAGGTCTATCTGGGCGGAAGGACTGAGAATTGTTGTATGAGCCTTGGTGTTGAAATCCAGGGTTTCGATTAGCGTTCTGTCGGCCAGGGGCATTAGATGAAGGGGTTGCGCCGTGCGTTGTAGGGACAGGACGAGTAGCTGGTTTAGCCTCTGAGGTTGTTGATATAGCTTTGGTAGCTTCGGCAGGGTTAGCCTTGGCCGCTTCCGCGTTGCGCTTTGCCTTTTCTTGAATCTCCTGTTGCTTTGCGGGGTCTTTAGCAATGATAGACACAAGATCCTTGGGAACTGGTGTGTTGAGCTTGAAGCTATCCGCAAACTTCTTTAAGTCATTGAGCTTGACCTCTTTGTCATTTCGGGCTTTCTGTGTGCGAATTGTTGCAACATTTATTCTCTCTCGGGTAGCGAATGTCTTATAGGCGCCCAGAACGTCACGTTCAACAGTGGCTGTAGCGTTTGGAGTAGCAATGCTTTTGACCTGCGGCGAAGCGTTGTGGCTGGCGGATGAGGTTTGCGCGCTGGCGGCTACTTTAGGCTCCGGAGTAACACTCGTCTCAGTCGTTGTAGGTGGAGTAGCAGCTTCAGGCTTGGAGGGCTTTTGCCCAGGAGCAGGCTTTTTTTCAGCACTTGACTTATCAGGACGTGCGAGCTGTGAAGATATGATTGCAGGATCCACAGGCGCACCGGCAACAGTTGATTGTCCCGTAGGGGCCCGTCGAGCCGGAGGTGTGTATTTGTTGTTTGTGGAAGAGAGGGGTGGGAAATCTTGTTGTCGGCGGACACCACTATATCTGAAAGGAGGTTAGCAAATTGAACAGGAAACATATCACTTTTAACATACTTATCCTCTTCATCACCAATATCGCCGCTTTTAATATTGTCTGTGACTCGCTCTTCTGCAACATGAGAATTGGTAGCCGCACTGCGCTCAATCTCTCTTGCTTTGATTTCCGCGTCTGCGACTCTTTGCTTGTATTGAGGGTGGCTTTTGTCCAGGGGAGTTGTGTATATGTTTTCATCATAGTCAGTTTTCACACCAAAAAGGCGCTCATTGACATCAAACTGATCCCACGGGACACCTGGCGTTTTCGTTCTTGTGGACTCCAAGGAGCCATCAACATCTTCAGGGGCATCGGGAACCCATCTTTGAAGAACGCGCTCGCCTTGATTTCTGCCATTAGAAATAGCGCTGTCTGTCCTGAAAGAGCTTGCATTGCCTGGGGTCGTTAGTTGCATACATGGATCGACACGGGCGCTTGACTCACCATTCTGTACTCTTCCATCGTTTGTGCCTCCGCGAGCCTCCGACGGCTCCTTTCGAGGGAAAGCCATATTCGGTTGCTGATACTTGGACCTAGGTGTACCGTTCGTGTTCGACATGTCGCTAAGCTTTTTCCCTTGCACCATAGTTCAACACGTTGAAGGCTAGCTGCTACTCAAGTCGAGGCCCTCGTAGACCGACACTATTCGATTCAATGGCTCCGGTGACCTGCTGGGGTTGATCAGCATCATAGTTGAATGGTGAGAAATTGAAGGGCGAGGCTTTGATTACTCGACACCCAGCTTGACATAATGATTGATGACCCGGTGCGAGGTCGCCCTGCCGGCAGAACCACCCGCTATTAAGGAAAATGTAGAGCGTACCTTCTGATTGACTACTTGGCGCGTGAGGCTCACAGAGGGTGAACTGTCGCGCCAATGTTGTGCTTGTGGATCGATTATGAACTCCTCCAAGGCTGGCTTGCAAGGCAAGCTCTCAACCTCCCTACTGAATTGATGACAGTCAGCATGTGCGAATCTATTACGATAAATGCCCGATGCAAGTTGATGCGAAGATGTTGGGACGTTGCAGCTCAGAGCATCGACGCACAACAAGGCCATAGATAGAAAGAGGCTGGTTGTCAGGAGTGTCTCACCACGAAATATTAAGAAGGCTTGCGAAGCTTCCAACGCTCTCCTCTTCGCGTCAGGCCAATTTGCTGCGGGGAGGGAGTCGACGATGTGCGCGATTCTGTAGATGTCGAGAAAATTTGGGGTTCAAGGATCACGGAAGGGTGAATTGTGGAAGGGGAAGCTGGACAAGCGATGGTGCGCAAGCTCGATGTTCAAACTGCTGTATCAAGAAAAGGCTGGAAGAAGGAAAGACACCTCAAGACAAGACAGCACTCCGCTCTCAACACACGCTGGCCATCAACCGCCTCGGGGCAGCAATAGAGAGGGCTAAGGGGGGACGAGAAGGAAGAGAACAGGTCGGGCGATGACTGAAAGAGCCAAGCAGACGCAGAGGTTGAGGCAGAGGGTCGAGGTGGAAGATTGTAGAGGTGTAGGGTCGTTACGGCGAACGGCAGTTTAATCCCTTTTAGATGCTAGGCTTGGCTTTCTTTGCGCTTGCGAGTGCGAGGGAGGCCGTGCACCAGAACCCTGCCAGAATATTCGGGAGCCAGGCCAGATGGTGGATGTTTAGTTTAGTCCAAAGGCGAGGGCGAGGGAAAGGGAACTCGGGCTGTTATCTGAATTATTTGCTTCTGCTTCGCTTTGTTTCAAATACTCGACTTTACAATTGACGGGTACGAAGCGCATATATTGCCAGCCGACTGCTGCTACTATATCCACAGATTCGTCGCATCCAAGTGCCAGATTGTGCGAAGCTTTCCATCCGACACCTGCAATTTTAGGTCACGTCTTTTTCTTTTCCCTAACATCATACAGGTACTCCCACCATATTTCATTTGCTCAAACAATAGTCAAGGGGAAAAGGTCCATAAAGTACCGGCTGGGAGGGATGTGAGGCCGAAGTGGGTGTTTTTTTTAGAGAACCAATCACCCACACGATGTGGTTCTATTCCACGTCTATCCCATCCAATGAGTCAGAAGAAATATATTAGAAATAGCTGTCTTGCTTGCACGTATCATAATGGTGGTGTCATGCAGAAAGGGTGCCCTATCTGTTGTTGCATAGAAAGAGAAAGCGGACATTTAGTAATCTTTGTCTCCTCTACCATGTCCATTCAACGAATACCGGTAGTTGATATTTCACCGGTATACATATAGGTACCTACCCATGGCCGACTGGAGAGAACTTGAAGGGAATCGAATGTCGAATCTCGTACTATTTCTAATCGAAATTGAGCCCAACAGCGACGGGAAAGAGCATTTGTACTACACAGAATTATCGAGTCCGCTATCCAATAATCCAGTAAGTGCGACCAACCAGATGGCGGACAACATGATTGTTACTGCCTTTGGATTAGATGCATATGAGTAGGCATTAGCATATCAGCATATATCATATAAGAGAATCAAGAAATTATAGGTATTCGTCCTAGATATAAGTTTTTCTTACCTCCAACGCCCTCTAATATTATATTGTCGCATTACTCCGTATTATCTATCTAATATTAGTATCTTACCCAAGGTATGTATGTGTCGCGGTAGGTAGAAATCAAAGCTTCTAGAATATTACCCGAAGAAGCAGCCCTGAACAGGTCTGCACTTCTGAAGTGTCCTTTTCTTGCCGTGGCTGGCCTTACCACCTACCTATCCACTATTGTTCCTGCTGTGGTTTTAAGTTCCGAAAAAAAAGGTTGAAACAATGTGCTGTGCTTTACTTGTATCTGACTTCCCCAGACCTTTCGTGCATTGTTTCGAATTCACAAGCCTCGAATTCACACGCTAAGCTAACTTTATGCTTTTCTCGCTAATCCCAATTCGGCATGGTATGGTGCCGCAGCCGTATCTGGACGCTCTCAGCCGGCGATAGAGACGGACACTTCAACTTAATATTCAATCGACCATCTGCAAAGCTCACGCCCAACACGCCGCCCATGTGATTAATAGACTCTCTATCCAAAATAACATGACTGCTTATAGGGACGACTAGCAGAACTTGTCCTCACAAGGATCCACAGAAACCACAGACATGCAATCCACATCCCTACGATCAGTTCAACGACGCTCTCCAGCCGCAGATTCAGGCCCACCACCGACAGTATCTGCAAGATCGATGTCTCCAGCTCCAGGATCCCAGCCGCGGGCATCGTCGTCGTCCGCCAAGTCTACTGCAAATGGGAGTTTGAACCGAAGACAGAACGTGAGTGTTGCAATAGCTTGCGTTTTCTTCAAGGGCTCTACGAATATATATGATGCTGACTCAATATCTTCCAGGGAGGCGCAACTTCACAAAGCGGTCAGAATGCTCTTCCGCTGTCCCAGATCGAGAAGAGCGTAACCCACCTCCTTGTCGCGACGAAGCAACTCCTCGAAACCCTTACACAATGGTCTCGTCACCAAGCTACCGACGCGCAGGTCTCAGATGTATACGTGCGGCTAGGCTACGAGTTCAACATAGCATGCAGAGCCTTCACGGCCATCAATGTTGATACCTCCGACCTAGGCAATGTCCCAGAGCTTCTACGTCATATTCTTGAATCCACGCTCAGCCAGGAAGCAAGCGTTGAGAGCTTGGAAAAGTACCTTCCTCGCATTAGGGACATCATCATCAACCTTCTACAAGGCTTGAAAAGAAAACAACAGAAGTTACGGCAGAAGCAGCCAAGAGATGGTGCAGTTTCCAATGAGATGTTACCCCGAAATAGCAGTGTAAGTAGCGTTGGGAGTGGAAATTCGGGTCTCAGTACCCTGCTGGACCAGGGAATATCAAACAATTTCCAAGGAGATGGAATGCAGAATAGCAGAAATAGTGGAGCCTCGAACGAAGTCAGCGCGCCCCCAAGGATGTCTTCACAAACCACGCGCAGAGGCTTTCCAACGCGAGATCAGTCCCGCGAGTCGATGTCTTCAGACCAATCAACAATATCCAGTACAACGATGCAGAATATGCCTATTCTACCACCGTATCCAGGGGATGAGGCTCCAACCCCCGCACGCCCAGGCTCAGGTGAACTCAATGTGGACTCATTTCCACCTCCACCTCCGCCGCCCAAACAGCAGAATGCACTAGCAGCTCTCCAAAGAGGCGGGGAGCTCGAAAGGAGAGCCTCCAGGCGATACTCGGCATACCAGATAGGGAAACACTTAGGTGCACCTTCTAATGGTGTACCTATGCTTCCGCCACCTCAGAACTCTCCTATTCCGAATAGAGGTCGGAACGATACCCGCGAATCTATGAGGGCAGTTCAAAACCGAGGCGAACGCCATGCACGAAACGCCTCACGTCTAGTCACTGAGATCTCACCAGCGCGTGTTCCAAGTCAAATATTGGAAGATGGTTCCAAACCTCCAGTGATGACGCCACCTGATGAAGCAGCACCTGACGATAGTCCTCTCGTGAAGACTCCGGACGACAAATTAAGGCAATCAATTGTCGATTTTGAATCGCCGTTACCAAGTGCCACGTTGCAGGGACCGCCCAGCGATGCACTTCCGTTCCTCCCTATGCATGATGAACCTTCTAATGCTCCTGAACCGTCAATGCCCCAGAAGGTTGCGGATACTACCAGGGAAAGCCCACCTTATCCAAAGCAAGATAAGCAATTCACGCCAGAGCAATCGCCGCCACTTGGTGACGAATTGACCCTTTTCTTGCAATACAAAACAAAGGTCAAGAAGTTCGTTTTGGCAAGTGGGTATAACGATTTATCAATGGCAAGGCTTCAACTTGCATTCATAGAGAAATTTGCATGGAATACACACAACAACGGAGTTGACCTTCCTGAAATCTATATACAAGACCCGGTCTCTGGCGTGCGCCACGAGCTTGAAGATCTGAACGACATCAAGGATCGTTCCGTACTAGTTCTGAACATAGAGCAACTGGACGAAGTCAAACGCCACATTGACGAGCGAATGGGAGTATTAACGAAGTCGGTCGACGGCTTACACACCATGATGAGTGACTCGCAAAATATTTTCCAGCAAGTCTCAGACCGCCAGCTAGACGCTGCAAAAGAAATAGGTCGTTTAGCCACAGGACCACTCGCACCCTCTCGGATGTCTTATTCTGACAACCAACGAACTAATGGCGCTCTCATCAGCCCTTCGAAGGTCAACAGCCAGGCTCAGCTGACCGAGATTCAAAGCCTTCGCCGAGACCTTGCAGTCCTTCGACAGACTTATTCCAACTTCCAGTCGGACATCCAGAAATCGATGACCTCAGTCCGCTCGAAGGCAAGCTCTGTTAAGAGTGTGGCGGTCAAGGCTGCTATCCCAGATATCAAGGGCGACTCTGGTCGTGCTTATGTCAACGCTGGGAAGCTCAGCATCAGTAGGGACTCCGACAGACTTGTCACCCAGGTGGATGATCTCCAAGACATAGTGGAAGATCTCCGTAAAGACGTCGTTCTGCGAGGTGTCCGCCCTCTACCCCGCCAACTTGAATCTGTGGCCAAAGACATCGCTCAAGCTACAATGGAGTTAAAGAAGATGGAAGACTTCCTCAAACGCGAGCGGCCGATCTGGACCAAGATTTGGGAGAAAGAGCTGGACCGTGTCTGCACCGATCGTGAAGAATTCACGATGATACAAGATCTCGCCACGGATCTTGAAGACGATCTTGAGAAAGCTACGCAGACTTTCGCCCTAGTGGAGCAAGCTACAAAAGAACAGTTGAAGGATGCTCCTTCCGGCTCGATCGCATCGAAAATCCTCACAAGAGGACTCAACCATGTCACACCAGTTGATTCTGCTCTCGCAAAAGAGGGTGTCCTGGGCGAAGTCCGCGCATTACAGCCCAATCACGAGAACCGACTCGAAGCCATTGAGCGAGCAGAGAAGCTACGCCAGAAAGAACTCGAAAGCCGACGAGGTGGCGAGTTCCAGAAGGAACTAGGCAACTTTGTTGAAGAAGGGAAGTTGAAGAAAGCGGGTGGATTTGAGGAGGTTGAGAGGACGAGAAAGGCGAAGGATGAGCGGATACGGAAAGAAGTCTGGGAGAGGCAGAACGGGATGACGCAGGCTGATGCCCTTGCTGCTGAACCTGATGAAGACGAAGATGAAGACGAAGAAGAACCCACTGCTGAGGATCCGGTTCCTGGGCAAGCGGTTGCTGAGGCGGGTGCGCCCGTCCCAGATTTTTAGAGCGTCTGAAAGCCAGGGACAACGACACATTTTAATTTCGGTTCGTGTCACATAACTTTCTTTGCGCGCCGTAGGGACGTCTAGAAGGTTTTGGGTCTTCTGTCATTAGGCTGCTTTTGTACTTTATACAGCCCTCTCTGTTTTTGAGCATGGAGTTCGGAGGGGCAGCTACTATCTGTGTACATAATACACACAACATTTATAAGTTCTTGCCTTTGGTGAAAAGCGTTCGTTCGTCTTGTCTCGTCACATATGTGTAAGTATTCCTCCCATCTCCACAAGACCGGGACGTTTTACAAAAGCGGGCTCGGGGCCTGAAGTTACACACACCCCTTCCTTCCCTAAATAACAGTCCAGGTATTTTGGAATGGCTGAAGTTCCAAGAGATATGTCGTTCTTTCCTCCCTTGAATTCCGGGTATTGAAAAAGACTGAGTAGGTAGCCCTTGCTAGCTAGTTATGTTTGCTTTAACAGCAGTAGCCACCAACAAACAAGGAAGGTGCGATCGAAAGAGCAGAGCAGGCACGCATAAACCCGCTCTCTACCTAGCACAAAGACCTTAATGAAGTATATCGTTTTATATTGTACCCCTTGTACAGTACCTATACCTACACGCGCACCGAGGTCTTTATCTATTAACCTCCATCCCTTCCATCTATTCAAATCCCATCCATACCTAAACAACCAACCTCTTTCCAAAACATCCCCTTAAAAAGGTCACTCTAGAGTCGAACGCGCGTTTATCACATCCCGACTCGTCAAGAGCTCTTCTCTCCGTCTTTTCTTTAATAGGAGTTCCTCGCAAAAGTGGTATTTTATACACGTCCTTCCTTCATCTTCATCTTCATCCCCATTTCCATCTCCCCCAACTTCCCCAAACCAATACATCCATTTCCCAGATCCTCACATTCCCTCCCCAAACTACCAAAAAGCCAAACAGAAAGGACAACGCAAGCGAAAGGCTGTGTGTACGAATCAAAAACGCCGACTCCGCTATGCATTTGATGTGAAATTAAAAGGACCCGCGACATGATCTATGGCAACTTTCTGATGTGAATTAACGCCTTCTATATTCTTTTGACGCATTATATTCGTACCACATTTATTATGAGGTAGGGTATTCGATTTGTACAGATAGGGAAGGGGGTTGTGGCGTGAGGTGGATGAGCGTTTAGGTGCAACCGTTGACTAATGTGTTCTGGGGCCAGGTGTAATTGGTCTTGTCCCACAAGGTTAAATTGGGGTTCTATCGGAAGTTAGCATAACATACAATTAGATGATTCGTGAAATACATACCGCGTAAGGTTCCGGGTGAGCCGCGATGTATTCCGTCGTTTCATATCCAGTAGGATCACAGGTAATCGACTCCTTGCCCTCTTCCTGGTATATCCTCACGTAGTCAAATCGCATAGTAGCTGGTAACAACTCTGCCAAATTTGCTAAGAATACCGTGGCGAAACTGTTCGACATTCCAAAATTCATGATCAAGGCCATTGGTTCTTCGGGAATAACACGCTGGCCAATATTTCCATTCGGTCGGGTAGCACGGCCATCGACCTTCCACGTATAGTCGTCTCCAACGAACCAAGAGATATCACCTGTAGCTCCCGGAGTGGCTTCAAAGCCGTAAGTTTGATAAGCCTTGCCATCATACCAGTCGTTGTTGAGCCAAGTCACGGCTGAGAGTGCTTGTTGGTACACGCCACCACGATAAACGTTCATACCAGTAATCTGGTGGTCGTAGACCGCGGTATAATCGGCGTCTGGTTGGTAGAAGATGTCGAAGGGTGCAGCTTGGAAAGATTGGGACGCAGTGCCAGTTGCTCCGTCATATTCACCTGGGCCCATGAAGCCGCTACTAGCTTCGATAGCATCAATTTCCGGAGCGGATCGAGAGAAGCCAGGAGTTGGATGATCTTCGTTCGCGCAGGTACAAGCCGGTAATCTCATTCCAGGCAGCAAACTTATTCCATCTGCAGAACTCTGATTTGCGGTAATACCGGCGTCGCACTTGTCCCAATAACTGTAAGGCCACATGCCGTCCGTAGTTGCGGGAAATCCAGGTCGTCCAAGATTCCCCATAGCCCAGAAACCAGGCCAGAAACCCTGAATGTCACCACGACCCGGCAAGGAAATGCTTGCCTCCAATCGACCACCTTTGAAGCACAGTTGATTCCATGACTGGACCATACCTGACCGGTAGTTGAGATTGTGGCTTTGAAACGCGTCCATTCGCAGGTTAAGTGTTCCGTTGGCGGTCGTTACAGCATCTGGATCATACCACTCTATGTCTTGAGTAACACCATACCAGATATCCATTGCCTGGAAGAATGGATCGTCACCATCGTAGAAAGTTCGCCCATCCGTATTGAATTCATCCGAGAACACGAGCTTCAACTTCTTTCCATCGGCTGACGTCCTGGTCGTAGCGGTACTCGGAGTATCCGGATCGATGAGTCCACTCCTAATATTCGAAAGCAATGCAACACTATCCGATAAACAGCTGGCATCCAGCTCACAGTTGCTTTTCGGAGGATTGATAACTCTTCGAGCGGCAGTCCTAAAAAATGTTAGCAACTGAGAAGGTCACCAATAGAGTAAAACCGTACAAGACAGGGTATCCAATGAACAATACCAAGACCCCAAGGGTCACGAAAATCAGTCCTCCAATGTTCGTCATTCCTCGCTTGTTCCATATATCGCACTTTTCGGAATCCTTCTCGTTAGGGTCGGGATTGTGGAGGTAATCGTCCTTCTCTATATCTTCCGGAAAGAGTAACAGGCCTGCCGAGGGCATAATGTTGTACTTTTCTGAAACCGTCTGCGTGTTGACATTGTCATCTATACTACCAGACCTCGAAGGTGCTCTCGAATCGTCGAATGGCGAAGCGAATGGCGAAGCACCATACCGACTGTCTCTACTCCCCGTTTCTGAATCCCAACTTGTTCTCCTTGAAGACATACCTGATACAGAACGAGAGGTAGGGCTATCAGTTGGATCATCTTGGTATGGTTTTGGGCCTCGTGACCGTGGTGGTAATAGCATCTCTGAAGAATCCGCCACTCCCGGAGCACCGTATACCGCAGTACCAGGAGGTGGTGGTCGTTGTGGTAATAAGTTTCTGGATGCTCCCGGTGTCCCTGGCCCTACGCCTGTGCCTGATGAACTATCTGAACGCAAGCTTTCAACCATATCTCCTTCGTTACCCGAATTGACCGTTATATGAGGAGGCCGGGCGCCAGGCGCTTGCGAATAGTTGTCGGAAGACATGATTATGGGTAGGAAGAAACCGTTATGATGTCCAAGAGTTCGTTCTCATCGGACGGCGTTGGGAGGGGGTATTGTAGAGGTGGTTGGAATGTTGATGTCAAGCGAGCAGTAAAATTGCTGTTGTAGAGACAGAAATAGGAACACAGTCCCTCAAATCTATTAAAGCCGTCGATCGATGGGTTCAATGGTGTCTGTACTCTTTTCAGGGTGTGCTTATTGTGTTTATCGAATGGTTTAGCGGGAACGACGCGCAATGAAGGAGTGGCAGTCGAGAAATGAGAAGTTCGTATCGTGAGGAAAGGGGTTGCAACTAAAACGAGTGTCGGTTAACAAGATTCGCGATCCGGTTGGAAGTCGAAAGGCAGATGTTGTCGAGGGTTGGAATCTGTACCACGACCGTTGAAATGGCAATGCTGGTCGATGGAGGTACGTTGGTGCTTGTAATCAGATGGCACATTCAGAAGCAGGACACGCAAAAGGAGGAATCGAAGATGGTGAGGATTGGCGCTAAGCAGAGGAAGGCGGACAGAACAGGGCGACAGGGGTTCGTGAGTTTGAGTGAGTGGCTGGCGAATCTACGGAGATACATGGCATGGAACCAAGCCAAGGTACACTGGTGCAGTACGCAGTACTTTTGCAATATGGTTATATTAAACATTACCTCTCCTGCACTCTGGACTTTATGAGGTATGTTAACTGTGCTTGTTGTTGTTAATGTTATTTCAGGCAGTCCCATTATTCACCCATTGTTTATCATCTTTCCAAGGGGGATCCTACAATCTCACGAGACTCCGTACTACTGTAGGTTCGTGGCTACCTTAGTTTGCCGCAATTGTCACTACACAAGCAGCGTCGGCGGGTATCTTGGGAGTGTAAGCCTGTAAAGCCACGCCCGTCGCCCACAGTGGACAGCTACAGTCCTGTAACTTTACGAGGCGTAAAAATCAGATTGTTAGTCCAGGGGATGGATACCTCCTATCCGAAGCCTTAACCTGGCCTGGCCTGGTTCACTCTACTCTCGCACAGCCCTCCTTAGCCTGGCAACCCCTTGCATCTGGTACCTTCTTTTTCTCTCCCACGCCACGCTCGTTTCTCCCATGTTCTTTTTCCCCCCCTATAAATCTACAAGACATAAAGTATAATAACAATCTCCATAATACAAGGATATTGTAATTCTCTCCCTTTCCACCTTCTCTCCACATTGTGGCGGCTTACGGAGTATTACCGTACCGTATCGTATGCCATGCGGCCGACCCCGCCAGCCGATTCGCACCGCACCCTGCTGCTATAAATATCACAAGCTACACCCCAGCAAACTTAACGGTCGAGGTCGGTCGAGGTAGAAATCAGATTACGGAATGCGGCAGTGCGGGCAGTGACGACACCCATCGTATCGCAGCAAGGCAGGGCAAGGTAAGGCAAAGTTCCCTATTCGAGAATCAAGAGAATAAGTAATCACGAGATGGAAATTCAGACTTAAAGTGCGCGTCCATACCCATATGTGGCTAAAGTGCGGCAAGTAAGGCTATACCCTAGGTAAGGTACCGCACTGTAATACCGTAAAGTGCTTCCATTATTACGACGGCATAAAAGGTTAATTTCGCTCGCCCCTTCCCCATCACCGCTTGCAGCCCCTGCCTGTTAGAGATCTGGACAACAGCCAGTACTGTAATTAAAAGATAAAGGTAAGCCTGTGATACCAGCATCTCCTTGCCGAAAAGATAAAGGTAAGTTTGTAGTATGTACCTAGGTCCTAGATAGGATAGATACTGTACTCGAGTACGAAAGTCAGCCTCAATAATCGATATCAAAAGTGCAAGTGCTCGTCACCGAATTCGTTTAGAACCTGCATTTCACTGTATAGTAGCTTTACAGCATCAGGATTTATAGGAAACACAAGGCAGTTGTTTACAACTATATCAACTGACATGTATACTGATTGACGGTGGGTGTTAAGGCTGGGAGCTTTCATGGCATCTGTTGTTCCTATAAATCACTTTTTATAGTCTAGTCGTAAGATAAGGTCACCAAGAACGGTTTACTTTGTTCGCAGCAATTACTTATGGCATATTTCTTGTCATCAATAATCTCAAATGCTTCCCAAAAGCCTCCACCTCCCTGCCCTTTACTTCCATGCCTGAACGCCAAATCATAAAAGCCCCGTTCCTCTGGTGCCTCGTCCCAAGCGCGAAAGAAAAAATGAATGCGAAGCGCAGAAACGACTCTATTCCTAAAAGTCTTGCTTCATAACACTCATAACGAGAAAAGTCAAGTCTCTCCCCCACTGCAAATAAGCAAGCAATCAAACAACTCAGCTCTCGACAGCCAAAGCCTTAACCCCCACCAACCTCCCCCCCTGAATCCCAACAACCCAATACTCAACCCTCGCGCCCTCCCCCGCGATCCGATAGACCCGCACATCACTCCCCTTACTCGCATTTCTCGTCGCATCCACAAGCGCCTTGTACTCTCCCCGCGGATCCCACTCGCCGATATCCATAATGCTGACTTCTGTGTCCTCTGGGTTCGGGTGATGGACTAGTTTGGCGAATGTAACTATGCACACAATACTTGTTGGCCATATCCCTCGCAGAGCGCTTTATAGAGGAAAGATGGAGGAGGAAGAATGGAGAATGAAGGATTAGGTTATAACATACCTTCGGTAGGAAGTGTCTTGCCACTAAACTTCAACGCAACAGGTTCAAACGGCTCATCAGCATCACTGACATAAAACGCATCCTTCGTCGCCTTCGTCAACGGCGCAGGAACATCTGTATCCACAGCTTTGAGTTCCACCTTCCCTTTATCCTGGCTCTTCGCAGTACCTGCTGATGGGTCCTCGTTCGCTTTATCGAGAAAGGAGGCGTAGTCTTCGTCTGATGCCATATCGTCTTCTTTGTCCCCTTCTCCTCCTTCCTTATTCACAATGGGAGTATTGGAGGTGGAAGTAGCTGCGGGTGTGGAAGTGGAAGTGGAGTTACTGTAAAAGAACCTCTCAGTCCTCTGCCACGCAGATATAACAGGGACCCCACAACCAAAAGGAAACAGACTCTGAGAAACGAGAGCGCTCACGTAGCCAACGGAACTGGTGCTGCGACCTGCACCTGTTTCTGCGCAGCTATCTCGCCGCCCGTTTGTCCAATGTTTCCCTCGCCTTGTATCTGCTGCTCTGCGCGTGAGGCTTCCAGCACTTGTTCTTTTGGTGGCGGCACTGTTTTCCGAATCAATCAGTACATATACTACACATATACATACACATACACGTAAATATACACGTATCACAATACCTCAAACAACCAATAGCAAGACCAAGACCAAGGATAGAAGAGATGAGCAGATAGAAGGGAAATACACACCAGAAGCTAAATGCTCGTCGCGCAACCCCTGATCCACGTCCCGCAGCAATGATTGCGGTTGCGATTGTGACGGCTGAGATTTTGATGCTTTGCGTTTACTGCGTTTCTCTTTGAGGGAGGAGAGGAGGGAGCCCATGGGTGCTGTTGGGACAAAGAGAGCTGTTTGGTGGGGTTGGGAGGTGGTGGGGACGTGCGCTTGTGCTGCAGGTTTTGGAGGATGACGAAGTGAACGGGAAGAGGTTTCTTTAGAAAGAAGAGGCTGTTTGAGAGCTCGGTGTTTACGGGAATTTGTACTTACTTTGAAGGAATCGAGAGGGTTCTCTTACGTCTTCCGTGATGAGCACTTTGTGTTAATTTTAGATGTTTGGGTGTTTGTACTGTACCTGCTGATCAGCTTAGTTTTGGTGTCACGCACAGCATGCAAAATAATGATTTCACAGTAATGAGACGAGTAGGGTCAAGTATTACTTTTGATTGTCATTCATTTCATAGGATATCTAGCTAATCCATGCCTAAGACGCATCCTAGGTGACTATCAAAGCAAGATGCAAGATATTTTCCCCCTTGCAAAGCCGGAAAACGCAGAGAAACAACCCATTGCCAGACGAAAATCTACGAAGCTTGCGCAATGTCCTTCTTGAGAGTACCAAGGAACTGGTGCTTCTCTTGAGGGGTTTGGTATGCACCGTGACCGAACTTCGACGACGTATCGATCCACTTCAGGTCAACCTTCTCCAATGCCTTTCTTGATGTGTGCACGAACATGGACTTGCGGAGAGTCATGACACGCTTCTTGACACCTGGAATAGATCCCTTGACAATGATGAAGTCGTTCTTGACCTCTCCGTAACGGACGAAGCCACCCATACTATGACTTGTTAGCTAGAATCAAACTTGAGATTGTTCAAAGACTTACGGAGTGATTTGCTTCTTGGAGTGATCAAACTCGGTGGTAGCGTTGCCCTCATCATCACCCTTGCCAATACGGTAAACCTTGTGGTTGACAGAAGTACGATGATGGTATCCGTCTTGACCAGCACGGCCAACAGTCCATTGGACGTGGGAAGGATGCCAGGCACCAATACAAGCGACCTTTCGGAGACCCTTGTGTGTCTTTCTCGGAAGCTTCTTGGTTCCCCATCTGCTGGTGACACCGGAGAATCCGTGACCCTTGGTGACAGCAATGACATCAATCATCTCATCCTGCTCGAAGAGAGAGCTGATCTCAACTGGCTTCTCGAAGAGACCACTTCCGAACTCAACCTTGTCAGTGATGCTACCTCCGTTAACCTGGATCTCCATCAAGTGTGCCTTCTTTTGCTTAAGAGGGGTCTTGCGGACTTGGGTGTGGGCGAGAACACGGACAACGGTGCAGTACTTCTTGATGCGCTCAAGCTCACGGGTAATGGAAGATCCAGAGCTCTCCGAGTGCTTCTTGGCGTACTTGGTGAAGGCCTTCTTCTTGCTCTTGTACCAGTTCTTGTAGAATCGGCGCTTTACCTCATCGCTCAAATGCTCAGCCCAAACTGTGGTGAGGGATCGAAGACCACGGGGAGTCTCGATGTAACCAACTAGACCAACAACGATCACCTAAAATAGATGTTAGCCATTGACAGAAAAGCCAAGCGGGCTGCATTGTTCGTACTGGTGGTGTCTCAATGACAGTAACGGCCTCAACAATCTCCTTCTTGTGTGATTTCGCTCCGGGTCTGTCGAGATCGCGAACGATTGTGGTCATACCGGCCTTGTAGCCCATGGTGGCAGTGAGGTGGACAGGCTTCTTTGGGTCATCTTTGGGGAATGCTGTGTGTAAAAAACGGTTAGCAAGCTCTTTTTCAGGTCGAGGACAACGGTATTGAATGAATTGGAGCGTAAAACCTACACTTTACCTTCCCGCGGTGTCTGGCGGCTCTCTTACGAGGTAAAAACGCGAGAGATCCGTGTCTCGGGGCTTCAAATTTTCGATGCGACATGTTAAAATCGTCAGAAAAACCCTAGGGGAGCTGTAGACGAAGTTATGAAGCTGCGCGTCGAAGTTGCGCAGTTGTCGATTGGCGATGGAAGAGGGAAGTTCAAAGTTCGACGGGGAAAATATCTAAGAGACTTTTGAGTGCGGTCTTCCAAATCGTACTAAAGCTTAGCGAGGCAAAATAAACCTTGCAATGTGGGGCCTCTGGCTTCTGCTACACTCGCTGTAATATAACCACACCTTCAAACTTGTCAATATTCCCTACATTCATAGCTCCCAGTGGGATAGATGAAGCGGCACTCAATACCCTCGATTTTTAATGTTCCACGCGGAGTAGTACATTATTCTTTCCATCGGCAGGCGGCCCTATATATCCCACGTGACTAGTGTTCCAAGTGCTTAGACCACGTGCTTTAGTCACGCGCCTAGCGGGGTTATCTATAAGTCCTCCATCTGTTCTCTCTACCGTCGCCTACCTATTCTATTCTATTATAATCCTTTTGAAACTTGTCAATATTCCCTACATTCACAGCCCCCAGTTGGCTAGACTAAGCGGCACTCAATATCATTGATTTTCAATGTTCTACGCGGGGTGGAACATTATAACCGGCGTCACTTTTTCTATCCACCGCCAGATTGCCCCAGATATCCCAAGTGACTAATATTATATCCATGGGCAAATTCAGAGCTTTCTGTAAGCACGTTCATATCTTTCAAAGAGCACGCTCAGATCTCTCTATGAGCACGCTTTAATCTTCTAGAAAGCACGTTTATATTAAAATCAGCACATTTAGAGCTTTCTATGAGGTGGTTCAGAACTTCCTATAAGCACCTTTAGATCTTTCTATGAGCACATTCACAGCTTCTACAAGCACAATTCAAAACTCCATGAGCACCGTAATATAACCACCTATCAGCTACCCAAATAGATATACTCTCTAATCGTCCACTTAACGTTTCACGTGATAGACGTCGTCGTATTCGCACCTAGTCTATAGAAGCGGTTTGGGCTGTTAAGCGGTTGGGCCGGCGAGAATAATTAAGTACTATCACATACAAATCTAGCTATAAAGTAACCTCAACTGTCTCGCCGTAAAGTGAAACCAATAGCCGTATCATCCAGATCCGACGGATCTAAATCGCTCTTGCTATTGCTACTACTACTACTACTATTATGAGGCAATTCAGGGACTAGCAGGGCCTAATGCGTAGTGAAGGCGATGATGGGATGTGAGAAGGAGTCATTTTTGATATTTATTAGTATAGAGTGTGGATAAGAAGTTGGAAAGGATGGGTTGATTATGCGTATTTGTATGTGATAGTACTTAATTATTCTCGCCGGCCTAACCGCTTGACAGCCCAAACCGCTTCCATAGACTAGGAGCGAATGCGACGACGTCTATCACGTGAAACGATAAGTGGACGATTAGAGGCGTATCATAAGGTTCCATTTCATAGGGTGATTGTAGGGAGAAGGAAGAGCTATTGAGGTCCTTGAGCATAACATAGTCCTATACTCATTACCTGGGAAATTCGAGATGAGAACTATTACCTCTTGCTGCTTTTAAAACTTAGAACTTCGATTCAAAACTCACAGCTCAAGATAATGTTGAAGAGTAGTTTAATTTCAATCTGTACAGTCTTACCTATCTTAAGTCATATACACTTAACACGAAAAATAACCCTCAACCCCAACCCCTAATACCCAACAAAGAAGATTTCATCAAGCAACAGTCTCCACCTTAGGACCGCCATTAACAATCCCATTTGTATGACCGTTAACGCCACTGGGAGACGTAGCCTTCACTTCCCCGGAAGCAGACGCTGGTCCTGACGCCGTTGCTGAAACAATGCCTCCCTTTTTTTCATCATCCCCATCGTCATCATAATCTTCATCAACATCTATCTTGCGAGCAGCCCGTTCCGGCTCGCCGACAGGTGGGGGAGGCGGAGGGGGAAGTGCCTGTTGGTGAGCCGGAGGTGGGTGATCAAGACGCTCACGCTGCTCTCGTTCCTCAACTGCATATTCCTTTGGCGGAGGGGGCGGGTGCTCATGAACAGGTGTATGTACAGCTGGTGGCCCCGGTAGTCCCAATGGTCCTGGGGGTCCTGGTGGTCCTCCCATGGATGGGAAAGGAGATTGTAGTCCCATTGGAGGGTGATGTGCTGCCTCAGATGGATGGTAGTTCTCGTTTGCTCGACGCTGGTCTTCTACGCGGCGTTGGTCTTCGGCCCGTCTTTGATCATCCACACGGCGTTGATCCTCCATACGCCGTTGTTGTTCCTCAGCACGACGTACTTCTGAAGAGCTACGACGGAAGGGCTCTGGCGTCGAAGGTCTACGATGATGAGTATCTTCCAAGCGGGCTCGGTTCTCATCCGAAGCAGGTTTCTTCATCGATAGTTGCTCATCTTCCCACTCTCGCATCCTTTTAGGGCCTACGGATGAAGGTCTGTCACCATCACGCTCTCGCTCTACTGCTTCCTGAGCCGCAAGAGCAGATGCTGGAGGAGGTGCACCACCTGCAATACCACCAGGGTTGGAAATATCAGGATGGTGAGGATATTGTGGTTGTTGGTGTGGATAGCCGGACTTTGGAGATGCCATTCTACCTTCAAGAGATATGGGACGGACTTCAGGTCGCGGACTGTTTCCGCGGCCAATAGGTGGGAAACCACCTGAACCATTCAAACCGCTTGGCGCGGGTGGAAGTGTAGTAGAAGAACTTGATCCTCCTGTTGGACCGGCATAGTTGGGATTAGAGACTCGCGGAGGTGGTGGGCCTGATGGAGCACTCTGTGGCGGAGGTCCATGAGGACCACCCTGAATAGGTGGAGGCGGATAGACCCCCATTGAAACTGGCATATCACGTGGAGGAGATCGACGAGGTGGAGGTGGAGGGCCTCTCTCAGGGCCTGGACCGGCACCTGGACCAGGGCCAGGGTATGGTCTCATTTGCGGCTCTTGTCTCGGGCTTGGTGGTCCACGGGGAGGGGGCGGGATTGGACCTCGAACAGGCTCTCGTTGATCGTATGGATTCGGTGGTTGTGGCGGTGGGTTGATCTCCGCAAGTCGACTTCCCCAACCGTTGACAGGTCCATTAGGAGGTCCAGGCGGTGGAGGCGGTGGAGCTGAGTTACCCCACTGAGGTCCTGGAGGACCAACGGCGCCGGTAGCTTGGTATGCTTGAGGATGGACATCTTGAGGTAGCGGTGCACTTGTTTGAACTGGCATGCCATTGGTCTGTCCATTGCGAAGTAATTGTAGTCGGGCCTTTATGTGCACATTGGTGGGGTCAAGTTCTGCGGCACGTTGGTACGCATCTAGTGCATCGTTGATCTGGTTGTTACAAGATTCATACTAGACCAATGATTAGCAATGTTTCAAACGAGGTCAAGTGAAGCTGAAGCTGAAGCAAACTTACCAAAGTTCCCAAGTCGTACCAGACCTCGGAGATGTACGGGTTCAAGCGTATCGCTCGGGAATATGCATCTAGTGCATCTCGGTACTGGTTGATCTGGTAATACAAAACGCCAATCGAGCACCAGAATGTCGGGTTCCGTCCGTCTCGATAGACAGCTTGCTGATAGGCTTCATAGGCCTTTGGATATTTCTGCTGTGACATGTAACATCGTCCAAGCAAATACCAGCTCTGTGCATCACTTTGGTCTGCCACGTGTTAGCGTGTGCGATGTAGGACAGGTCGTTTCGAAGAAGCTTACCAGAGCTGACAGATTTCTCAAGATACTCGATAGCACGCTCTTGGCTTGTGAAGCTGTTGCTCTGCTGGTGATGCAACCAACCAAGCTGTTGAAGGACCTTTGCATGGTTTGGGTCACGTTCCAGAACACGCATGTATGCCGATTTGGCGTTGTCGTACTATGATGGGTCAGTGATGGGGGGTTGCAGAATGGCGAAAGTGGATTTACATCTTTTTGCTGCTCGTGGACGTGCCCAATTTGGAACCAAATATCCTCTTCCGTCAATGGAGTTGGTGGAACGGAAACAATATATCGGAAACACTACAAATAATTAGCGACCCGAGCAATCCTCGATTTCAGCTTGGTCATACCTCAAGACTTTGTTGGTATTTTTGCTGCTGCTTGTAAATTATGCCGAGACGAAAGTAAATTTCATTGGCCTTTTCAAAGTCTGGCTGCATTCGCATGACTTGTGAGAATGCTTCCTCTGCATGCTCAAGAGATCCATATCGATCATAGAGTATGCCAATGCCGTACCAAAGTTTCGGCTCCTAGATGCAATTGTCAGATAAATACAATCAGCGGCGGTAATTCCACAAACCTTGGGGTCTCGAAGATGGTATAGGGCCTGTTGATAAGCAGAGTATGCTTGTTGTAAATCATCCATCATCAAGTAGCAGTGACCTTGATATGTTAATGGTGTCGCTAATGAAGTTTGGAAATCTAGAGAGCTTACCAAGACTTCCCCAAACATCGCCATTATTTCCATCCAGCTTGAGGATACTCTGGAGGTACTCGACGGCTTTATGGAATTGTTCTTGTGCTCGAAGTATACCACTGATCGCATTCATCGCGGGAATAGACCTGGGGTTGGAGCGAAGCGCATGTTCGTAAGCACCCATAGCTTCGTCGAGGTTGCCCATAAGTTCTGCAAGGCTCCCTAGATATTTATGTCAGAGCTGACTCTCAATTGTTCGGTTTATCTCTTACCTATTTGAAGCCACACCGCTTCATTCATAGCAGCGAGTTGCTGCGCCGCCGGCCATTGTTGCTGCGGTTGAGGACCCATTCCTGGAGGTGGAGGACCACCAGGAGGACCATGGTGCAACTGCATGCCCGCTGGAGGAGAGGGATGATGGCTTGCCATTGTGGTGGAGGATATGCGACAACAAGAGTTGTTCGTGTGTGCTGGCGACTACGCGCCTCGTCTCAACCCGAGGTAGACGGCAATGCGGATTAGAACCGCGAAAGTGAATCGCGAGCGAGTTGGAAGAATAGAAAGCGTGCTTGTACTGATAACCCGAATGATGAAAAGTCGATTCGAGAAGGGTGGTTGAAAGGGAAGTGGTTGTTGAGGTTGAGGTTGCAGCAAGTCGAGGGGAGCTACCTGTGGCGCAAGGTTCCAAGGCCAAGGTAGGCTTGAAGATATAAAGTGAGTATCTAGCAATAGAAGAAGGGTCAATACCCAACTCGGAGCGAGATTGGATGTATAGTTAAGAGCACATGAACCAGGTTGTATGTTGGGTTGGTGGTGTTGAGGCTCTTCTCTACTGCTGGTGGATAGATGTGACGAAAAGCGAAGAGGGAGACGATAGATTCGCGGAAAGAAAGTCCATTTGACTAAAAAAGCCAAGCGCTGGGTAAGGTGAGCTTTTGCAGACACAAGAGGGTAGTGCAAGGATTCGCATGCTACGCACCAAGCGGCGTCCGGAGGCGCATATATGGATCACAGCGGGTCTGCTTATTGTGGCCAGTCAAGCCGTGTGCTGGAAGAAAAATCCCGGAGACACCCACATAAAATGCGTCACGCCTCGTGCCGAGTGATACTCCACCTCCACGTATTCCACTTCCACTCCTCGAACACGACCAATACGGACTCAACGAAAAGGGAAGGCAACGAGGGCCAACTTGGAGTTCTATCTATCTGCGGTCTTATAATAACAGTCACAACCAAGATTAATATTGATTGATATCAACACGACGCTTAGTCACCACGCACGGCCTCGTGATTTACGGCCGGATCAAGCGTGTGTGTTTCTTCGTCGCAGGGTGGAGCGTTTAAGTTGCATTCGGGAAATGGTGAAGGATGGCGTGCATGGTACACCGGTCGCTTCAGGGATATAAGTAGGGTAGGTGATCATTCCTGACAGAGGGAGGAGAGAGTGAGGACTCCCGGTCATAAGATACCTCGTTATAGCCCCTTTTCCACCATCAGTTACATTCAAAAGGTACGACGCACCAAGTACCGGTATATCAACATCATTTCCAGTCCCGCATCACTGCATGTATACGGAGGAGACACATACCTACTTATTATAGAAGAGCAGCCTACTTCCTATCACACGAGGCCCTTGTTCCCTCCCTCGCCGCTCGGAGGCCGTGAGTGTAAATATAATGAGAACGCAGGTGCAGGCTGCAGACGCAGATAGACATGCATTTGAGGTGCATAAAAATCTGCAGTGCCACCACCACAGGCCACAGGCGAACGGCGGCATTGCGATCCCTCATGGACAGGCCCGCCAAGAAAGCCAAGCATTACCCAGGTATACTCCGTAAATCAAGCCCCTCTCTCCCGCGCCCGAATGGAGATGCTTCTCAAATGAGGGTTAGGGTGGGCCAATTCTTACCGTAAGTGTAAGCTATGGCTGCAAACTAATTTAGTGGAGGCGTTTGGCCTATTGCGATTAATTTCTGAAATTACTCCTTTCGCTTTAGCTTGCGCGCGTCTTTGGTGAGCTTTTACGGACTATTTCATCTTTACTTCCCCGCACCACCACACCTTTCTCATGTACATACTGTACGGTACCAACGAAGAGATTTACGAGGACCAAGCTTTCAGATAAAGAAGCAAAGGGTTCCCCTTAATGTATGTTCCCCACCACTCGAGTGCATCCTCTCATTCCCACCTTCTTCAATCATCAACTCAAACTCAAGCTGAGTGAATCAGCCCCTTCAACCTTATCTCAATCATATGACACCGGTGTGGACTGGGCTATATTTTATGTCAAACGGCAGAGTATTATATGTGTTCCTCAACCCAGCCCAGCTTACTCACATTCCACAAGTAGCAGTATTCATATAATCTACACACCTTACCTCCTCCCCATCCATATCATTCCTTTCCTTATCTCCGAATAACATCCCTTCGTCCAAAAATTGGAAATGGACACGGACCAGATCATTCTAGCCCTAAGTAGCGTCAATGCATCGCTGGAGATTGTGCCGAAAGATAGCCGGCACCCGCAAGGGTATCTTCTCGCGTGGGTGTGGCTTGATAGAGCAAAAACAAACAATTGAGCCCTCGCTAGGCGCGGAGCACAACTGAAACAAGTCCGGTCCGGGAAATGTAGATGTCGGATGTCAGCCACGTGACTATGTAATGAATATCCATTGGATGAGAACGAATTGGGACAGATAGGAAAGAGCAAGAGAGCACTAAGATGGAAACCTGTTCTGAACTTTAAGGTTTGGGAGAGACACTCGTGACGACAGAACTCTTCAGGAAATAAATGTCTCCGGATTCCACGTGTCAAGACTCAAGACCCAATCCAACCCAACCCAACCCCAACCCCCTCCCCTGTCCTGTCTGTCTACCGTCGAGTCGAGCCGCACCTCCACAGTTCGTGAGACATTACCAGATTGCGCTCTCGCTCTCGCTCTTAAAAACAAACCCAGATTCCTAAAACGAAATTACTCAAAACCCGCCCAGGCGCACCAAACCAAGGCGTCCAGATTAGACTATCCCTCGGGCGCCTTCCACAGAAATACTCGCTCGCTCGCACGTACGTACTCACGACAGGCAATGCAATCAGGCAGACGTCTAGTCAGAGAACCGCCCGCCTGCCCTGTCTGCGGACGGATACATACAGTACATGCATCTGTACTGTACCTAGGTAAAATATGTACCTAAGGTATGTATGTATGTATGTATGTATGTATCATCCCGATGCATGTCACGTTTCCCAGCATCCTATCATATCATATACAACAATTATCACTATCACTATTATTATCATATCTATCTATCCCGGAAGCAAGCCCTAATCACACCCACTTCCCCATCCCCATCCACACCCACCTCCACATCCGCGTCATCCGTAGAACACTGCTACGTTGCAAATACGGTACCTGTCAAACACAAGCCTACCCTACCTATCAGTGCCGTACAAGTACAACGTCTGTCTGTCCGTCTCATCGAGTATCTATCTTACCTATAGTACACTCCTTCCCGCGCTCGTCGCACCAGTAGTTCTGCCTGGCCCGGTCCTTGTTCCGAAGATCGAGTTACAAGTGGCGATTTGACTTGCAGAAGCGAGGTGGAAGTGCGTGTGGAGTGAGACATGTTTTTTTTTTTTTTGCGATGCGAATAAGGAGGTAGGTATATCATGGTTGTGGTACAGTACCTACGTACCTACGTACTTACTTTTTGTTTTTTTACCATGTAATGTACCACATGATTCATGCGTTTGAAGACATTAGCCATCGGGTTGGGGGATGATTGGTTTAAATTTCCGAAGTGAGTTGTGGTGTAGGTTTGAGGATATTAAGATGGTAGGAGGTAGTTGATGGTGATGTTCAGGTGGGTTGTGAGACTTTATAATATGTATAGATGTGCAAATTACCCATAGGAGAAATCCCATATGTGTCTGTCTACCTTAGGCAAGTGCTTTTTTTTATGGGCCCGAACTCCTTCCATGTGTAATGTTTGCGGAAGTGCGGTGGTCCAGTTGTACAGTATATGACACAGCTTTTATCGCAACGAGTTATGATTGCAAAAAATACTGCTCACAATTTTCGCTCATCTACTATACCATCTCCATTACTGTACCATGACACTCGTTGATGGCATGGCATGTATCCGCAGGATCTGCTAAGTCGTCTAGTATTATGGGAATGTCGCACGCACAATAGCGTCATAGAAAGCGTCATAGAAACCTACCAGTCTCTTGTTAATGTTAGCTTTAATTGAGACATTCGTACTGCACCTGTTTTTTCGATCTCCTTACTACTAGACGCGCTACACTCCGTATTGGATGTATCTTTGATTGATTACTGTACCTATAGCTTGCAAACTTCGTTTTACTTTGCGATTCTGATCTATGGTGTTTTGTTCCTTGTCGATTATTCGAAGTCGGTGTATAGAGATTCATGGTTAGAGATTGGTGGAAGGTGCGGATGTTGAAGTAGAAGACGTGTTGTGGGAATCTTTATTTTCTCTTGCTTTGATCCACTACGCCTTCACTTCCGTGACACGTAGGCTGGTAGTCGCTTCAGTCACCGTTCGTTTTGAGTTCACTTTACAGCCAAACATGTAGTTTGCAGCGTGATGTTATTTAGCCTCTGTTCTACATAAAGCAACAAAGCTTGATATAGCAGAAATGCTTGTATTTTTGAAAAGGTTATCTGCGACACCCCAAGCAGATATGCAATAGGAGGAGCAGAAATGCTTAAATGGGCAAATACGAGGCGAAGAGGCATACCTGATGCTTCAGGGGAATAGCACACCCCGAAATGGTATTGGCGGAAGCGAGATATCAGGTGTTGGCGTCGGAATCACCTAACAAGTCCGATGATTAGTACTGGGGTTTAAGTAGGGAAAGGCATTTGGGCTAGATAGTGATTCTCTAGTTTGAGTGTCAACATAAGGAAGGGGCTTGCGTACCTTTAGAACCTTCACTAGGCGCAGGTAGGATGATATCCTCGATAGAGCCAAATCTTTCTGATGATTGTACATTTTGTAGCAAGGAGCCGTCTGTGTTGTAATTTGCAGGTGGTTGTGGAGGAGGCCGATTGCCCCGCCTTCCCAGAGGAGCTAAAGCACTATTCAGCAGGTATTGTCCCCACCCTACTGCCCTGGGTGTCGGCGAAGGGAGCATGCGGGCTAGATATGCATTGCCAGGAGACGGAGAAGATAACGCGGGAGTTGGTATCGGAGGTATGAAGGGTATGGCGGATGTTGGCGTAGGAGTCATGCCTGACTGACTTTGACGAGCAATCTCTGTATCGCGTTCTCTTAGTTCGACTTGAAGCTTCCATTCCTTTAGTGCATTTATCTCGGCCTGCATTTCGTTCAATTGCGATGCTTTGGTGTCTGCATGGGCATTGGTTGGTTGGGCCGAAGGGGCGTAGGAGGTGTCGGGAGCGTCGGAGGACGGAAGCATCGTTGAGTATTGCTGTCTCTTTGCGGAGCGCTCAGAACTGTTGGATCTGGTGGGTGATGCGTGTCGTTTCGCACGTCTGTGAGTTACCATTTGGGGGGGCATGTCTTTAACGCTTTGAAGAGTGTTTGTTGCTTGCACATGATCAATGAATTGACCGCGTGGGGACAATGTGCGTGGGACTTGTCTATCGTTAGTGGCGTTATTTGCGTCCGAGTTTGAAGCGCGGGGAGTGTGTGGACCGTGTAGGTTCGACATTGTTGCGTGAGCGCAAGGCTGTGGTTGATGACCTGGGCTTGATGGCATTGGAGCTATGGGTGGCGCCTCGTTAAGCTGTACGCCCTGCGAGTCTATTGTTTGCGCTCCAGGCGAAGGGCCATATACCCATGGAATTCCCATGGGACGTTCGTCGCGATGCCAGTATAGGAGCTCTGTCTCCCAGCGTAATTGATTCGGCGGATAGGCATGTCCCCATTTGTGCTGTAACTCTTGGTAGATTTGGATTATGATTTGTTGGCGTGCGTAAGCATTGTTGTACGAGGATTGTGAACCCATCGTGACGTTGGCGTTGGCGTAGGTGTTGTTGTTGATGCGTTGTTGTAGATTATAGAAAGGAGGGTTTTCGTATTGTTTCTTTCGCCAAGCGAGGAGCAGCCAGAGCAGAGCCCTCAACGGTGAATAGCAGCCTTATCTTCAGATTGAAATTCACTGCCCTGAATCGGGAATTCCATGGCGCTCGGTTTACTCGTATCGCAGCCTCCACCGGGTGTCTTGAAACTGGTGGTGTCGATAGCTTGAGGCCCATGAAGAGTGACTGGAATCAAATCAGGTAACACAGTATACGATTTCAACAGAAGTTGTCAGATCTCGACTCATTAACTTGTCAGTTGTTGCCATGTATTAGGCTCTTATAACGCCGCGTATAGTAAAGCTGGTGTTCAACAGAGTGTTAATTGTAGCTCTTGCCTCTGGAGGAGAGAAAGGCCAAGGCCCCATCCGGACGACTTCTCCAAGCATACTAAATTTTGTAGAAAAAAGAGAGGTTTACGTTTAAGGCGATATGACCAAGTCAGATTGAGATTTTCTTTAAGCTTCTAAGGGGGGGCGGTCTCTTTTAAATTTGCTTCAAATCCTCTCAGTTCACTGACTGCAACATGACAGATATTGCGGCCATCTGTCTGTCTTGTTGTATGAGTAGTTGCAATGGCATCTGAAAATTAATAAGTAGCATTACGTTCGAGAACTCGTTTATAAATTTAATGTCACCGGAATAACTCGCTAGAGATTGTATCCATGGTGCAAACGCAGCCAGTATCACCAAGCAACGAGAAAAGAGACTAACTTTGGGTATCATTCACATATTGATATACACAGACATTAAAACACGCTTGCACAGATCTCACCCGGACGCCAAAATTAAAGAATTACCACTTAGTTCCCAAGTCATATATAACATCCCCCACCCTAAGACTTCCCATCATCTCTATCGGGTACATAGCTCGTCTCCCCCAACATCGTCGCAGGCGCTTGAACATTTGGCTGTGGCTGTACCTCCACACTAGCAGGTGCTGCCGGTGGTGGGTTTGGTTTCGAGGGCCCTGTTGTCGCGGCATGCAGTCTCTGGTCCAATGCTTTTAACGCCAATGCTCTCCTTCGCTCTGCCTCTGCTCTTGCACTTCCAGGTGTACCACGCTGTACAATAGTCTCGCCCCTCGACGCTGATACATCTGCATGAGAGAACGGCGTGCAGATTTTGAACGCAACAAGAATATTATAGATCTGGTTCGAAAGGCTGGCTACCACTGGCTTCACTGGTTCAGGGAAGAATTCGGAGAATGCGAATGTCTCGCTAGCATCTCCGCGCAGGGAAGCTGGTTGTGAGGTTTCGAGGTCGGGGAAAGCTTGCTTGTAGAAGCGGAGGTAGGTCCAACTGATCAGGAAGCCGGAGAGGACCGAGAATGTTGAAGCTGCGCTTATCATTGGGGTTAGGGAGAGAAGGATAACTCCCAAAATGTGGAGGAGCGGGAACCGAGGGACTCGGAGGGATATGATCCCTTTGAATAGAGTGACGGTGTGCGCTGGGACGAGCTGGGAGAAGGCAACTAGGAATCCTATTTGCAAAGGGATGGTGCCGTTGATAGTAGTCAACCTGCAAAGCATCAGCTGAGTTCTCTGAGACAAGACTTCTCCAAACCTACGTCCAACTCATTTCCCCAGTAACAGCAAACAGAAAGACCAACGTCCCAAAGCACATAACATTAGGTATCAGAGATGTCACCAACAGGAACTTTGCGAACTCGGCTGAAGTCCATGCTCTTTCCAGATATCTCCCCCCGTAAAAGATTGTAACACCCGCTATCCCAAATGTAAAGATATTGTTTTCCACCAGCGTCGTCGTCAGAAAAGTCCAGGGGTATATCAAAGACAGCTGGGGGACCAGTGCAATGTAGGGAACTACAACATCAGACTCTGCAGACCATTGCCTGTACCTTATTGCGCCGCTGAGAAATGATTGTAGCACCAGTGTGATGAGGAGAATGCGCGTTATTGGGGGGATGTTGAGTCGAGGAGGCATAATGTCGATTGCATATGAATTCTGGGCGTATCCAGGCTCGACGTTGTAGCTAACAAACACTTCTTTAGAGCTTCTCTCCTCTCCTTAGCAAAATGTTAACACGTCGGGATTGTTTCTTACCTTATCCTTTCCCAATGCAGAAAGCGCAAAGCACGGACCATTCAATGATCACGTGGACTGATCTGGCTATGTGCTTGCTCTGCTGTTGCCGTACCGGGGATTTTAAGCTTACTTGGCTTGTTTTGCTTGAAACTGTTTCGACCTATCTTTATCCCTGCATTTCTCTGGAACCACCAGATTCTCAAGTCAGCATTCCCGATGCACCTGCTGAATTTCCTTACTCATAGGGCTAACGATACTTTACGAGATACGATTCGATACGGCAGGCGAACGGTCAACCCCGACGTTCACAAGGAAGCATGTTCGCATTCAAGTCTACGCCCATGATTTCGTCTTCAGTTCTCGGCATGCGCCTCCATAACCCGTACGCCATTTCCATACCGCCAATTTTCATTTACAACGCATACCTCCCGGGACTAGATCGTCTCCAAAGCCCAGGGTCTCCACTCTTACCACCGTGCGTGCCCGGCCCACGCCCACGCTGCGAGCTGCAACTCAGGATACCGTCACACGGCTGCTAACCCACTGGTCAAGAGTCACGGCGCGCTTTTAGCAATAATTAGAATACAGCCAGCCGAATTCAAGCAGAACCCTTAAGACCACAAACTCCCACGAGACAAAATTGGGTCTGCAGTCATTCCATCCTCCACCTCCGAAATCGACCCCCATCCCTTCTGGACAACCTCCCCCCCCCTGTTTCGTAATTCGAAGGCCTTGGATTGGCCCTGTTGCATTTAGGAGTGTCGCGGCGGTCCTGCACGCTGGGCTGGTTCTCGAAGAGGCCCTGGCTGCAGCTTACAGGGGTTCGCAGGGCCACACCCATCGACACACCCATTGGCGATATTGGCGTCGATCTCCTTGTCAGTGGGCTAAAAGAAGTCTCGGTCCACACGGCGCCCTAAACTACAAACAGTGTACTCATAACCCTGTACAACAGGAAGCTTCAAAGTGCCATACTTAGTGCCAGACGCTGCACGCCAATCCGTACCCAGATAAACCCATACAGGACCATACCGTACCATACCCATACCCAGCGAGCCAGTCCAATCCTGTACGGAGTACCTTTCCTTGTGGCAGTGGCAGCCGCGCTCCCTAGTTCAAGCCCCCACATTTCATCCCGCACCACCTGCGTACTTTCATCGTCGTCGTCTACCTACCTTGTTCTTCATTCCACATCTCGAAACCTCCAACACACATCAATATCACGACCAGCTCGCTGCAGCTGGCTTTCAAAACGCTCCTAGATATTACGCCTGCGTCGTACGGCCTATCAATCTCAACCATGACCAAGGAGACGCTTGATTCGGACAGGGTCAACTACATGATCTGGAGGTACGTGTTTCTCGTGATCCGCCTGCTCGGATTTCAGGTACAGGACTGCTTTTCGCTAACGGCAATTGTTGCATCTCAGATACCTCATAGAATCAGGTACGTGTACAACGCATGTCACCATAATGCGTGCTTTTTCTCCCCTTCATGAGCGCTGAGTATATTCCTTTAGGTTACGAAGAGTCTGCCGTTCGGCTCCAAAAGGAGTGGAACCATCCAGATCCGCAGCAACTCTCATGTGCGCCCCATGTACCGAATCATGCACTAGTGGTCCTGCTAAACAGAGGCCTCATCTACAATGTAAATGCGAGAGAAAATCCCCAGGTAAGCACCAAATCGACGTACTATGACCACCTAATCTCGAGACCATATGTAAGTTTCGAACTGACATCCCCCAAGGTGAATATTGGAGAATCTGAGACGGTGCCTGGATTTTTCGGACCGTTGACGCCAACTTCCCCACCAGCTGAGGCTGCGGCTGCAGCTGCAACTGGCGAGGAAAACGAAAATGCCCGAAAACGTGCAATTGACCACGAGCAAGCGCAAATCGGCAATGGACCACCAACAAAACGCCCTCGTCACAGCAATGGCGGCTACGAAAATGGAAACGGATTTGATCCTACTGCCATGGATGTGGACGAGGAGCCGCAGCACGGTGACGAGAATGCATACCCGTCACCTGAGCAGCTGCCTTCGCCGGCCGTCGTCACGATTGGCCCGGACCAAGGTACGCAAATTGAGAAAGTGAGCGAGTTATCAACAGAGACGATGTTCCTCGAATTGTCAAACGACCCGGCTTCTCGAAACGCCGTTTTATTGCAATGCGAGTGGAACCCGCGAGATCCAAAGATCTTGGCAGGTGCGGGTACCGATGCGCTAGCGCGCATGTGGACCCTGTCCCGTACGGCAGCCGGTCCAGACACAGAAACAGACCCTGAAATCCAACGGAAACCTCTCTTCCAACCCCACCATACTCTGTTGGATGCAGACGCCCTCCCTTCAACACAGGTCACCGGCTTGTCCTGGTCGTCCGACGGTGAGGCTATAGCCGTGGCAAGTGAACCGATGGAGGAGGGCACTGCCAAGATAGAATTCTGGGATCAGGAAGGCAATGCCTTCGCCTCGTTCAATACGTTCGAATCCCCTGTTATATTTCTCCGCTGGAATCCCTCGAACCAGTCCTGTCTCGCACTAAGCACCGAAAATGAAGGGAAGGGTACAATGATCACTGTCATGTACCCTGGGGAAAATGAGTCAACCCGCCACTCCCTGCCGACCCATTCGTTGCACGAGCAAGAACCCCTCGATGCAGCATGGACGGCCAACGAGGAGTTCGTCCTCTGTGGCGGTGATTACCTGCAAACATTTCAGATTGTGGAGAGAGTAATCTCTCCAGGGAGAAAGTATGAGACCCGGGAAAGACATGGCCTGTCGAAGATCACGTATGATTGGCGATCTCAGTTGCTTGCAACTGCTAGTGCTAATGGCATAATTGATGTACGATTACTCCTAGGATGAACTCAAAAATGGTGAACTGACTTTACGTAGATATGGGATTACAAGGGCCAATGTCAGTCGCTCACTGCACACCAAGGCCAGATTACTGCTCTACTTTGGCAACCTATTCCAGTTCCGGCAGCTCTTCGAGACGATTCCGAGAGATTGCTGGCCTCAGCTGGTGAGGATGGAGCCATAAGCATATGGAATGCCCGTTCGATGGAGACTAAGTGTCGAAGCTCGATGACAATGGGGTCTGCCGTGGCATGTCTTGCATTCTCTCCAGATGGAGCATTCATCGCTGGTGGGACATCAGAACGCATATTCATCTGGAAGGTCGATGATCCAACTCTTCCACGGGCAACTTGGATCGGATGCGATCAATTGGGCTGGCGAACCCCACAGTCCCAGGACTCAGTTGCAGAAGAAACGCAATACTGCTTGTCCTGGGATAGCAACGGGCAGAAGCTGGCTTACGGCTTTAATACCTCGGTATGTGATTTTAAATGACAGACTAAGATGTGAGACTGACAGACTGTAGCTGGCCGTAATAAACTTTCGACGGTGAAATAATATCCACGAGATAGGAGATATTTAAAGACGAACCTGAGCCAAGATACGGCTCACAACCCACTTATCAAAGTGGAGTCACGATGGGAGGCAGCGTGGAGTGCCGACCTTTGTACGGAATGATTAGCGTTGCTGGTCTGTATTGTATGAATGAAGAAAACCAAGGGCCAAGAGTCAAGATGAAGGGCCAAGGCGACTGGCGGTAGCGCAACCTGGAAGGAGAGACCAGCAGCAACCACGGCATTATATCAGGGTTGATAGAAGTTGATCAAAGATACGTGTATATTATAATTACGGTAGGAGTACAGAGTGGCAGCTAGAACACCAAAGACATATGAAGTTAAACCGCTTGTTCCACTTTTTGTAGGACTCGCTTCCATCCCGCATCAAAGACTGGCATTGTACCTCCACTCTATCTACAGGTCATCACAGCATATAAACTTCTTGCTAGCACCTTGTGTCATTACCTGGGACTCAAGAGCTCAAACCTGTGCCGGTAAATAATGAGCTGAGTCCCAAAGAAGTCATAGGCAGTCCGGACTAAATATATTCCTAGTCCTAGTCCGTCTCGCTGGCTCCCAACTTCATTTGGATATCACCAACATCCCCAAAACATACACCATGGTACTATTTTGTTGGTGAGACCATAACATTGTGCCATCTCTATGATAGGTTGTCAGCTTGGTGAGTTCCAAGCACCGCAGTCTCTGATCCTTGACTAGACGGCTTTCAATATTGAGTCTCCAGAGCTTGTTGAAATTTGGGATAGCTTTAAGCGGAGTGGGTTTCTTTCTACGAATACATGCTGCAATTCCAAAGGGCAAAGTCATACATACCGTACCTACCTACCTACCTTGCCTACTTACCTTGTCTATAAACTCCCTCGGCAGACCCGAGGCTTTCAAACCGACAAGTCCCTAACTTCCCAAGTGAATACATATAGCGAAACAGGTACTCAGAAGCGACGGTGCTTTGTAGGCAAGAAGGAGGGACCGTTTTAAGCTTTTCCCCCATCTCCTTTAGCAAGGTCAACATATTTTGTACTCAGTTCAGAATATGCTTTTATTGTCTTTATCTTCCCTAGTATTCAACATATCAATCATGTAGTCTCATCTTGCATTCAATGACTCGAGTAATGACACTGCTTACCCATCACCCATTCACTGGGGAAGGAACATTCCAGGACTGACTTGACATAAACTACACAGAAGAATATCTCTGATCAGCTTCTATTACATCTCAACAATGTCACACACGACTTCGAACATGTCAAATACCATCATGCCAAATATCACCATGGCTCCGAGCATCTTCAACCCTGTTGCACAACCTTCAGATCCAGACTCTGTCATGGCTTCAAGTCCCTGCGGCCCTGCTGCTACGCCCCCACCACCTCCATCGAACATACCTATCTCAACACATCAAGTTCTTACCCAGCCTCGTCAACTCTCCTACCTCGAAAAACTACCACCAGAAATTCAGTCCCTGGTGCTGGAGAACCTGCCCAAGCCAGGCCTTGGTAATATCAGACTTACGTGTAATCTCCTCAATGAAGTTGCAACTCCAATAGTAAGATCTCATATATTAAGTCTTATGCTTATTCTCCCCATCTGTTCTCTTTTGTTGGAACCATGCCTTGTCACCCGAATTCAATTGGAAACAAAGGCTAAACTTTGCCAGATTGCTCGAAAAATCAACGTCACATTCTCACTCAAGAGCTTTCAGAATCTTATCCGCGTCACAAGAAGCCGAGCCCTTTCTCCTCATGTCCGGTTTCTGGAGTATACAGTTTGTCTCTTGCGTAAAGTGGTCACGCAGGAAATAATGCAGTTATATTATACATTGCATTTAAAGACTTTACGTCCAGACCTACGACTTACTCCAAATGGCGCCATTGACTCATCCGATCCCAATTTCCCGCCTCAAGCCGAACTCAACCAAGTTTTCAAGTCATATAGACTACTGATGGGTGAGCAGGACAAAGTGATCGAAATGAACATCCCTGGCTCTACATTTACCCAGACTCTGCACAGTCTTCCCAATCTGATGTCGATTCAAGTCACCTCTAGTTCAGCTTCCAGAGCAACACACCAGTTGTCAAAGACCTTTGGACCGAATCTGGTTGATGCGGGCCAAAGCCAGCGGCTGGACTTCACATTTAAGCCGCTGATCGATGCATTTATCATCGACAAGATGACCATTCAACACCTCCAAGTCGATGGATTGTATTGGTCTATCTTCAATCACTCCACTCCGCAGTTTGATTACCGTATGGAGATGTTCTCAAACCTCGTTACCATCTATCTAGTTTTCGAATACCGCGAAGAAGACAATTGGACGAAATCCTTCCCGGTCCAGCGCCAGGATATGTTTGGTACTTGCCTCGCTTCTGCGCAACATTTAGAATGCCTAGCCCTTCGGTTTAAAACTCCAGGTTATGGGAAATTTGCCAATCAAAGCATATATACATTTCCTGTTGTTTGGTCCGCGCTTGCAAAAGATACGGTATGGCCAAGCCTTAAGAGTCTCGAGTTGGATAACCTGATATTCTCCGCCGAACACGCCGCGCGATTCTTCGAGCAACATGCAAAGACTCTTAAATATGTCTTTCTGCGTAAATTGTGGCTCGTGGAGAATCCAAGGGACTGGCAGATTGTCTTCAGGTCCATGCAGACACACTTAACCCTCAACAGATTGAGTCTGCGGTGTGTATGGGGTGGTGGGTTACTCAGCAACGATATGGTTCCACGCTTCATCGATATGTTTGATAAAGTTGGCATTCGGTTAGCGACGTCGATTGCAGGAAGCAAGGCTGCATTGATGGGCAAGCCGGCGAGGAGGAAGTCGAACGTGCAGACCTGCACCCGCATCCCACCGAGTCCGGGAGAAGCAGAGCAGCTGGCGGAGATACCTGAGGACCCGATGGAGAACCTGGGGAAGTATCTGACTTTGTTACCGAGACATAAGCATAGGTGAAGAAAAGATGTTGTGGATCTAGATTTGCGTGTGTAGATCTGGGGATGAATAGATTGCGGGTGGCACACCCATTCAATAGCGTATAATACTTTACTTGAACACATAAATTAACATACCTCACCATCCAATCTTTCCAACTTTTACCCCACTAAACCTCCGAATATTCCGCAATGTCGGATCCACCAGGTTCAGCTAGAAGAGAGGAAACGCATTGAAGTTGACCACTATATAGAGCAGGCATAGACGTATATTTAAGTATGTATTACGATCAGTCTCGAAGAGAAAATCACAACTACCTCTTCAAAGCAGGCTTAGCTTAGCTTAGGGTGAACATATCCTGAATTTTAAGACCAACCGACCGACCGACTACTCTTTAGCTATACCATACCATACCATACCAGCCACGATGATCGTGTGTACCTCGAGCTCTCCACGTCTTTAAACGCCATCCATCCAACCATTCCTCAGTATATTACAGTACACCAATATATATATCTCTCTCGTCCCCACTAGATGCTTGCTTGCTTACTTACACTACACTTCCCCTCCATCGCCCTTGAAGAAGCCATGGTGGCCTGAGGAACTCATGCCCTCGTTAACCATGCTCTCCGCATCGCCGACCTGTTTCCGCTCAGTGACCTCTCTTGATTTTTTCGAGTGCCACAGCTTCAGGTTCATCTGCTTCCTGAAGAGCTGCGTCAATCCTTGGGAATTTGGACGCGGGGCAGAATATCCCGGAGACCCCCTCATGACTGCTGATTGTTATTGTAGAGGTTCCGAGGAACTCGAGAGCCGGTTCAGGTGGAGATATACGTCTGTTCCATATCTGTGGAGAGTTAATGTTAGATGGTGTACAAAGGGGGTCCAGGGGCGTTTTTTTTTTTCATACCCTTCCATACTAATCAACTTCAGATCACCACCGAAATATCTCGCATATAATCTCGAAATTGGTAACCCGTATCCAAAACCAGCCATGGGTGCCTTGAAATCACTCTTGTCAAAATCCGGATCCAAACTCGGGGTTGTGTCCACTGTCGTATACATATAAGTCCATACTAGCGGTATGGCGCTCCTGGGTATTCCACCTCCTTCATCTGAAATCTTGATAGTGATGTCTTCTTTCCCCTCCGCGACAACGACTTTCGTAACCGGAAATTCTTCCTTATCCTGTCCATGGGTTTCCACAACCGCACGTAACGAGTTCTTCAAAGTCTCGAACAGCATGTGAGATAGATGCCCTGGAACGTACATGAAATTGAGATTGGGAGGGCACACAAGCTGGACTTTTGGCGCGTCGAATAACCCATAGTGATCTTCGCATACAAATCGGGCATTCTCAATGGCTTCCTCGGCTAGATCTCGAACATTCGTCTTGGTACATATAACCCCAACATAAGTCGGGTCCTTATTATGGCTTTGGTCCGTCAAAGCAATGTGTTGTCCAATGAGCATTCGAATACCAATTCGAGACATATAAAATCGATCAAGGAAGGCCTGAATATTGCGGTCAATCTGCATGCGTTGCCGTCTCCGTTTGTATTCTAAAATCCCCTGTGCCACAGTTGTTACCACACTGTCATGTCGCCGTTTGATCGTGTTCAATGTCTGTGCGAACCGCTGATTGTAGTCGTGTAACTCTGGAGGCCACTCATCGCCATCCTCGACGGTCGCAAAGTACCGTCGAGCTGCAGCCGCGCCTTTCCTCGATTCATGTTCACTTTCACTCCCATTGATATGGCCATTTTGCTGCCACGGCGAAGAGGTGTATTGGCCCTGTTTTACACTGGGGTTCTGTGTGGCTTCCGCGAGAATTTTGGAGGCTCTACCACTCGTTCTCGCAGGTTTCATAAGTCGATGGCGGACATCTTTCGTAAGGTGTGGTCTCGGGAGGGTTGTTATTTCCTGCAGCACATGTCAATGGATGCAACCAGGCTGGAGGGATAGGTGGAGATGTTACCTCGAAGGACTGAGCATACCAGTCCTGAACCTTCTTGATCGAAGGCATATCATTGAGTCCATCTGGGAGCTCACCGAGCTCTTGCACTCGATGGGCGAGTCGAATAGGTAGTTCTTCGGATAGGAATTGGGAGGCTCGGAAGAGAGTGCCTGCTTAGCCAGCCCTCTTATTAGCATAGTTCCCCTTCAATTGGATGCATATAATAATTTCTCACCTGTTGATGGTTTCTCTCCAAATTGGACCATCTGCCGTAAACTCACGCCAGTTGCAGGGAATGCCGAGTAATGCTTGATGGTATTCATCAGCAAGTCAGTCTTCTTCCACGACATCTTGAGAGGGTCGTCTGGGCCCCCGGCCTTTAAAATCGACACAAGATGGCTTCAATGTTGGCAAATATCTTGGTCGCCATTCGGTGACTCGATCGAGGCTTGAGAACACAGACAGGAAGCGACCCCACGATTCGGGAGGCTGACGTAGAAAGTTAATGCCGAGGTAAGGGCATGCACTTTATAAGAGAGAAGGGAAGGAAAGTGAGAATAATAGAAGAGTAAAACCATGCGAAAAGACGAAGATGAATTGTGGAGAAAGTGTTGTGTGAGAGGAGAGAAGCTTCTTTCTTTATTTTGTCTTGTGCCGTGGAGTCATCTGATATTGGTCCTCGACAGCTTCAACCGCGGGCCTACGGGGACACGGAGAATGCGGTTAGACGTCCATTGCTAGTGCCGAAGCGGCAACGCCATGCGATATACCCAATTCCCCCGCGCTCGATTGAACTGAGCGTGCAAAGAAATCATCCTTTCGCTAGGGCGGGTGAAGGCTTGCGTTGTGTACATAGATAGCTTCGATGTCACAAGCATTTACTGTTATCTCGTAAGCCATATCCAACACCTTTACCGCCACGTCCATCCACCTTTACGCCCGAGCACAGGATGTTTCTCAATCCCTTCCAGAAAATCCTCAAGAGATGGATGCTAGGATGAGAACGCCGAGTAGGCAGTTACCTCGGGATGGGTGTTCTCGGGCAACCTCACTGCAACATTGTCTCAACTCAACGGATAATGCCGGGAACTTGCATTTATCTGCTATAAACACCAGATGAACGCCGGAAAGGGGCAGCAGCTAGCCGGAGTTGCAGTTTCCCCTTTTTGGGTAGAGGACAAGAGGCACGTGACTACCGACGAAGGCTTTCTTCCCGGGTTCAGCTCAAATACATCTCTTGTCGGAGTGTTTAGTCTCCATGATACTACTCGTAAATACTATGGTTCAATTAATTAGGTCGCTGTGACAATCCTGAGCTATCTCAGTTGACCGGAGAAGCTGTTGAGTGGCAGCTTCCCATGTAAGTCTTGCAAAACAAGAAGGGCAAGAGTAAAGGACAATGCTTCTAATACAGAAGATATGTGCTCATCTAGTTCGGTGTTATAGAAAGTTGTTTTCCCTTTTTGAGCTCACTTTCGAGCTCACTTTCATACACACTAGAAATCACAATGACCTTTGCTGTCAGACTCTCATCCATGAAATTCGATAGAAGCTTCACTTCCTCTCACGGCTCTACCATTCGAGGGGTGTTCGTCGTCATAGCTTTCTGTGTCTTTGGGTATCTTCTTTTGCTTCCTCTCTTTGCCATCCTCAAAGGATTTCAATTTCTCTTTTCCTTCCACACCGAGATAGTGATTCCTGGACCTGGCGAAGAGTAACTAATCCATCCCACAAAAGGTCCAGAAACTGATAGTAGCCAGTGCACTCGGGCATTTCGCGGGAAGGCGAGACTGTGGTATCTCAAAATCAGAAATCTACCTTGCGCCCTTTCCCCTAGACCCAGGAGTCTCGCCATTCTGCAAAGACAGAGCAACGCTTCTCGAAGCACTCAGCAGCGGAGGCCGACATGGCTTCGACGAGCCATTCGTTGGAAAGGGTACTTATACTCCTTCCTCCGTACGGAACTGTTACTTATGACAACTAGGCTGTACATATAGATGGTTCTCTACGCCAGAGATATGCATGATCCTCGAACGCTTCAACGCACTTGTCTTCATCGGCGACAGCACAGCCCAAACAATCTACACAGCCCTCAACATCCTATTACGCGAAGACCTCGCCCTGGGAGGTTTGCAGCAATGGATGATGAATGACCAAGATCGAGCTGCTTGTAAGTGTGATCAGCAGTTTGTCAATGGAGACTGTTTGGGGTACTCTATCAGGGGCATCAAAGAGGCGAAGAAGAATATGAAGCAAAGTCCTTATTTCTGTGAGCGTATGCTGAACCCGTTCATGAAAACCTGGGAAAGATTCCTGCTAATATTGGCTAGGAGTCCCACACGCTTACGTCCCTGTCGACAGCACGCCCGCATCTTTGACAGCCCTGAATGCCTTCAAATCTCTCACCTACGACCGTCCTAAGCCTTGGCAACCCTCGCCAGTAATCCTCTCCTTCAGTCCGTCTCTCGACATTACGACAACGACTCGGGTTCTGGATGAATGGGCCTCTCTTGCAACGGCTGCTGAACGCAAAATCCCCTTGCTGTTCCTCGGTCCTCAAGCACAGGGTTTGAACAAAGCTGGTAAGGATGGAAATGCGGCGTTGTGGAAGTTCCAGGACGAGATCGCTGAGCCGGCAAAGCGGAGACATTTTGATGTGCTTGGGTTATGGAACTTGACGGCTCAGGCTGGTAGTACGGATGGGGAGAAGTATGGAGAGAAAGTTGCCTTAGTGCAAGCTATGATGATAATTAATTGGTTGTCGAAGCTGGGGACTTCTTGATATTGACATGTTTAGTATGTATTTGGTAAAATGCAGGCCTAAATCATTATAATTATTGTCCCTTAATAGCTAGCCAAGATCCCTTTCCTAAGATCTCTCACCTCGTCTGAAACATCCAGCTTCAATATTATAATACCTCCATCTCAAGAAAGTCGTCCGCTTAATACCGGCGACAGACCCTTATATTCTATCACGCTACGTAGAGCTTCTTGAAGCAATATGATATCTAGCAGCACTGACAATCCTACTGCTGCCGATTAGCCACGCCTATACTACAATCATTCGAGGCTACACCTTCGCACGGAAAAAATGGACCTAACTTTTGAGAGCTTTCAGCTATGGGTAACAAACACTGATTGATACAAAGGAGTTGAATTGAAATAGCTAAATAACACCGCGAGCAAATGCCAAGAATCCGAATCCCAACGCCACAGTTCAAGCGCAATCATACCATCCCTCAAAGCTGAGAACCCAGTTTATGCCTTATACAGCGTGTCCAAAAACCCACTCGCAAGCTCAACAACAACACTCTTATTCGGCAAACTCCCCGCAACCCCATACAGCGCCGCACTATCCCCCATACTCTTCCCCTTGGCGCCCTTCCCCTCCACAATCCGCACCCTCTCCTTCTCCTTCTCGCCCTCAACCACGGCCTCCAGATCCGTGACCAGCTTCTCCCACACCTTCACTATCGGCAGCGTCACCGCTACGTGGATAGCAGGCGGGTCCTGCAGCGAATTCAAATGCCATCCCTTCGCGGACATCGCATCCGCGATATCGTAGATGTTAAGCGTCTTGCTCGTGAACGCCACTACACTTACTAGCGGCTTACCCAGGACCTCTAAATCCACATTCAGCGCTGGGTTCTCCGCAATCGCCTCAGCGATTTTCTTCGCGGCGCCCACGATCTTGGCGCACGAATCGATATATCCCACCTCTCCCGTGTTCATGAGCGAGGCCCAGCACCCGGCGATCAGAGCACCAGGTCGGGAGCCAGCGATCGAAGGAGAGGCGTAGACGCCGCCCGACCAGTCGGGCGAGATGAAGTACTGGTAGGCGCGCAGGGACGCGGTGCGGTAGAGCACGGTGCTGTTGCCTTTGGGCGCAAAGCCGTATTTATGCGTATCACAGCTTATGCTCGTCACGCCCTTCAGCCTGAAATCGAAGAGCTCGGTCTCGAAGCCGGCTTTTTCTAGGAACGGGACTAGGAAGGAGCCCAGACAGCAGTCTACGTGGAGGGGGATTTTGCGTTTTACAGCGAGCTTGGAGAGCGAGGTTATGTCGTCAATTATTCCGTGCGGGAAGTTGGGGGATGAGCCGACGAGGAGCACGGTGTTGCTGTTTATGAGACGTGAGACGGATCGTATATCTACGCGGTAGGTTGGGGCTGGGCAGGCTACTAGGTGGACTTTTATGCCGAAGTAGGAGCCTGCTTTGCGGAATGCCGTGTGGCCTGTTTCGGGGAGAATCCTGTGATGTTTGTCAGTATTGTTGGTCGGGGGGAACATGACTTTGCTTCTTACATCTCTGGTTCCGTGACACCTCGCTCTGAGTATGCTTTTTGTCTCGCACTCAAGCAAGCCATTAGAATAGACTCAGTTCCTCCACTTGTAGAGACACCCGCTGCTCCTGCGGGAGCATTGAACATAGCGAGAACCATAGACACAACCTCTGCCTCCATCTTCCTCACCCCAGGGAACACATCCGGATGAATAGGATTGGCGACTGTGAACTTCCCAAATGCCTCAGTTTGCAACTTCATCAAATCATCCCCCCATGGTACACAGCTCCCGAGACAAATCCATCCTCCCACCTCGTATGGTCCATAGCAGCTAGATTCTCCAACTCTTTCAACACAGTCTCATATGTCCATCCTTCCTTCGGCAGCGTCAAGTACCGCGTCACACCCGGTCCAGACGGCACAAGCTTCGTCTGCAGCTTCGTAATAGCTTCCGAGACCTGCTTCTGGACCTGACTACGCACACCCGGCGCGCGGAGAAAGAGTCCATAGGCCGTACGTCGAATGACAATATATGTATCTGCAAACGTGCCAAAGATTCCCCGACCCTTGAGCTTCAACAGCCCCTTCCTAGTCCATCGCAGCAGGAATAGGAAGAAGACGAGGTTCCGGAATCTGTGGAACAATATAAGTCAGTATTGTTTGTTCGAACGTTCGCGTCACTTTGCCTTTCAAAGGCGGGGATAGTTACAGGTCAATATTTAGGGCTAGCAATTGGCTGCTGGACCCTCCTTTTTTGACCGTAAAGGTATTGCGCAAGCTCACGGGCATCCTCGAACTGCCTGGCATGATGGATGGGCGAGTTGTCGGGGGAAGGCCTAAGTGATAAGAGGAAGATCTTGCATTTATGTTGATAGAGCCGAGGTGGAAAATCACATGCGGGTGTCGTACAGAAGCTTCGCGCTTATCGTAGTGAGTTTCAATCGAGATGAATTCATCGGGACTGGTGGAGTACTCATACCACGAGGAGAGATCCTGATTAGTACATGATTTCCGGCGGGGTTTCTCTGAATTCAATGTTTCGAACGAGTTTGTCAATATTACTCGTCAGCCTTGCAGCTCTTCCGCCGCAAGGTGGAATAGCTTCACATTTGATTACCACTTTCGTCCTCGTTCGAATTGTGGTTTGATTATAAATATGACTATGGTCCATCTGATCAGACTCCACAATCCCAACAAGAATCGCTCAGGTCTGTTTAAGCAAAATGCCACACTGGGCCCGGAGACCCTTAACCCTAGGAGTTCGAATCGAAAGGCAGTACTAAATGACTGCAAGGGTATGTGAAAATGTAATTTACAGGAGAGCAGAGTCATGCATGCTTCATCCATCAATATCGCACACAGACGCCCTCTAAAGTATACCTTCAAAAATGCAGTTGCCCATGCAAGATTATACACATATGCAAACATATCGGCAACCAATCCTCTTCTTATACGCCCTAAACGCCGATTTTGACATCGCTGGTCGTGGATCGTAACGGCCGCTCTTCTTCTCTGGCCACTGTTTCAACATGCTTCAATACTCTGTGGGGATTTGAAGAGATCATCGTGCGTGAAATACTGTCCGCCATTGTTTCGAAAAGGGGTCTGCTTCCGCTTGGCAGTCTCGTCCCATTTGTTCGCATCCATGGAAGCGGATCACAAAGTCTCCATCTTTGTATGCTCCGGACTCGTCTGTAACTGATGCTCTTCCGTATGAGTTCATCTTCCGTTGCGGTACTAGCGCGAGTTTAGAAAGTATGGTAGGATGCCATTGAACGATATGCTCCTATTCATTGTCAGCGTCTGCAACTTCATCCGAGCTTCATTAGTTTACTTACCAAGGCATGTGTATCCGCCCTCTGGAAATTATAAGAGCGGTACAATGGATCGAACCAGGTATCCAGGAAGAATTTGCTCCAAGCTCCTCTCCTGACGATAAAGCTCCCTTGTGCTAATCCCTCCTTGTCCTGAGTAACAACCAAATCCACGTTCTCCCCTTTCAGATGTGAGAATGTCTTGATGACACTATCGGGAGGTACGATAGACTGATCCTTAATCATGAGGCTCTCCAGTACTTTGGGGTTCATGATATGGGTTTCGACTGCGAGGTCGGGATTCATAATCAGGGAGTTTTGGTCGAGATACCAGACATAGGTGGTAAAGGGAAACTTTGTCAATGCGTGCCGGACTGCTGGGACTCGGGTCCATGATGCTGGAGAGCCTTTGAGATCGTAGTCCTTGATAGTTGGGAAGAAGGTAGTGTAACCTGGACATTATTAGCATAGCCCTTCCTTTTCCAGCCCCCAGGTGCTTCTTACCATGTTTCCTTGCATACTCTATCCGGTTCTCCTTGATGTTTTTTATGTACTGCGAGCTGTAATTCTCCTCATCCACCACTGTAACAATTACCACTGGAGGGGTCCCCGAGGGTATCCTCTCTCCACCCCCGAAAATATGCGAGCATAAGAACAACAAGACGCCGACTGCACAGAGGCCGATTAGTATCGCCTGAACTCTACTTCTGCGAAGCATAGGATACCGAGACGAGCGATTCGCGTAGGCAGGAGGATGCGAGGATTTCCTCGTCGGGAGGGCTAAATGCATGGCCTGCGGAATTGGCGTCGAGGCGCCAGAGAGACTGTCGTGTCGAGGAAGGTATTGCAGACTCGGAGCCCGTCAATTCGCAAGACGTGGTCGCGATGGCGAGTTTGTAGTGAGATTGGTGTCCTTTTGCAGCTGGGCTCTTGGCGCGCTCGAATAGCTAGCTACTCGTATCTATCTGTTCGCAGCTGACACGACACCGGGCTACGGCACATGCAGGTAGGTAGTCTTGACAGCCGGGTGGGTAAATAATCGAAGGCCTGCGACACTGTCCTGGCAGAGGATGAATATAGTCAATTGAATGTCGGCGGCGGTGGGCGAGATTTAATGTTCGAGGTCCCACACACACTACACGATCACCATTGCACGGGGGGAAATTATAGAAGAAATATCGAAAGCGCGAGCCTCTTCCTGGCTGACTACTACTGTACGGACTTACTACTAGGGTCCTCTAGTGGTGCGTGCTCGTGCTTAGAGGCCAATCAGGAGCCGATTAATGTTCAAGGAAAGTGATAAGGAGAGAGCATACGGTGGTAATTTACGAGCATAATCTCATTACAATAAGCCGCACGCGGATAGAACAATTACAATTATAATTACCTGTCTCCTGTGGCTTGAAGCTGATTTTTACTAAACATTTTATTTTCATATTACCGTACGCTCCTTTTGATTGGCTTTTTATCAAACAATAGCATTGTGCCCCTTTCTTCCCTGACAAGGCTAGACCCGCTCCATTATCCCGTATGATGTAAGTAACGCAAGGCCCTCAAAACAATATGCATGACGTGAGGTCTTAAATAAGAAAGCGAATCGCGGGCAATATATATATATATATATATTTCATCTACATTAGATAAACTTTCAATAATATTACAGTTTATTACTCGAAGAATACAAGCAATTCATCATGTCTTCATCTGTCATTCAACTAGAGTGTCAATGCAACAACTACCCGTGGGGAAAGAAGGGCAAACAATCACTAGCTGCTCAGTTTGCAGCTTCAACTCCAGGAGGTCACTTCAAGCTCGATGAATCTAAAGAGTATGCCGAGGTAATTCACTCATGTTCCATGAAGCCTTTCGTTGAGAACTATACTGTTTTATATTATTAATAAGGAAATGCAATCGACCCGATCTAACCCCCTTTCATTCTGCCTTTGCCCAGCTCTCTAAATACATCTGATACCTCCGATACCTCTCAATGTCCAATGTCATTTCTGACCTTAATAGATGTGGTGTGGAACCTATCCCACAACCCCCTCTCTTATCCTTTCTAGCGGCGAAGACCTCCAAAAACACCTCAACGCCAACAAAGAAAAACTCATGGGAAAGCCAATCCTCGAAAAGTTCGGAACAGATCTTCCCTTTCTCCCCAAGGTACATCCGTTCCCGCTCCTCTCCTACCATACCTGGTACTGAATCCTACTTCTCCCTCACCCCAGATCCTCTCAATTGCCAAAGCCCTCCCCCTTCAAATCCACCCCGACAAAGACCTCGCAGCGCGCCTCCACAAAAAAGAACCCTCCAAATTTAGCGACGAGAACCACAAACCCGAAATCGCCGTCGCGCTCTCCAAATTCGAAGTCTTCGTCGGCTTCAAACCGCTCCTCGAGATCCAAGGCCTCTTCACCTCGATCCCGATCCTGAAATCCCGCTTCACAAATGAATCTCAGTCGCATTTCAATGCGGAGACGTTGAAGGGGATCGTTGGCAAGATACTTTCTGCTAGTGATGAGGAGATTGTAGAGGTTTATGAGACATTGAGAAACACTCCTAAGAAAGCTTTTGGGAAGCACACTTATATTCCTGAATTGCTGCCGCGACTGGCGGAGCAATATGATAAAAGCGATCCCGGAAACTTGGTGGCGCTACTTACAATGAACTTTTTGGTTTTGAAGAAAGGAGATGCGATTTATGTTCCGGCAGAGTAAGTGTCCCTTTGAAAATGCAATTCGTTAGGGGCACCTCACTCGCACCCGACTTGCGGTGGACGCGGTACCGTATTATAGTGTCCTTGGCGGACTGGGACACTAAGAGTTGATAATAATAAGTGCTGCTCCTGTGTTCAGCATGAGGCCGAGTCTGAGCGAGTTTTCCGAAAATTCGAGAAAATGCAGTTTTTCTGGCACTCGATTTCCATATTCGCCGAGATGGAAACACTTACGTCCACTTCGAGTAACAAGCTAACAAACCTTTCACAGTGGCATTCATGCTTATCTCTCAGGAGACATTGTAGAGTGCATGGCTCGCTCCGACAACGTCCTGAACACAGGCTTCTGCCCGCGCGCCGACCGCGACAGCGTCGCGACCTTCACATCCGCCCTAACCTTCTCCCCCGCCTCACCAAACGAAGCTCTGCTTTCCCCCAAACCCTCGTCCAAGGGAAAGCATGGACATACTCAAGTGCTAGCGCCGCCAATGAGCGAGTTCAACATGCTGGTGACGAACTTGGGTGCTGGCGAAAGAGAGGTGTTGGAACCGCTTGGCGGACCGGGTGTGATGCTCGTTACGGCAGGGAAGGGAACAATGATTGCGGAGGGGAAGGAGAGGGATGTGAAAGAGGGATGGGTTTTCTTTGTTGGTGTGGGGACTGAGTTGGAGTTTGTGGGGGATGATGATGGGGGTTTAGAGTTTCATTTGGCATTTTGTGAAGCATGAGTTGCTCCCTCACATATAAAAAGAAAAGCAATCATGGAATTGTAATGAGAAAAAGAAGATATGTATCAACTTTCCTGCCTTAGGTTCCCTTGAAAGTATCACGCCAGAAAGGCAGGAGAACCAAAACCGGCAATCCCAAAATGAGAAAGTGGTATACGGCAGAATGGTGATTGGACAAGCGGCCACCCATAGTGAAAACAGAACAAGACGCTCTGAATTCGAGGCTCCAGCGAGTGGTTGATATTTGCACACAGACTAGTTGACACGCCATGGAGGAGAGAGAGCGTGGTAACTTAAGAGTGTGCAACGAGGGGAAAGGGGTAAATGGCTGTCTAAGGATATGTCAAGAAGGGGCAACGTGGAGAGTCGTCTTCGCTTGATGAAAGTCGCTGTAAGCTTCAATGTTCTGTTATACAAAATGCTTGTAAACCGCTAGAACGCCCCAATGCCCAAGCTTGTGTAAAATGCGATGCAATCCCTGAACTCCTTGATCGCAATTATTGTGTCTTTCGACTCTCAGCATCTTGGTCGCTCGATGAGGCACCCTCAGTTTGGGTATTGATATCTGGTTGTGGACGAGGCGCTTCTTCTTCTTGCTCTTCATCATCGTCGTCGTCGGGATCATCACCGTGGACATCCACTACACGTTCACTAGCTTTCTCGAGAGTTCTTCGAGACCATCTTCGGACCCAAGTCCAGATAGTCTGAAGAGAATCAGTATTTGAAGTAAGCTTGCCCAAAGCATTTTCACTTACATATAGAAACGTCACGACTCCAACAATGACAAGCAGCCAGAAAGTGCTATCAGTGCGGTCTCTCCCTGTCACGCCAGCCCTCACTCGTCCACTCCGTCCGCCGCTACCAAATAGCCCTCCACGGAAGTTCCAGATCGTGACGGGACTCGTCGCCCATATCACCTTGACGAACCCAAGCACTCCTATAGACGTCAAACCTTTCATAAAATGCATTACCCATCCATCATATTCCGCCAAATCCTCTTCGAGATCAAGCGGGCCCCCAATACCACCACCAGTCGCTACGCTGGCTATAGTTGCACCCGGTTCAAAGTATAGATTTATAATCGGGTCCGCAACGAAGCCAAGCAGAAACACAGTTGCGAACATGATGAATATCGTGAGGACAATCTGAGTGAGAGTGCTTGAAATCATGCGCGACCATTTCATTCTCTCGAGTCGGTACCGGAACTTGCAGGTGGGACAATCCCAGAAATTCCTATCTCCATACCGGGGATCTGCGTGTCGCCACGCTTGTAAACAGCCTTCGTGAACATAAGCTTGTGATCCTGTACATTTGCATGGTCGGATTAGGCGGCCTGACTCGGGATCTTCGGAGATGTAGGAAACCTTTGGAGAGGGATTGAGGAAAGAAGCGATTCCCTCGCTGGGCGTTTCGAAAGATGGCAGGACTTCTTCCAAGCATATTCTGCATTGCCTTGGCTTATAATGCCTTCGCCTTGGTGGAGGTGCTGTATTGTCCTGCCCCTCCACATGCTCATCTTGAACGGGCTTTATCGGGGGTTCTGGTTCTTCATCTTTGAATGACCCAGGTAGGGGTATTTCCTCTTCATGTGATGGCCCTGTTGTCATGTCTTTTGGCCATTCCCAGCCGGCACGTTCTGCCTGATGTACTGCGGTTGCGGCGGCCCCCTGGTCTGGGTCATGATAGTTTTGATTGTAGGGTTCAAAAGGTCCGGCCTCATCTTTCGGGTCGAAAGTTTCAGTCCATCCAGAATCCTCTCCTGCAGCTCCTGGTGTGGTCATTGTGGTAAGCTCGCAGTTAATATCGCGTGGGAATCTTTGTTGTCATTGAAGCAGCGGCAAGACAGCTTAGCTGCTTCCTGGGAATAATTAGCGCTAAGTCATTACCCTGATAGGACAAGAACTTTTCAAAGAAAGTGGGATGTTGAAAGAATAATTCAACATCTGCAATGTTGCTTCAATTATTGTCTGATTCAAAGGTCGTGGATGACAAAAGAGCTTTAATCGGTCGCGGCGGTCCAAATTTGGAGCTAAAGTTTATCGCAGCCTTGAAAACGAGGAAGGAATTTCGCGTCGTCGAGCTGCGTAAACGTGAGCTGCCTGTAGCTTCCATTTACAGCTTCACCTTCGACCACACCAAGCAACTCGAGCCTCCATCTTCTTTAAATTACTAACTCCGATCACCTCCCTCCACATCTTGCTTCCTTCGATATCTCTCGCAAGCAAATTACGAGGTAGATAGGCAATATGGCGGATAGATACTCCTTCTCGTTGACTACATTCTCCCCCAGGTCTGTCCTCCTACAGCTTTACGCGCATATTGGAACATAGCTAGGCGTTGCGGTAATCAATACTGACTATCAATAGTGGGAAGCTGGTCCAAATAGGTTCGTACAGCTTCATTACTCTACCGAGAGTGCTTTTGCCTCGCCGGCTGGAAGTAAATAAACCCCGAGCTAACCAACGGTATATAGAATACGCATTAAATGCAGTCAATCAAGGTGTCACGGCGCTGGGAATCAAAGGTAGGCTCGATCTAGGCTCAAATATATACTCAAAGGCGAATATCTGACCACATTGGTAGCTACAAACGGCATTGTCCTTGCCACAGAAAAGAAGTCCTCGTCACCCTTAATCGACCCTCCCTCGCTCTCGAAAGTCAGCCTCATCACCCCCGACATCGGTATGGTCTACTCAGGCATGGGACCCGACTACCGAGTACTGGTCGACAAAGCCCGCAAAGTCTCCCACACCGGCTACAAGCGCATCTACAACGAGTATCCACCAACGAGAATATTAGTGCAGGATGTTGCAAGAGTCATGCAAGAAGCTACGCAGTCAGGTGGTGTACGACCGTACGGTGTTAGCTTGTTGATTGCCGGGTGGGATGAGGGTGTTGAGCCGGATTCCCAGGAGGCTGCTACGGCTGATGCGCATCCGGATGAGAAGAAGGCTTCTGGCAAGACGGGTGGGGTCATGAAGGGTGGACCTATGCTGTATCAGGTTGATCCCAGTGGAAGTTATTTCCCATGGAAGGCTACTGCTATTGGCAAGAGTGCTACATCTGCAAAGACTTTCTTGGAGAAGAGATACACGGAGGGTTTAGAGCTAGAAGATGCAGTCCACATTGCCCTGTTGACCTTGAAGGAAACGATCGAGGGTGAGATGAATGGAGAGACTGTAGAGATTGGTAAGTGGATGTCAGGAAGCCTTTGGAACCAAAGCTAACACATTTTAGGCATCATTGGGCCACCAGCTGATCACTTACTTGGCGTTGACGGAGTTGAGGGAGCGCAAGGACCAAGATTCAGGAAGTTGAGCCCTCAAGAGATTGAGGATTATCTTACGAATCTATGAGTTCTTCTGCTATGCATTGGTAAATCTGGAGCACTCACGGACTATGTATTATAGAATGGCATCAGAGGCAAAATGAATAAGATGAGATACCAAATTGGTTTTTGCCTATTCTTCTTCTCCATCGATTATTGCGAATGAAGTCTTATATCCCTCATACACTTTCACAATCTTCTGACCTTTATGCAGAGGCAGGGTTACTTCTTTCCAAGCCCCGATCTCATTTTTACTACCGTCACCACATTGCCCGTTGGAATTGTTACCAATTACCCATAGCCGATGAGACATCGTCAGTACAACGATATGTCTATCACCGACCCCGAAATCCAAAATATCCTCGCCCTCTATATCCACCGACTCCGGTATCCCACTCATATCAGGAAGCGGCGTCTCCTGACCCTGTCGTCCTCCCCATACATAAAGGTCATTCTCATTCGTCAAAGCCCCCGCAATATACCCACCAGCAGCTATCTTCTTGATGCCGGTAATAGGATCTGAGGTCAGGTCTTCAAGCACACAAGGCACATTTGCTGGACTGGAGGAAGATTTAGCTTGGATAGGACAGGATACTTGTTAGTTAACGGATCGACTTACGAATCCTCGTTTACTTCGCGGCCAAGACTATTCTGATGCCGTACGTCGCCCCAGCTGAGCACTTTGCCGCTTTTTGTGAGCGCGTAGAAAGAGGTATCATTTGCAATGACGTTTATTACATCATCCACTGCCGTTGGATTCGTGATCATAGGTATGTCTGACTTGTATTTATCTAGGTTTTCGTATATATTGAGAGTACCTGTCTTGAAAGCTGCGACTTTCTCGCTGAGGGTTTGGGCTATGTGCTCATGGGGGACTTGACAGTCCTCTGACAAGAGGTATTGGAAGAAAGGATCAGGGGAACCGGTCTGGACCAGCTGGGAAGACTTTCGTACTGTGTTACGTTAGTTTTGATTTGATGTGTTGACTTTTGCAACATTGAGGTGATAGGAAGGAGGTCTTTGGAGATCTGTATCCCAGTTCATACTAGTGTTAGAGATTTTGAGTCACCCTCGAAGCTGAGAGATATCATCAATCCTGATAGATGATATTGCGTTGTTCTCGGCCATCAGCCTCGCCCGACACGTGATGATTTATATACACTTGTAGAGAAAGCATGACTGACTTACTTACTTAATATGGCCGAATGGGATGACTTCAAGACTTCAATATCCGGGTCGACGAGTACGCACTCAAACTTCTCCAGATCTTTGGGTAGGTCGTCAAGAATTGACCGTTGAGTCGTTCCATCCGAGTTGAGACATTCACTGGCCTCATCATCGGCGAAATGTAACTGTCCCCAAGCATTGAAACCACAGGCCCAGAGCTGCATGGCTCAAGGTACTGGTGCCCCGTCGTTCGAAAGATGGCGCCGCTCGTTGTGGTCGTTTTAGATTATTTTGATGCAAGGCTCAGCCTTACATACACTGCCCCCCCACTCCGAAGTTTTAGTGCGTGCGGTGAGGGGAGCTTCTGTTTCTCTTGTCAGCAAGCTGATCCGTTTTCCATACTTACTATTTCGAACTCATCCTGGCCGATCATTGAACCATACCCTCTTCAAAGCTTTGTTATTGGTGTTGTCTTTGGGAATATTTCGTCAATAACGCGTAACCTGTTCCTTATACCATCTTGGCTTCTGGTCAAGACCGCGCCAAGCCTAGATCCAACAGTGTTGCCTACGCTGCAGGCTCCAATATTTGTTCCTGCAGGGACTATACGACCATAGACAGACAGGCCCCCAGCTTCCCCAGGAATAAAATACATGGCCTTGTGTCTCATTCTTGCCACCCGTCGATTGTTCAATTGTTATAGTTTGCATTGTGTTCGCGGGAGAAGCTGTATACATACCAGCGCAGGTTACGCCATTGCTCTGGTCCAAGACTAGCAAGTTTTTGCTGCATTGACCATCGAATCTTGGAGTTTTGAGGGCGTTTAAATATTATTCAAGAAGCTTCTTTTATATATGTTACATACTGGGCCCTGAAGAGTGCATCGAGCACTGGCATCTCGGCGTCGTCGCGCCTCCCCCCCTTTTCCAAGCGCTGGAACCGAGCATTTATGGCCACGGTCTGTTTCTAGTTGGGATCCCTTCAATTGCGACAATGAATCTCAGTCTCCCAATTCGGAGTGCCAGCAGGAGGAATGATGAGAGCAGGAATCACTTTACGAGCAATTACACCCCTACTTCTTCTACCGAAGCCATTGAGGGGCCTATTCGGGAACCTGCTCCTTTGAATGATCGATTGATTGTTGGACTGGACTTTGGTACCACTTATTCAGGGTGAGTTGATTCTTCTCGTACAATTGGGGTTTTGTGGGAAGACTACAACGCTGCAGACGAAACCAAGCGCACAGCTAGGGGAACAGGGCTTGACTTTCTCAGCGGATGTCGCTTTCAATCCCTCTTTACAAGCTATGGCATGCTAGACAGCTCCAGCGAGCCTAGTTCAAAATGCATCTTTCTCTAAAGCAGTGCTTTTAGAGTCTCATAAGCACCTTGGCGTTCTCCTCCCACACCGTTCTGTTTATAGTCCGCTAACTTTCAAGCAGTGTTGCCGCTGTATACACATCAACTCCAGACGATGTCGAGATTATCAAGACCTGGCCAGGAGGCAACGGCATAACATCAGACAAAGTACCAACAGAGATAGCATATGACTACTCCCCAGATGCGTCAGAGACAGCCGAGCCTAACATCAAATGGGGATTCCAATTCAAGCCCGAAGAATCCCGTCTTCGCTGCATCAAACTATTCCTTGACCGCTCACAAAAGCTACCCTTCTACGTCAGCCCACTGGAAACAGCTGCTCAGTTGAAGAGATTCAACAAGAATGTCGTAGACGCCGTAAGCGATTACTTGACCCAGGTATATAACCATACCATGGAGACGCTTACTCGGAGGTATGGAGAGTCTTTCATGGCGTCGACCAAAGTAGACTTCGTTCTCACTTGCCCAGCTGTCTGGTCGGACGCCGCGAAGAACACTACTTTGCAAGCTGCAGAGCGAGCGGGAATGGGCCAGAAATCAGAGATCCAGATGATCAGCGAGCCGGAAGCTGCAGCAGTCTACACACTGAAAGCCATACAGCCCAACCACCTAAGCGCCGGTGATAACTTTGTTGTATGCGATGCTGGTGGCGGCACTGTGGATTTAATCGCGTACAAAATCATCTCTTTAAAACCACTACGGGTTGAAGAATCCGCCGTGGGAACGGGTGGGCTGTGCGGAAGTGCGTTTTTGAATTATCGATTTGAGGAACATGTTCGGGGCCGTATTGGAAAAGATAGATTCGACGAGATGAAACTCAAGAAAGGCAAGTGCTGGCAGATGGGCCTGAGATACTGGGAAGAATTCGTTAAGCGGAACTTCAACGAAGAAGAACATTCCGAAGTCAATGTCCCATTCCCTGGCTTACCTGATGACGAGGAAGCTGGGCTCGATTGTGGATTCTTGGTTATGACTGCTGCTCAGATCAAAGAGATTTTCGAGCCTGTTGTCAAGGAGGTCTGCGATCTAGTACAGGGGCAAGTAGATGGGATCCGACGCAAAGGCGGAATAGTATCTGGCATCGTCCTAGTCGGCGGGTTCGGACAGAGCAATTACCTCTACACGCGACTAAAAGGCCACTTCAACACCGCAGCCCCACCTCCCTACAGCGAGCGGCCCACCCACGCGCAAGCGACAGCTCTGATCGAAAACGGCTCCGTGGAAGTCATGCAGCCCGTCAATGCATGGACGGCTGTTGTGCGAGGAGCCGTCCTGCGCGGTCTCGAGGGTAGTATGGTTATTTCGCGGAAAGCGAGAATGCATTACGGGACTTCGTACGCTACAGTTTATGACGAGGATAAGCATCAGGTTAGTGAGCGGTATTGGAGTCCGCTGTGGGAGCGTTGGATGGTCAGTGATAGGATGCAATGGCATATAGCCAGTAAGTGTTACACCCACCTACAATCCACATCCACTTCTACACTTCTCTACTAATACTGTCTACAGAGGGCGAAGCACTCAGTGCTGCTACTCCTATCAGTTTCCACTACACTCGAAACTTCAGGTACCTTCCCCCCAAAATTCATATTCCTCTCAACCACCCCCTTTCTCCTGCTAATAAGCATAACCTCCAGACCCGGACAATCCCTAATCGTATCCGACGACCTCATCGCCTCCGACGCCGACGGCGACCCCCCCGCATCCTACACGCGCGATCTCGTCAACGTCTGCACGCTAACCACAGATTTGGGCGCCGTGCCTAAGAGTCTCTTCACGCGCCTGACTACCACTCGAGGTGTGGAGTTCGATAACCTGGATTTCACACTCGAGATGGTTGTCGAGAGCGCGGGGCTAGCGTTTGAGCTTAAGGTTGATGGGTTTCGGTATGGGAGGGTGGAAGCGGAGTTTCATTGAGGGGGGGATGGGTAAGGCATGCGAACAGTTTCTACTTGCATGTTATACTATATGTGCAGTGTAGTGATTTTTGGGTAGAAGACATGTGATGGGAGGGGACGAATGTAATGAATGGATGGATGGGCGATGATTGGCATATATGGTTGTTCAAATGGGAGGAGTAAACATCTAGCATAGCTGTTGATAGACATCGAGTACTAAACAAAGAATAGTATTTCGACTTATTGTCGGGATTATATTGAAGTAAAAATGTTTCAGCCGAAGACGTTTCTTAAAGAGAGAGTTTGAACTCAACAAGGATATACACCCCTTTCTCCCCGACGCTCCATCCTCACCGATTGATCTCCACATACGTGCATATACTCAGGTCATCCATACCCAATCCTAGATGATCACCAACACCGATGCGTGCATAGTCCTTCCCTCGGGCAACTAGGCATCAAGACGAGGCAAACGCCCATTCTTTTTCCAGCCAATAGATACCCCCTATCACAGCCTCTAACGCGAGGCGAACAAGCAGCCTCACCGCGGGTACAGTAGATGCGCACAGATCTCTAAATCTAAATTAAAAATAAGGCAGACAAACTTATTTTAGAACCTGAACCTGAGGAAATGGAACTGTAGGAGATAGTCTTATACTTCCGGGTAAAATTATGGTATGAGGTTACTACTGTAGTGGAAACGAGGCTTAGCTGCGCTTCTTAAACGAGGCGAGACGTCAGCCTCGGATGAACTTTCGAACATACGAGAACCAATGGTTTTTTCCTCGGGAGAATATTGGGTATAAAGGGTCCATTGCGCCCCATATCTTGCAGTATGTGTACTATGCATTTGATTCGTAGGCGGTGAGTGGAGTGGTTGGACGGATACAAGTTCTTTATTGGAGGCTTGGAGCTGGTAGTAGGAGAGGTTGGGAACCGAGTTGATTCTTATCGACCCAACCCCGTGTGTTGGGTATAAATACAGACTGTTGGTTTTGGTCTTTTTAGGTTGGGATAGAAGCTGTGCTGCTGTGAGTGTTCGGGTTGGCGAGTACTAAGTCAGTTGGGAATGGGTACATTTTCTCCCAACCGGGCTACAAGGGTCCCCTCAACCGATCGAAAGGTGTCACCAAGGCTAGTTCGGGCGTAAAACGTTCCTGATTTAGTCCGAAATCGGCTAAGGTATGCAGATATCTTACCCAGGGGTACTCTGTACCTGACTGACTGTTTGCTAGCACCGGACTCCATGAGGCAGCCTTGCAAATGTTTGGTCAGAGATGAGATTTTCATTGCTTATGACCAACCATGAGTGACTCAGACACTAGTAACTCATTCAAGGAGTATATGACCTCAGTTCCCCAAAACTGCAACGAGAATTCAAGTCGGGTATAAAGAAAAGCAGCTTCATCCGATAAGTCAATTTGAAAGCAAAGACCAGCAAGCGTTGCAAACTCCGGTCCGTCAGCTTCATCTAGAGCCGTGCAGAAGAATACCCATAGCAGGCGACAGGTGTTACTCAAGGTAGACACCCCAAACAGCGGTCACAAGTTAGCCTCGCGTGCTGTATCATTCCATGTCGGTAACCGCATCAATGAAATCTCGTTCAGGTACCATGATTCACTGTACATAAAACTTTCGTTAACAAGATAACTCCAAGAAGATTCAAGAAAATAAATCAAGAATAAGATGGCACGGGCCCTCCAAAAGCTTTCGCCACCTCGGAGCAAAAGCCCGTCCACGCGGCGTTCACATGGGAACGGAATCGGTGGAAGAATATAACATCGTATTGTCGTCACGGTCGTATTCAAGTGCAAAAACTTTTAGGTGGCAGATGTCGAAGTTTGTGAGGATACGTGGTGGCTCCACAAGTCGAATGACTTCCAGACGTATATGAGACAAGTATCTCCAAGCTTTTCAGATCGAAAAATCCTTGGTTTGCAGACATATCAGTGAGTCTTGCTCATGCCCTTACGCCTTCCGGATCCTCTTTCCTCTTTTCTTCTGTTTCGGTTCTCCTTCCTCAAATCATAGCTAGCGTGAGAGTTCCGCTCCTCCCTCGCCTGCATCTCAGGAGTTTTATAATCAAGTGGATATAAATTGTCACAGGGTGGTCGTTGTGAGTATCTAATCGCGTGGGCATAGTCACCTGCGGTGATCAGGTGTTTGGTGGACATATATTCCAATGTCCAGAAATCAGGTTTCCCATGATTTACCTCAACACCCTCCTGTCGATATTCCCCGAAGTGTGCACCAATATGGACCATTCGATCTTTCCAAGTCCTCCAGGCATCACTAGGGTTATGAGTGCAGTCGAACTCTTGGTCGCAAAAGGTGCAGATTGTTCTGAGAGGAGGAGGGTGTTCGCCGAAATGCGAAATGCTGTGGGAAATCCAGGCTTCGAAATCACCTGGATAGAATCGCATGTGGCACCCAGAGTAGATGAACTCGCAAGGAAGATCGTAGCCATAGTCGAATTGGGCCATTGCAAGCACTTCGTTCAAGTTTGGTTGCCAGGGCGGCCCTGAGCTTGGAGCGCTGGAATTCGAAGAGCGACGACTCGACTTATCGCTTTCACTCGCCCAGCTTGTGCTAGATCTCGATGCCGAAGATCTGGAAGGTGCGCTTGATACGTATGGTGGGTAGGGTGGCTTGCTGTAAGCTTGAGGGCTACTGAAGGGCGCCTCCACCAGGGGTTGTGTATGAGACCCAAGATATCTCGGACTCTCAGGGTTGCGCAAAAACTCGTCGATCCTGTTACGTCCGTCGTTACCACCCATCGTCAAACGAATATGTTTGTATGCGTGGAGGCGCAAAGTCTTATCAACAGCGACCGGCGCAATGAGAAGGAGATGGAGGGGTCGAACGAGGGGAAAGCCAGAAAAGTTGTGACGATAAAGTTGGGTTGCGAGAACCAGCTCTTATCAGGTCTGCCAGAAGTTGATTCTGTGCCAGACTTTCTGTTGGCAAGGGGGAACTGGGGTTATGTTGAGGAGAAAACCAATGTGGTGGAGGTGAAGGTCTCAGAGTGAGGGAAGGAGGGAGGGGTGCAAGTCAACTTTTGGGAGGTCTCGCTTCGCCAGCAATTTCCCTAGCTTTAGACCGAGTCCGAGGACGCGTCAAGTCAACAATCGATTTGAAGAAGGAATTCGACGACAACTTCCGACAAGGATGTATATTGATATCGATCGATGTTCTCAGATTTTGATGTTGCTGGAGAAAAGCTGGGGCGTCGGCGCTTTGTATTTCTATTAGAATACTGACGCATATCGGCCTACGAAGCGGCCACGCCAGAGACTTTTCACTGCATTCAACTATTCAAACATTTGATGACCCGACCTCCACAGGGGCAGAAAGGAACAACTCGGAGTTTAAATGAATACAGACTTGTCATTCGTCTGTTAAAGAACGTGTTGCTTTTTCACACCCTCAAAGTTCCACCAAACGCAGTTCAATAACCATATTGAACCCAGCTACCTCGAGCTCTTCGGCGTCATACCGCGATCCTGTAAGCACTCCACCTCGCCGGCATCAAAAGGCTAATTGTATTGAAGGGGATCGCTGGGCAATTGGTTCCTCGAAATGCAAGCGTTCCATCTATCACTCGTGGTTCGTGCAGCCATCCCGCGACTATGCACTCGCCCGCTTCTTAATTAATGAATCAATCAAGGATGGACCTCGAAGAACCCGAAAGCAAACATGCTTTCTTGCCCCTCACCGCTTCCGGGAGACGTACCGGGAGCTTTTACTCGTTGCTTGGTGCTTTATCCTGGAGTTCTGGAGGTGAGGTTAAAGCCGGCATCGAAGTCATGGGTCCAATCCTTGCATCTTGGGATACTCTTCGCGGGGATTCATGTGGGTTCCCGATGCGCAACGCAAGTAGGAAAGTCTGGGAAATGCATATTTCACCTATACTCGGGTTCTTCAATTCTTGTTCTATGGGCTTTTCACTTCCTGCTCGCCGACTTATAGCACCACACAAAACCTGCAACAAAAGCGTACACTTCACTTCAAATATTTCAAACTTTTAAAGAAACCAGAGTCGAGCTTTCTTTCCAAGTGGTACAATACCACTGTATAGCCAGACAGGTCTCCAAGTGGATATGGTGTGCCACACCTTCACCTAGGCCGCATTTCGCAGAGCCTCCTTCACAATACAACATCTCGGACTTAATGACCGCCTGTGGAAAGTTGCCGTGAATCGGATCAATCACATCACATCCCCGCCAAACATTGTCTTGGCTGTACAATACAAAGGTGACGAATGGATAATGCATTCACGGCTCATATCAAGTTTTGACCGCTCATTTGCAAAGCGGCTTTCACTGAAAGCCTTTCACTCTTGTATGTTAGACCGGCTTGATTGGACGAAGCCTCCAAGCCGGTCTCTCAGCTTATAAGGATACAACCTAACCTTCGGCTTTTGCCTGTAACTTGTCTTGTATACAAACACAGACACAGTCTTGAAACGCCGCCGGTACCATGCACCGGATGGCTAACCGCCCTCGTACCGTCTATCTGTCGTGCCATAAACAGCTTCAATCAGGCGCACAAAGCACTCGTATTTTCGCAACGACGTTTCTCAAATACCCTCTCTCACCATTTTCATCTCCCGCCTTCACGATGCCCGGAAACGTGACACAGCGCAATTCTCTGTCACTCAGCGTATCCTCGTCCTCCCCTCCAATATCCTCCATACTCTCCTTATCAAACATAGTCCTCTGATGCCCCTCGAGCGATGGCATTGTGATAGTGAATACAGCTTTTTGCACCCTTAGAAGGCGCGATAGTTCAATAGAACTATTTATCAAAGCCCGCAGTGCTTGGTCTCGCGTCTCGGACGCTTGCACGTCGCTGATAGACGTCATGATGCTGTTTATTTGATGCACAATGGATTCTACTATAGCGGTTGTTTCTGTCTGCAGTTTCTGGCATGCGTCTTTTCGAAGGATTGCGAGGGTGGTGGAGCGCCATGTATTTATGCTTTCTACTGGACCTAGAACGAATCAATCAGCTATGTAGTAAAACCAAAAAAAATTACTGAAATCTAGCTAGCTTACCAAAATCACTCAGATACTTTTCTACCTTATGTAGCTCCTCTGCTTGTTCTTTCGATACCCCCACAAAATAAGCTCTGAATATCGACTCGACGAGAAGTCGTGACACTAGTGATTGGATGAAGTGGATCTTGGATGTTGCGGCTAGAGATTCGTACGTGGGTATTAGACGCAGTAGCAGCTCTCTCGTCTCATCATTCGCTTTCTCTGCATCTATATGCGCCAATTGTCAGCCAGCCTTCTTTCTTTCTTTCTTTACTTCCTTCCCCTTCCTTTCGCCAAATCAAATGGAACCAAAAATGCACGAAGAAAAGAGGGCAAAAGACCACTTCACATACCAACCCTAACCCTCCTAAAATGCACAATAACCCAATTCTGCAACCCATTCCCCAACCTCCCCATCCCCTCCCCAAAAACCTCATCACTAACCTGCTCATCGCCGCCCCTCCCCCCACGGGACACCCAACTCTTCAGTCCCCTAACATGCTCTCTCAATTCACTCACCTCCCTCTCCCTCTCCCCTAAGCACCTCCTCTTTCTCCCTCTTCTCCCTCAACAACCCATCTCTCTCCCCCAAAACGCCCTCACAAGCCGCCCTCCACCTCTCCCTGTCCGCAACCAACCCCTCCACCTTACCATTCGACACTTCTATATCCCCCCTCAACACCCGCACCTCAGTATCGCTCTTCAAGAAGTTCTGATTCAGCAGCGAGTGCTTGGACGCCCAGAACTGCGTGCTCTCGTGCGCGTTGGTGAGTTTTTGACTCAGCGTACCCAATTCGTGCGAGAATTCCGATTCCATGATCGAGAGTTCGTTTTGGAGAGCTGTTATCTGGGCTTTCGCATCTTTCGCATCTTCAGCCTCATCTTGAGCTTCCTTGGCCTTGGCTGCTGGATCGTCTTCTCCGTCTTCCGGATCACGGGTTCCGGAAATCGCTGTATTTGTATTTGATTTCGTTGGTTTCGATTTTGATTGGCTTGGTTTCGTTGATGCGGCCTCGTTCGATGTAGAAGTTTCATGTTTGGCCCTCAGCGCAACGCGGGGTGGAGTTGCGATGATGGGGTGTTTGCTTGCACTGCTTGTCGTGCTTCCTGTGCCGCGGTGCGGTTGCGGTTTCTTGGGATCAGGAGGAATCATCATTTCGAAGAAAACGGGGACGAGTTCCCTCTGGTTGTTGGGAGTATCATGTTTTTAGATATGTAGTGAGGTGAGGGTGAGGTGAAGTGAGGGAGTCTTTAGATGCAAGGGAAGTTCAATATCGGTGCCTAGTTAGTGGGGCATGCACGAGGCTGAGGACGGAAGGCTGGGCTGGCTGTAACTGGACAAACAGACAGCTTTCCCGGGATGTGGATTAAGTTGTGAGTCAGGTTGGATTTTGAAGACGAGGGAGAGGCGGAGGAGGATGAATAAGAGTTCGGTGTCTAACGCCTACTGTAGGTACCCATAGAATCATAATTTAAGACAACTGAACTGCACGAGGCTGAGGATGGAAGGAAGGCTGGCTGGCTGGAACTGGAAATATTTCCCGGCTGATGATCGAATTAAGGATTAGGGTGGATTTTAGAGAATCATGGAAAGGCCGTAGGATGTTCTACACGACAGTCTTCGGGGTTTTTGCTTGATCCATTTTAATATAGTCGAATCAAGCGCCAAAGCCAGTGACCGACCATTCCTCCGTCCGGTCTTCAAATATACCTAGGTATGAATCCGATATCTTTCGCTTACTGTGCCCGGTACATATCAAAAAACCCCGCGCTTCCATCCCACCAACTCCATCCTCAAACATGCCTATCCTTCCACTTCCCAACGAAATCAACAAGAGCCTGATCCACCTCCTTCGGATGCGACGCGCTGAGAAAATGCGCCCCACCAGTACCGTAACAAGCTCAGCAGATACAGCATTAGTAAACATCTTGATCTACTGCTATGCATTGCTAAAACTATAAACAACATCCGCCGTGCCATGTAGCCACAAAACCGGACATTTCACATCGAAAAGCCTACCGTGCAGCCCATCTCGCTCTCGCAAGTTGATAGCAGCCATGCACGCCCGGCGCCGTCCCTCATCCCCTGTGTAATTCCCCTGAATCGTCTCAATCCAGAAGTCTCACAGTGCTTGCTCGCAATCTTTGCCGAAACCGATGTCGATAAGGAAGTTGCAAAAGTCTTCCTCCGGTTGGAAATCCGGCGTTGCGCGGGTGGTGATCCATCAGTCGATCGGGCCTGTACAAGCGGCTGCACCGTCCCAGCAGCCGAGATTTTGGGTACGCTCGGATTCGTTGTCCATGGATGTACCGAGGGGAATTCCACCCTCGATCTTGTTGGGTGCGAGAAGGGCCATGCGGACTGTGATCCATCCTCCTTGAGAAGTGCCTAACACGAATGCCTTCTTGATACCGAGAGCCTCCATCACGTGATGGTTCATGTGTGCAGTATCCTAGTATGTAAAGTTCTCTGATTTCGTCCTTGTTTTTCCATGTCCAAGAAGTTCGATAGCGAGGAGGTTCATCTTGTCGGTAAGTGCTTTGTTGGCATATTGACCTTTATAGAGCTCAGAACTTGCAGTGAAAGAGTTTACGAGCACCAATGTAGGTTTTGAGGAGTCATACCTGTATGGCATCTGATACCTGGATAGTACTGTTAGCATACGTAGGTTGACGAAGGATAAGGAGTTAGAACCCAGCATCAATGTCTCCTAAATGAGGGACGTGTACTGTTTTAGTATTTGCCACGATGAATAAAATGGTCTTCTGAGCCTCGACTTGTATATTGAAAGGTCAGGTAGAGAGAATGTTTCAACAGAATGAAAGGTTCATTCGACAGCATTGGCTGTCATATATCGTCTAGTTAACCTCTACCCCTCTCTTTTGCGGAGTTACCCCTCGGATTTCAAACCATTCCCCGAGAAACGATGTGACGCGAGTAGTCTAGTCAAGCCACTATGCTGTAGCCAGCGAACTACCCCACATTGTATTGCCCAACACATGGCAAAGAGAGCATCATTGTAAACCCTTTAGCCCACCTTTAAAGATTGTCAAATAAAAGTAATAAATTATCAAAAGAATATATACCAGTAAGTAGTAGACAAGTAGTGAACAGCGATATTCCATCCACTTGCTTGGAGAGCTCTTTAAAGCCGAAATGACTTGACATAGTATCTCGAAGCCCTAAAGTTTTAGGACTTGAGAAAATTTTCGGAGGAGTGGAAGGCATAGTTGATTAGACTTATGAAACGGTAAAGCCTCCAAACTTTAGGACTTATAGGAACATTCTCCAAGCAGTGGGAGGGTTGGAACGATACCTCGTCAAACTTACGAAACGTGCTTGTCTCCATTGTAAGATAGCCCTTTAATATAGCCAGAAGGCTATCGATAAAGACCATTAGTCCTTATTCAATGAGAAATGAAAAAAACCCCGGGATATACATGGTTTCAAGACATCCAGGTGGCTTGTCTGTTTTTGAGAGGCACCTCAATTGAGCACATGTTTGATTCCACATATCTCCATCAACCCCAGATCAAGCACCAGACGAGAAAGATTTGAACGCAGAAGCAAGAGGGCTACGAACTCTCATTAGAAGACCCGGACTGAAAACTCGAACTCAACTGTCTTCCTTATTAGAACCGGACATCTCGTCCCAACCGCCTTTGAAGCCTGGGCGGAAGGGCCACTTGGCCATTTGCCGCAACCACGCCAGCATATGAAAGAAAATGAAGTCCTGAGCAGGCTTTCGTGGTCGCGCGATAGTTCCGATCCAAGCTACTCCAAATCTTTCATCTGAGAAAGGACTTTCTTCATGGGGGTATCAAGTCTCTTTCCTGATCTCCCCAGCTCTTGCCAAAGAATCCATCCATCAAGGGCAAAGCGAGCTCGACTTCGATGTTCAAAGTGCCGCCATAACAGCAAAACTTGATGTCAAGATATTGGAAATCTGAGCAAGAATCTTCCGAATTCCATGATAAATCCGAGGGGTCGTACAAAAACGAATAGCCGGGTAGAACAGCACCCTGGTCCATGCGGGGGGTCCGTGTGAAATCGGCTGCATAAATACTGGACGGCTCCCATGACTTGTCTTTGACGCGTGCGACACTACTCTTCAACTCAAGCCTCAAAGATGCTTCAGTATTGCCGCCTTGGTTGATGTTTGAATGTACGAAGTATTCTAGGTTCGCATGTTCGTCAGTTTCCCACCACAAGGATTGGCGGTCTGTTCGAAAGGAAACAACGAGGAAAGAATGCCCCTCATCTCATGCCCTCAGCACCTACCTCTCAGCGATCCATCCAAACCTCTTGCATGCATGACCACCCCACCCACCACCATGACCAACGTCGGCGATCTGCATGCGGCGCGGGTTGTGGGTGGACATCGAGTACAGCTGGCTGAAAAAAAAGTGACACCAGATGGTGAAGCCTAGAATGTGAAAGACCGGAAATAACAGCACAATGATGTAAATCTTTCCCCATTTCGGCCATGACAATATTTGATGTATCGTGTGAAAGTTGGGGGACAATATGGCGGCTGAGGAGCCAAATCGAACGGGGATCGTCGCTACTTACAGTACGGAGGGATTTAGGATAGCTCCGTAGAAGGGATGGCTTTCTTTCTCCTCGTGTCTCTGAGCCGTGACCGCCGTGACGTGACTGTGACTGTGACTGTAACTGTAACTGTGACTGTGACTGTGACTGTGATTGTGACTGTGACGTGACATGACCATGATGACCGTGACCGTGACCCGACGGTGGTGCTCGGCTCGGCTCGGATTATTTGGCATCGGCAACGTACCAGGCTAGGCAACGGTACTGACTTATTGTACAGTACCCAGGCCAGGTGCCTTTGTACAATTTAAAGATGGTCTAGAATCTGGAGAGAATACTCCGTCACTCCGTCACTCCGTCACTCCGTATGGCATGGCAGGTACTTCGTATTCAAAACTGATGGGATGGATGGGATAGCTCGGTGGGCACACACGGGCGATGTTCTGAAGCTGTTCTGGACCGTCGAGAGTTTAAAAGTGATTTCGGAAAAGGATCATGTATTGTTCCCTGGACGCCACATCGTCACTGTTGTGGGTCCGGGTGCAGGAAAGTGCGTCATCGCGGTTTGTTAGGCCCGCACCGCTCCACCAAGACTGGGAGGTCGAGACAGCAGCGGAGCAAGACTCCTTGCGCTTCCATACGCTACGTTGAGTGGTTCGAGAGATGGGGGTCAAAGACTCTGAATGGTCGTCGTCGTCGTTCTCGGCGGCGTGGGATGTGGATCGCCAACGTGTACGGAGTAGATTTTCGGGATTCCCCACCCTTGATTTGACTGACGATGAAGCATTCCATTCGAGCCATTCCAACTCCAACAACAGAACTGAGTGTCAAGGCCAAGTAAATTGAAATTAGCCTGTACTCCGCAGTAGCACACGGATAAGAATCTTACTCGAGCTCGAGTACTGTACAGTAGAGTAGGTAAGTCCCCTGTCCTATCCTGTCCTGTCCTGTCCCGAGTCTACCCAGTCCTCTACCCAGTCCAGTGTACATTGGCAGCCATCCCATCCTTCTTGCTTGGTTTGGTGTTGTAAGAGTCTGTCTGTCTGTCTGTATGTCTGTTTGTCTGTCGTCCCGTACTTGCTGGAGTATCTGATTCTGTTCCTCATACAGTGTACACCTACCTAGAGAAGCATCGAGAAGGATTACTCTACTTGTTCCCTTTCTTCCGTCTTCCATCCTCCATCCTCCATCCTCCATCCTCCATCTTCCACCCACAGCCCACCCACCAATGATTAGTTTAAGAACAGTGAATGAAGTAGTTGCGAACTCGGCTACCTCTGTTAGCGTCAAGAACCTTCCCGTCCCGACTAAACACCACGACAAAGACATCTTCAACTTCCCCGTCTCTTGCAGCACCACCTAGAATTTGCTCGACACCTAGTTTTACCCCTAAAGACTGTTGCTATGCCCAGCCGTCACGAGGAAGAGCGGGTAAGCATACCACGACATTTACCAACAGCTCCTTCCAACCCTTCATGTAAGATGCCGCTGACACATGCGCAATAGAGTGAGGAGGGGTCTGTAGGTGACGGGCTGCCCGATCTGGGAGACTCCATCGACGCCTTGACTTTCGAACAAATCCTGGAGATGGATGACGACGAAGATGAGAGGGAGTTTAGGTGCCTCGGCCCACCCCCACCACAAGAGAATTAAAATCGCATACTAACTGGTGGGGGATAGCAAAAGCATTGTTTTTGGATTCTTCGAACAAGCCGAGGAGACTTTTGTCAAGATGGACAAGGCACTGTAAGTGGGCGGGTAAGATTATCAGCAACGAGAGACTGACTATCCTGTTGCGCAGAGAAGACCGCGACCTTGCCGAATTATCGAGTCTTGGCCATTTCCTCAAGGGCTCTTCCGCAACCCTAGGTCTCACAAAGGTGAAGGAGAGTTGTGAAAAAATCCAGCATTATGGACAGCAGAAGGACGAAGCCGGAACGACGGATGAGCCAGACGAGGACTTGTGCCTTTCGAGAATCAAGGCAATACTGGTTGTTGTCAAGGAGGAATATGCAGAAGTGGAGAAAGTCCTCAAGAAGTTCTATGCGACACCAGCCGCAAGCTGAGCTGGCCTAGATACGTAGGGGCGTTATCGAATTGGATTACTGATGGCACAAGCAACGTACGCCTTCGGTCTCCACTTGCGACATTGAAGCTCACGCATGAGCAGTGGGCTTCTCTTACAACACAATGCTCCTCATGGCTCTGGCGTCTGGGTTGGATCTTCGTTTCCCGGTCTAGGGTGGCATGGGATTGGGTGTTTCATTTTTCCTCACGCTTGAGAATGTTACTCATGGTTCCACGGGACATGAGAGATAGTATGATTTCACGACTTTGGAATGGCAAGAGATGAGCTCGACTTGGACATTGCCGTGATGCGACTTTTGCTTCTGGGACTCCCTCCCCCTACTGATCCCCGTGCTTTAGTAAAGACTTATCATCATAACGAGGACATACAGCTATGATATGCGGAGGCATCGTCAAGCATCATCCTACTATTGAATCCCACCTCTCAACATACCGCCAGCACTCTGCATCTGTTTCCCTGTGCCATCTCGTACTTTACAGATCCAAATCGAATAGGCATACTCATCTAGATCCCAATATCGGAAACCGAGAGAACGCTTTCCAGCCTGCTAAACGTGTTATACTTGAATCGACTCCAACAAGTGAGGACCATCAAGTGAGTGATCAGCCTTGCATAAGTACATCACCCCCAAGCCAGAATTCTCCACAAAAGCACCTTAAACATGTAACTCCCTCGCTACTTAATCAAACCTCCACATCAATTCAAACTCCCGCAAGCTTTCTCACAACCTCACGGCATATCCACACTCCCCTCCACCACATAAGCCTCCGCCCCATCCGCCCCCTTCTTGCCCCCCATCCTACAAACCGCAACCCTCTCAACCTTCACCCCCTCCATCCAAGTAAACTCCGCCCAATCCTCTAGCATCTCCTGTGCATCTATCGTAATCCGACCTTTCCTCCTTTGCCCTGCTCCTCCACTTCCTCCTCCATCTCTAACTCCTCCTCCCTGACTCTGACCGTGGCCCTGCCCCTGACCACGCGGCACATACACCGTATTAACCACCGTAACATGCAACAACAACCCCCTGTCATCCGGCACCAGTAAACCGGCATCTGTGAATACCTTTTTTAGAGCTAGGCAGAATGAGGATAGAGCGGAGGAGTGCAGAGGCGGCGCGTAGAGAACTGAAGTGCTAGCAGGAGCTTGCATTGACTTCAATCCCCTGAGCGTGATCCTCAGATCTTTTGTTCCATTGCTTTCTTTTCCCTTTTCCCTTTCCTCTATCCCTGTACCTATCTTCTCCGCTGAAAAAGCCTCTGATTTCGGTGACAAAGCCTCCAAAACCATCCCCCCCAAATCCAACCCCCTCAGCACCCCCAACGCCTCCTCCACCCGCTCCTCCGTCCCCAAACTCATAACGCCCAGCGTCAAATGCAGCGTTCCGAGTGGGCGGACCGCAGAAGCTGGGATGGAAGGGACGTGTGAGGGCGCGCTTACGGTGCGGTGGAAGTGTGAGAGGGAGGTGGATAGAGAGGGAAGGGAGGAGGGGGTTATCAGGGGGATACTATGGGGGGCGGGTTGTTTTTTAGTTTTGGGATTGGGATATAGATATGGGGATGGGGATATGGCGGGGTACTGGGAGAGGGAGGGGTTACCAACTTACCAGAGGAAGTGCGTGAGTTTTTGAGAGGGAGGTTTAGGTGGCATTATGCGATGGTGGATTTATCTTGGGGGTGGTGGAGAAGTAGATACGAAATTGAAATGCTACTTCGGATGAGTGATTAATCCGAATGTTTAGATATTTGCTTGTCTTGTCTGGTTTTGTATCGAGTTGAAGAAGTGGTGGTTGTCTAGACTAGAACATACGAAGTAGGTAGATCAGGTATGGGTACATGTATGGTATATCCTTGCACATGCGGCCCGGGCCATAAACAAGCAAGCTTTAATCTGAAACCTTGCCTCGGGAGCGCACCTAAAGGAACAAACAAACATTTGAATTTCTTGGTCGATGTAGTTGTGATAGAGGGTTGATCGGGTAAGGGATTCGTTTATGTGGGTGACTGCAGCAAGCGGCAGGAATGTACTGTATGGATGAGCCAACTTGATTGATTTGTTTCGCTTGTTTTATCTTGTGTTGCCCAACTCCAGCCTCGAGCTCGAGGTACTGTAGAAGGACGTTCCTTCACTACCTACTCAACCACAGCCTTTCCTTCCTCAACTCCCGCTCTTCATCACAATAGACCTCTACCTACCTCACCATGGATCTAGACGATTCCGATTCCTCCTCCGAGCCCTCAGAAGCCAGCTCCCCACCCGAGGACGAACTTGAACATCCCGTCAAAGCAACCGAAATCGTGGAAGATTTGACAGGCGAAGCAGACGATGAGGAGGGCTTGTTTGATGTTGATAGGCCTCCGGTCCTAAAACCATGGTCTTATCAGACGGAGATGTTGCAGGAGAGCTTGAGGAGGAATGTTATTGTCGCTGTGAGTTTCTTGTCACGTGTGTGGGTTTTATGGGAGCTGATTGAGGTGGATGGAAGATGGATACTGGGTCGGGGAAAACACATGTGTGAGTAATTGATCAGAGATAATATTAGAGTCTCCGATTGTCTAACTGTGATACTCTGTAGGGCTGTGATGAGGATGTTACATGAGCTCGACCATCTCCCTTCACATCAGGTACAGAATCCATTCTATATACATGTTCCAACACTAAACATACCAGATGATCTGGTTTCTCGCTCCAACAGTCTCTCTCTGCTTCCAGCAATACGATTACATCAAAAAACACATACCTTCCGCTCAAGTCAAGTTCCTCAGTGGTGCCGACAACGTGGATCGATGGACAGATCCTCAACACTGGGCCATCGTTCTCAAAAATGTTAAGATTCTAGTTTGTACTTACCAAATACTCCTGGATGCTCTAACCCATGGATTCATTAAAATGGATTCATTAGGCTTGATTGTATTTGACGAAATATGTATCTCATATTCCCAAGCCTGACTTTTGCTAACCTTTTCGCAAGCACACAACTGCGTCGGAAACCACGCGGGATCAAAAATAATGAAATCTTTCTATCACCCGCAAAAGGCCCAAGGCCACAGTATTCCACGCATACTTGGATTAACTGCTAGTCCGGTTATGCGATCAGATCCTAAATCCGTTACCCAGATTGAAGAGACGCTGGATGCGATATGCCGCACGCCGAAATACCATCGTGTAGAGCTACTCCAAAATAACAAGCGTCCAGTCTTGTCAGAAGTGTTTTTTGACAATATGGAAGTAGGGGACTTATCTGAGTATACTAAAACTATCGCAAGCCTTTGTCAAGCATACGACCGTCTCAACATTACAGAGGATCCTTACGTTCTCGCCTTGGTAAAAGAAAATACTGACAAGAGCTGGAGAAAGTTGGAGAAAGTACGTCTCAGTAGAAAGACGTGGTGCACTTCTGAAATGAAACGATTTTACACCACGGCGTTGAAAGTATGCACAGAATTGGGCGCCTGGGCCGTCGACAAATATGTCTCGGAAGTTGTGACGAATTTTACGAAGGACGTTGAGAACTCGCTGGCTGGCATATGGGATGTGTCAAGCGCAGAGAAAACCTACCTGGCTAAAGCCCTGAGCCATGTCCATATCACACGAACCTCTGAATACCCAGAAACAATGCCTCTAATCTCCAACAAGGTCCGAAAACTACTCAACATCCTCCTTGAAGAGCCGACTACTTTCAGCGGAATAGTATTTGTACAAGAACGAGCAGTGGTTTTTGTGCTTGCTCATCTTCTTTCTGTGCATCCTGAAACGAGGGGATGCTTTAGAGTCGGGACCATGGTTGGGAATTCTTCGCATAGTGCTCGTCCCCAGAGTGTTGCTGAGTTCTTGAACGCAGACTCACAAACAGACACGCTATCTGACTTCAGATCGGGGAAGCTTAACCTGGTTATTGCAACGAGCGTCCTCGAGGAAGGGATAGATGGTAAGTTCGACTTTCTCCAGACATCGACTCTCTATTGTACTAACTCGCTGCGCAGTTCCCGCTTGCAACGTCGTTATTTGTTTCCAGAAACCTGGTAGGCTTAACCCAAACAGTTTGCTAAAATCCTTGGGAGGACTAGGAGTCTGTAATCTGTCAGGAGTTTCGGCTCCTGAGATAGCTTCCAGACTCCTTTACTTTCCCAACAGTTGATTTCATAAATACTGATTCGTTGGACAGCCAATCTGAAGAGTTTTGTACAGAGACGCGGGAGGGCCAGAAGCAGAGATTCCAAACTTATTCTTCTTCTGGAGGCAGCTGACACCAATTCGACGCCCTGGGAACAAATCGAGATGGATATGAAAACTATCTACGAAGATGATATGCGTCAGCTGCGCCAATATGAAGTCCTCGAGGGCAGTGAGGAAGACGATGGTCGTTACTTTCGCGTTGAGAAAACTGGGGCGTTGTTGGACCTAGATAATGCTCTGCCAGTAAGTAGCTTTGGTTCTATCGAAACCCGATTTTGCGGTTTTAACCCACGAAGATCTCTTCCCCCCATCCTAGCATTCTATCAAATTTCCAATGCTGATGCATTAGACTAGCACTTGTATCACTTCTGCGCAAAACTGCCAGCGACGGAGTATGTGGATCTCAGGCCGGAGTTCATATGCACAGAAGTAGGAGGCCTTGTCCAAGCTACTGTTATCCTGCCACTCTCTGTCGATAAGATGGTTCGAGTTGCTTCAAGCCAGACATCATGGAGGAGCGAGAAAAATGCCATCAAAGATGCCGCTTTCGAAGCGTATAGTAACGAACCCTTTTCTTTGTTCTTCTTGGTTTTGCAGTGCCGGAATTCCCAAATAGTGATTCATCTTTTCCGCTCTTACTCTTTATGGGAAACGAATACTAATATTATTGTAGTGGCATTGTACAAGGCAGGGCTAGTTAACGATCACATGCTACCACTTTTGCGGCACGGAGTTGATGTAGATGATTTGTTGTCGAGTAAAGTCGAAACTAGAGCTTCGTTGATGACGGTTCAAGACCAAGTGAACCCGTGGATTGGAGTTGCTCAAATTCGAAAAGCGAAAGGTCATTTGATTCCCTATGAAATGACCATAGGCGAACTGACGGTCAACATGTATCTTCCGCTCGAGCTACCTACAATACCTCCATTCCAGCTCTTTTGGGACAGTCAGACCGAGGTGACGGTAAAGACTGTTCTCAGGATCAGCGTATTGGTAGGAAGTTACCAGAAAGCACAGGATGAGACTCTGCTGTTACTGGCAGCTGGCTTTGGATCTAGGTTTCCAATTGAACAGAAGCGCCATGTCATCCTCTTTTCGACTCCTGGCATCACTCCGCTTGAGACGCCAACTGGTTGGCACAAAGCTGACGGCTACAACTTTGATATACAAGTCTCGTCAATCGGCTTGATTCGGGATGTTGTGTACAATAAGCGGAGATACATTTACCAGTCGTTTCTGCCGAGCAAGCCACCGATCGAAACCGTTAAATCCCCTTATGATGGCTATGAAAACGCACTGTCTTCCGCACACCTCCATCTGAAACCCCTTACCAAAAAGGCGAATTTCCTCCACAAAATCCCGTCAGATCATGACAAGCCATCGAGCAAGCCGTTCTCTGTGGTACTACCCATATCGAGGTGAGTGACTTTTCCAATGAACTCTTTCTAGACATCGCTCTTGATAATTTCATGAGTCGACCCGAGTATAAATGCCTCATCTCCCATGGAGCATTATCGAATTCCCGAAAACTATCATATCAAACAGTACTGACCTTCATATCTTAACGCAGGTGTGCTGTTGATAATACACCTTTTGCGTTCGTCCAGCTCGCATTGCTCATCCCATCGATAATGCATCGCTTCGAATCGTACCTCATTGCCGAGAAGCTTTCCAAGTCTATCTTGAAGAAAGTCGATATCTCGGATTTGAAACTCGTCCGGACAGCTATCATTGCTTCGAGTGCCAATGAGGGAATCAACTATCAGCGACTTGAATTCTTGGGCGATTCGATACTCAAGTTGTGTACTTCTATTCAGCTGATTGCAGAATATCCTGTAACTAGCCCCTTCCTCTGTCCCTCCTTGGATCTGTTGTATTGGAGCTGTCGAAGATCCTTTTAGTTTTTTCTTGCTTTTTACAGGAGATTCAGTGCTAACTGTTGTAGCTTTTTCATGAAGGCTATTTATCTGCTAAGAAAGGTAGAATAACCATCTTTCTTTGTTTCCTATCCCTAGACTTGCTGTTTTACGACTCCCGAAGAATTTTCGTCCTCTCGAGTCTTCCTATACAGTCAAAATTGGATGTCGTACTGATGTGTTAAAGATCGTCTCGTTGCAAACTCTAGGCTTTCCAGAGGCTGTCTAGAGGTCGGCTTAGACCGGTTCATCATCACACAACCATTCAAAGGCCTGAAATGGAGACCTCTCTATGACGAAGACCTACTTGCAATGGCAAATCAGAATGGGGAAAGGGAGGTGTCATCAAAAGTGCTAGCTGATGTTGTGGAGGCTCTCGTGGGAGCAGCAATGGTCAATGGAGGATTTCCAAAAGCCCTCGCATGCCTCCAGGTCTTCCTTCCAGAAATACAATGGAAGCCTCTTAATACAAGAAGAGGGGAATTGTTCGAACGAGCTGCCGACACCGACCTCCCCGAAGGTTTGAAGCCGCTTGAGACACTGATTGGATACCAATTCAACAGAAAGGCACTCCTTTTAGAAGGAATCACCCACGCTTCGTACAACGCGGGCTTGCAGTCTTACGAGAGGTTGGAGTTCTTGGGAGATTCAATCCTCGACAACATTGTGGTATTAGCCATGTACGCCCAAAACCCAGAGCTTTCCCATTTCCAAATGCATCTCCTTCGCACCGCATTGGTAAACGCAGACTTTTTGGCCTTCCTCTGCATGAGCTGGGGTATCGAGCAAGAAGAATCCAGCCTCCAACAAACGGGCGGCAAGGGTAGTGGCAGCGATCCTGCTACTTTTGAAGAAATTTCGACGACAGTCAAGTTCCCCCTCTGGCGCTTTTTGCGGCACATGTCACCCACTCTAAGTTCCGTACAACTCGCTACGTCGAAACACTTCGCCGAGCTACAGCCCGAGATCGAAAAGGTAATCGAGAACGGCTCTCACTACCCCTGGGCCCTCCTCGCCAAGCTCCAAGCGCAGAAGTTCTACTCGGATATCGTCGAGAGTCTCTTAGGAGCAGTGTGGATCGATTCTGGCTCGCTAGACGAATGCACGGCAATGGTCGAGAGGATGGGTATTCTCAAATACCTCCGGCGCATAGTGCAGGATGGCGTTCATGTGATGCACCCGAAGGAAGAACTGGGTATCCTAGCCGACGACCTCAAAGTCAAGTATTCGATAAGGATCGATAGTGTGAAACAGTATGTGTGCGAGGTGTTTGTGGGCGCGGAGAGGATTGTTCAGTATGAAGGAGGTGTGAGTAAAATGGAGGCGCAGACAAAGGCCGCGGAACTAGCTGTCGCTATTCTGGGGACGCGAAAGGATGGTGTTGGTGGCGGGGAGGTGGATGTTGTAGGCGATGCAATGGTTGAATAGCGGCGAGGGGGGGAGCGGGTGTGGCGTTACGTGATATCGGGCTCTCTCTCGGAGGGAATTGCCGGCGGAGGGAACCGCAGTTTGATTGCAACATTGCACAAAAGATTGTGGAGTAGAATCAAGCCAGATATATACCCTTGTATTAAAAAAATGATTAGATAGTTGTGAAGCTAGCTAAGAGGTGAAAGGAGGATATACTCCGGAGTACCCAGAACGCGAAAAGGTCACATGAATTATACTATCACGTGGGGCAGCATACACTTCTATAACAAAGTCAAAAAGAAAAACTGACATAATCCATTAACTATCCAACCATCAGAGCTTCATGGCCGGTTATATAAACTCATATAGTAATTCGGTATATCTCTTAACTACTTGAACAGTAAGGCCGTACAATATCCACGTATCATGAAGACTTTTGGATTGGATAAACTAACTCGTCAGGGGAAAAAACTTAACGCACCACCTGTTGGGTTTTCTTTGTTGGGGGAACGTTCTTAATTTGATATATGTATGGCTGGTGTACTGGACTGGATTGAATTGAATTTCGAGGCTGTGGTTTTGCTAATGAAGCGCAGCGGAGCGGTAATACATACATATAGTATGGAATGATGATGATGATGAAATGCGCTTTAGGTATTGCATTGTATTGTCAGCGAAAGAATATATTGCAGTGTCAATTCTGCCTCCAGCCCAGCTGCCAAAGAACGACAAGTCTCTCTCTATCGACCATTTATCCAGAACGAAAGTAATCTATCTTGAAGAACTAAGCTACACAGGAGAAATCTCCCAACCTGAATGAACCTATGCACAATACAGTAGATATAACAAGAACAAAAAGAAACACCCGGGCACCGTTACAACTCCACTCCTATCTCCGAATCCTTTCCCAAAACGTACAGCATAGACAGACATCCATAAAAACCACCCAAAAATAGACAAATGAATCGAAGACATTGGTATCCTATACTTTAACGTGTACTCAAACACTCAAGACCGTTTCGTTCCTTATTCGTCTCGTCATTAATCAATATCCGCCCCGCGTGCCATAATATCCACTTGTCCGCTTCTTGTCCCTCGAATCGCGATACCAGTCTTCGCTCGGCACTCTGTTCGAAGAAGATGCTGGGTCTGTTGATTCAACGGGAGCAGAGCCCCGACTGCCGTATTCAACGTCCCGCCCTGTGCTTTCTTGATAGCGATCCCAACGCTCTGCGTCTCGTGGGCTATTGAATTCGCCAGTTGCGAGACGTCCTTCTTCATCAGTCAGTCTGCGGCTATACGGCCGTTCATCGCGAGATAAGCGCTTGGGGTTGTTTCTGATATCGATGGGAGGGGGAGGCGGAGGCAGGAAGGTGTTAGAGGCGCTAGATGCTGAACCATAGGAGCCGGGGTTGAAGCTCTGCTGACTCTGCTGGCTTTGGGGCTGATTTTGGGATGTGAAGCTCGATGAGGAAGAGGATAGAGGAGGGTATTTAGAGCTAGTGCCCATATCAATGTCGGCAGGTGTAGAGGTGCTGAACGATTTGATTGGCGGGCTGCTAGTTCTTCGGGACTTGTGGGTGCTGCCGCCAGCCCGAGGTGGAGGGACATAGGCACTTGTACTTGTGGACTGAGATCGATGGCGTCGTTCACGGCCCTCGGGCTGATCTCGTGTACGACTCGTTGAGGTTTTTCGGCTGGAAGAGGCTTTATGGTTCGACTTTTCAGTATATACTTTGCCATTTCCTGGTTGTGCAGAATAGGGCTGTCTTTCCCGTTCAATCTTGATGGTCTCTTCGATTGAAGAGTCCGAGGCGGTTCCGTAAGGCTTGCGCTCTCTCTCGATCGGTTGGACCTTGGAAGATTTGGGTACTGTTTTGGTTTGGTGGATCTCAACCGGGCGGGTTCGAGATTGAGATGTAGATGATCGTCGGCGGATAGGTGGGCTAACGGTAGCCCTGCGCCTATTTGCCGCTCCCAAGTCTTCGAGGAAATCAGAAATAGCATCCTTAAGAACTTCTTTGGACTCCCTCTCTGCTCTCTCAGGCAGTAAATGTCTAGAAACTATACGTTGAGATCTCAGTCAGCATTGCCTTATGTGCTCGTAGACCTGGAAGTTGGAATAATAGGAACAGTCGACTCCGCTCCTGAAATGTCCGAAATAGCGAATATTGGTGACTTACTTTGCTTGGGAAGCCTCTCGGGTTTTCCATCGATGTCCTCACCATCGGCATCTATTCTAAGTTGGACGTTAGCAGGCTGTGTGGAAAAGAGCGAACATTTTAACTAACGGTAAGTCCAACACAACTCTCTCAAGTCGACTGCTTTCTTCTTCGGGGTAGGATAAGATGTTTATCGTCATCCATTGTGCAAACCCCAAAGCTGTGAGAGCAGGGACCGCAGGCCTTGCTTTGGGGTCTTCTTGCACCAAGAAATGCTCGCAGCCTGCAATTTCAAGGAGTTAGCATTGCCTGATCATGATTGCGCTTGGAGAAGATTTATGTCTCAGGACTTCCGAGATATTTAGAACTCCTGTATGTGTTCGGATGAGGGAATAAAATATTGGAAAAGTTGCCTACCTAGATCTCTGTATAGATGTGATATAGTCTCATTCGACTGGGCTCGGAATACAGCTACTATAGTTAGTAAGGGACAATTTATCGTAACAGGGCGACTTACAAAGAAGTGGATGAGGTTCGTTCTCTAGAGCATAATCTGTATAATATTTGACCATCTTGGTGGGCGTCACTACGATGCTCTTCTTGGGATGGTACTCCGCAATCTAAATCATTGTTAGCAATATGTAACTAAGTATCGTATCGGAAAACAATACCATATGGTTCGCAAGACCTCTGAGAAACTCCCCCAGCCGCTTAGTTGGTACTCCTTCACTAGAGAAGAGTGTCCCCCATTTCAAGTCTATCGTACTTAATTCCAAGGTCTTTTTCTGCGGTTCTCTTTCGGAAAACCTTCCCGCCGGTCCAGGAGATACGGCCGGTCTTGTAGTAGATTGTGTAGGCGAAGGCGGGGTCATTCTTCCTGTATGATGTGATGAAGTCGAGCTAGGCGAGGAATCTCTTCGCATGGGCTGAGCTTTGGCTTGCTCCTCGACATTTCCTGTTTGTTTGAGGTGTTCAATAACTATGGCATATTATATTAGCAAAGGCAACATAAGGCTGAGAGTGTCTTGGTTCTGCGAATATCGTACTTTCTTTCCTCACTCTCTCGGTGATTTTTTCAATCAGGTCTGGGCTAACGCCATCATCGGCCGTAGAAGTAGTCATGTTGTCGGGTCTGGGGGTCTTGGTATGGACAGATTCGTCCCGGCGCGAAGAAGTATCTCGAAAGTCGGGGGAATGGCTGGTTGTGTAAATCGGAACGTTATCATGACCAGCCTCTGCACTACGATCGTAGGCATAAGCCATGGCGAGGCTGGGTGTTGTTGAAGCAAGTCATCTAAGTATGTCTGTCTTCCTTGTGCCGCAACGATAACGAGGATTGGGCTGGGCTGATTGCGATAACAAGTGGCGGAGGGTCGTTAATAGGATGAATGTTTGCTTAGGTTGCAGGATGGTTACAAGTATCGGAAGCTCGCGGAATTGGGTGCTGGTACGAGTATCGGCTGGTGCTGATGGAGAGTAGAGTAGAAGCAGTTCGCCGTGCAGGAGTGACTGAGGGTGTGTGAATTAAACTGGTGTGGTCAAGAAAAGCAAGGAAATCCCGTTACGAGTAAAAGCGCCACTATTCCAAAACTCCATTTATCCGTCGCAAACAGGTTTATTGTTCCTATATTGCGTATAAAAGCGAAGCAGGGAAGTAAGTTCACGGTAATACGTCGCCATAAGGTACATGTCGTTCATAATCTCTTAGCTAGTGTAATAAGATATCTGCATAAATTTATAGTACGTAAAGTACCAAGGTACCCAGGTACCTTACACTATGGATCGTCCAATGCCTCCTAATGGTCTAAATCGAGAACATATTAGGTACTGAGTACCTTTTGTACCCGCCGTCATGATTCGCAGTAACCGCATATGGCTATTTGGTACTGTAATGTATACTCGGTCTTGGTATCAAAGTCACCCCCCCTGCTCCAATCGACAGCATCTAGATTGCCGGCACCATGTTTCATCTTTCCAGCGCTGGTAACCAGCCACTTCCTTCGATGACAAGGAGCAGAAGTTCCACGTATAGCACACAGCTGTTGCTTCCAAAATGGGCATGGCTTGGGACAGCCTTGCACGCACCTACCTCGGCAAACCAGTTGTGCCCAACCCAGAAACCTCTCGTAGTAGCCTTGCATTGCATCTACATATTTTGGTCCTCTTATATGAGTAGATTTCTATTCAGAATTATAGTTAGAGTTGCCTTCATCCAATCTTCTAATCTCCTTGCAGTATCAGGCCTTGGCTCGAAGCCTAGAGGTCTCAGCCAGCGAACTATCGTTGTCATCTAGCATGGAAGAACTAGGACGTCTTTTGTGTTCAGCTCGACGGTATTCAAGCCATCTTTTCACCGGAAGTCAAGGCTGCTCTGCTGGTGGTGGCTTCGGGTACCAATTATTGATTGTCGGTGACTAGAAAGGTCTTGGTCATGAGTTCCTGTAGTGGTTGACGAACTCGGCATAGTCCTCCCAAATAGTTCGACAGCGACCAGCGCTGTCAGCTTGTCGACATGATTTGTCCGGAGCCTGGAAACCAGCTGACACATTGTCTTACCTGGAGTGGGTGAGAGGAACTCTCCAGAGGCTATCCTACGACTATCAACTTACTGTGAGGTTTGATGGGAGCCTATCCTGTAAATGGTTGGGCCGACTTTTGAATCATTTCCAATGACTTGATTTGAAATGTGAAGTCAGAATGAACCCTCCGCGAATTTAACATATGCTTATCTTTATACCTGATAATATACAGCCTGGTGCAGCCGATACAAATCTTGGTGCTACTGATTACCGTACCAGGGAGCTGATGAACCGTAAACATCGTCTGCAAACTTCAGAGCTTGTGTCTTGATTTCCCAAAGCTTTTGAGAAATCCAGGAAAGTACGTGTGATACTTCTACTACCAACCTCGCGTGCAGTGAAGGGAAATGGAGTGCTCCGAGGTACATATTTGGGTGCTTGAATTGAAGCTTTCATGGATTCTAAAAAAATCCCCGAACAGAAGCAGAAGACCTAGCCGTTAAGCCTTGCCATATTTCCAATTTTCTAGACTCATTTGGAGAATGACCCTATTTCAAACAGAACTTCTCAAGAACCCCAAGATCAATCTCGCGAGTGCAGACACTGAATACGAACTAGCATTTTGAACATTCTGCCAACACATTCTGATTCCTCACTTGAGGTGGAACATCGGTCTAGTTGATTTTCGTGACGTCTTTCTCCATTCTTTGTACACTGCATCACCTCCGAGCCGTTCGGCATATGAGAACTCGCATCCATCAGCAGCTCTTTCAAAGGCGGAGGCATTGATATTTCCCCTTGCCTTTGCATTCCTAAATTTTTTTCTTGAGAAGTCTTTTCAAGAGACTAAGTACTGCTCTTGGACTGGCGGGGATTCCGATGATACGAGGAAACGATTGGCGTGAGTGCTCTTTTACGAAAATAGTGTATAGCATGATGACTGACCACATTGAATCAGCCGAATTCGTTTTACTCCATGGAACGACAGTCAACCACCGCAACCAACACCTAGGCCACCAACACTTACATCACCAGCACCAACACTAGCTCCGCCACTAGATCCGCCGCCTCCGCCAGCGGTCAGAGTGTTGTTCGGGACATGATGGGTACCCTTTCTGGTAGCAGCGGCAAGTCAAACCGTGTCCTTAGAATGAGAGTCCTTGGGGGGGCTCAACTGTTACTCCCAAGAGAAACGTAAGGAGAGCCTACGCTGATATATTTCGAACTGCTATAGCGTCTAGTGAGAGATCTTCTATACCCAGTCCCCAGGTTCAACCCACACAGCCTTCCAACCAGAGGAACAACCACTGGAACAGACTTAAGGCGCCTCCCCCAGCCAGAATCCATGGTATGCAACTCCTTCGAGCATTTCAATCATTCCCGTAACCGAAACCCCTTCTTGATCAAACGTTGCTAATTCCGGTCTTGTAGGTCTCTATAGTGCTGAAGATGAGGGCGACAGTGATGTTGAGTAAAGCTGTCCTTGAAGCGCATGATCATTACCGGTAGCGGAAGAAATCATGGGGTTTGGATTTCGTATGAAATCACAAGTTCCTATTAAAAGCAAGCAAGCTATTGGCATGTTTCCAGAGCTTGCCTTTTGCTACTTCCCGAAAAATAGCAAGGAGCACATGCTCAATCTTGGATACCTTTAGTACTCGGCGACGTTTCCAGCATAGAATAATCACTTCTTATGGCTGTTTTCTTTTGCATATTACGGATGAGGCCTATGCTTAACATTTGATACATTTCGGTTGGGGCGGGGTGGATTCTTTGCAATGTGTTTTCGGCATTTGGGAGGGAAAGAGATACCGTGAAGCTTTGCTCCCAAAGGTCCTTTTTGCATTTTGAGGGGCGTTGATTGAGCAAGCATAATGCATATATCTCCCTCTTCTCGGCGACTTATCTTGTGTAATTTCTCGATGCTGATTATGCTTGTCGGGATGCATCTGGCTTATGTAAGGGGTAACTCTTGATCGCCCCGCTTCCTCGTCGAATACAATATGCTTTACTCGTCACTCTTCTCGTCATAAGATGTCAGTCAAGTCATCTAGATATATGAGAGTCCTATATATCTTGAGCACCTACGAGTTAAGGCACAAAGTCCGGAGTAGCGTGCCGCGTGGTCGGGTCGGCCACGCTACTAACCCCGCATCGTACCTAAGTAACCCAATCAAATCAAATAATATCTGTCCCCCCATTCCAGTCTAAAAGATCTTAATTGATTAATTGCCACTCGCCCGGTGTGATTTGGTAAAAGAATTAAAGAAGGAATTGATGATTATGTTTGATTTTAATGTCAATGTGGAGGAGGAGTAGCAGTGTTAAGAGGTACGGTAGGTATTTAAGCTAAGGCAAGGTGCAGGATTAAGGTATAGTAAACTACTGTGCTTTAGCGTGGCATCTTATTATACTGTACCGGCTAGTATGAGCTATTGCGCAGGTGAGTTTGGTACAGTACTTATAGGTGCGGTACCTATAAGATATAGGGTAAGAGGCCATTCTAGGGAAAGTATATGAAATATATGAAATGCATATTTACTTAGATACCTAATTCTACGGATACGAAATAAATACCTACCCTACCACCTAAAGGTAGAGAGTAGCGGGATAAGGCGCACTTGCCTTTAGCAGGAAAAAGTGGCAGCCGCCACTTTCTCATACAGGTAGAGTTCACGGGTACCCGCGCTGTCTGATTTTTATTAGATTGCTAACGTGCTAGTGCGTTTTGTTGCTTTTGTTTCTTTTGTGTCTACAAATACAATATACAATTTGTTTTACATCAAGAAAGGGGACGATTCACGATGCAGTTGTTTGGCTAATGCGACTGATTAAATAGCCTGAACAGAGAGCATTCTAGGTGCATGTGGCTCCAACATGCACCCCACGCCTGGCTTCGGACGCCTGCTGACTGCTTTGGGAAGGCCCTGTAGATCCAAAGCGTCCATTATTAATCCTGCACTCAAGCCTTTCATACCACCCAATCCAAGGGGCTTCACATCGCCTCCAACATGGAGGCTGGCGAGGATACAAGCAGGGTCACGATATCTTCATCATGGGCAGGAGCGTCCGAAGATCTCCTCTACCAGTGTCGTCCTCGGCCGGCCGATCTGAGATACGTATACTCGGCCATAATCCTTCTCGGCCTGCCTCTTCTCTTCTGGTTTGGAACCCCGATCCAAACTCTTCAGGCTGAAGCGCCACCTGATCAGGGCTCCAAGGAAGATGACCAGCCTCAGAGGAGGATTAGACTAGACGAGGTGAAAGAGCATGGACCGGATTCAGAGAGCCCATGGGTTGTCAGAGGTCAATCCGTCTACGATATCACGGATTGGGTGGCCGGCCATCCAGGCGGAGAAGTCATATTGCGTGCAGCTGGGGGAAGCGTCGAGCCGTACTGGAAGATCTTCAGCATCCATCAGAAGCAGGAAGTGTACGATATTCTCGAACAGTACCGCATCGGATGCGTTGATGAGCGAGATCTGGTCGATGGGCAGGTGCCGGCGGATAGTATCATCGACCCTTTTATTGATGACCCCAGAAGAGATAAGAAATTGGTGGTGCTATCGGCCAGGCCGTGTAATGCGGAGACACCCGGAGACGAGTTGAGAGGCTTCATTACGCCGAATAGGCTTTTTTATGTGAGGAATCATATGTGGGTACCGACCATTGAAGAGGAGCAATATCGTTTGACGATAGAGTTGGACGATGGGGAGGAGAAGACGTATACTTTGATGGATCTGAGGGAGAAGTTTCCAAGTGTCACAATTACATCAACCATGCAATGCTCTGGGAATCGGAGAAAGCACATGACTGAGAAGTGTGGCTCTACAAACGGCCTCCAGTGGAGCGTTGGCGCCATAGGCAATGCGACTTGGACCGGCGTGAGGCTACGAGACGTCCTGGTCGATGCGGGCTTTCCCATCGACGCACCACCAGCGGATGCAAAACACGCTCAATTCACGGGATTAGAAGCATATGGAGCCTCGGTTCCTCTGTCAAAGGCAATCGATGCACATGGCGACGTTCTATTGGCCTACGAGATGAACGGCTTGGGTATCCCAAGAGATCATGGTTTTCCACTTCGAGTCATCGTGCCGGGCCACGTCGCAGCTCGCAGCGTCAAATGGCTACAGAAAATCACGATATCGGACGAAGAGTCTCTTTCTCAATGGCAACGAAGAGATTACAAATCCTTCGGGCCAAACGAGGGCTCGAAGCCAGATTGGAGCCAAGCAAGGTCAATCCAAGAGATGCCCGTCACGTCCGCCATCACGTCCATAACCACCGCTCCTTTAGCTCCGAAGCCAAAACCCCAGGCCTCGTCGGAGGAAAAGAAAGATTCGGACTTCGTCGTCGTCGAAGGTTATGCATATTCGGGCGGCGGACGAGAAATTATCCGCGTGGACATAAGCAAAGACGACGGCAAGACTTGGGACCAGGCTGAACTCGTGCAAGCTGAGAATAGGGGCAGCAAGGTGTGGTGCTGGAAGCAATGGCGATACCAGATCCCCGCTGCTGAGTTTCGCGGTTGCGTTTTGGCGGTCAAAGCTACGGACGAAGCTTACAATACTCAGCCGGAAACACATGACTCGACCTACAATGTACGAGGCAACCTGGCTACTGCTTGGCATCGGGTTAAGGTCTGAGGTGGGGAGAAGAGATGTTTGTGTGCGTTGAGGTACTGTAGGGTTGGCAATCAGGGATTTATTGCGTATGGTGGAGGCGAAAGTGGAGTGCTCACTGATGCTCGCTTTTGAAGTAATTGAGGAAGTGAGTTTCTCGTGTGACAGTCTGCTTGGTTTGTATAAATAGATGCTCTTTGCTCGATCTCGAGTCTTTAATGCTAATAATAATAATAACAACAATGCGAAGATCGGATTTGCTAAAGAAGTTTCTTGATTTGAAGGTTGGATCACACTATTGTGTCAAAACAGCTTCATCGTACTTTCTCATCATCACCCGGAAAGGAATCTACGCCTTCTCCTTAGCAAGAGCATCCCTCCTCCCCGTACTCTGAGGATCAAAATACGGCCTCCCCCCCAGACTAACAGCCCTCTGCCTGGAGTAGCAGAGACATGTGTAGACGTCTCTGCGATTATTATTGGCCACCGATACTAGAAGGCTAGCGATCTATATACTTAAATTGCTTTCAAGGTATCAATTGTACCCCCACTGCAATATGTCAGAGTCAGTGGTGCTTGTTCGAGAACGTTCGAGGGTTCATGAAGATTTTATAATCCCCAGGACATTTGAATGTCTTGAAAGCGTATGAAAGTCCTCCAGGGAGTCACTTACGATTATCGTCTTGAGTTTGCCAGGCACCTTGCCGAAGCGTTGCATTCAGTTGTCAATACTTCGACCGTGATACTCATTCTGGAGGTGATGTGCGTGAACTGGAGTCCTTCAGACATCGTTACTTAAAACATGAGGTTTATCGCGGAAATTCGGCTTGACAAAACTAGATCTATAGAGGTGGGATAATTTACTCTCCCTCGGCCGTGGTACAAAAATGTGGAAAATTCAAGCAGATATGGGCAAAGAGGCATTTATATCACTAGCTTAAAAAGCACATAGCAAAGTATAATAGGAACTACTAGGCATAATTTTGCACATGAAGTAAGTTCTTAAAGGATATCAAATGTAACCACTAAACCGACTACTCAATCAAACTCAATCCTCCTCCCCTTCAACAGCCAGCTCCCCACCATCTTACCCAGAACATATCCAGCATACGCACCCGTAACAATCGTAACTGGCCACTTCTGCCATTCCCTGTCCCAATCCAAGGGGATGGGCACAGCGCCCAACCAAGCTCCCAGAAAGCAGCCTACAGCCCCTCCAAATACTTCATCAATAGGGCTATGCAGCGACGCTATCTCCCTCCACTTCTTGCCATCGGAGCCGTGCACGTATACCAAAGGGAAGACGGTCAGTAGGGCCAGGTGCGCGGAGCTGAGGAGCGTGTGCGGGAGGTGGGTTGTAATGGGTGCGCCGAAGAGGATTTGAAGGCCTGCCAGGACGGGAGTTGAGAGGAGGGAAAGGACAAAGGAGAATAGAAGAGTCTGCAGAACTTGATTAGCAACTAAATTGTTCGGATGGGCTGGGAATGTCATACAAAAGCGTTCGCCGAAGGCGCATCCCCTATCTTCTTTGCCCCGTTGAGCTTCCCTCTCTTCACAGCCTTCGCATTGGAGCCGGTAGCAGGGAGGCAGAGGGCTGCATAGGCGGCCTGGATAATTGCCAGTGGGAGGAGAGAGCTTAGCAGGGTTGGTATGGGGTCTGCGACAAAGGATGGGAATCGTAGGTAGTAGGCTGAAAGGAGCAGAACTGGATGGACCTGTGAGATGATTCGCGCTAGGTCGTTTGGGAGAAGCTCAATTGGTGATGAAGTTTTCGCCGGAGCTGATTGTGATGCTGGATTGATGGCAGACATTGTTACAGGGTCGATGAGAGGCATTTTGCTTGTTGAAAAAGAGCTCTTGAAGCTCAGAGGGTTGTTCGGGTGTCGTTGAAAAGGATGGCAGGGGTGGAGAATGGGACTGCAGGTGGAGCGCTATGCCAGACTACGGAGTAAGATCGGTTTTGAAGAACTCTTTATATTGGGGCCAGACAAATGCAATGCGGACGTAGAACAGTTCTGCTTGAGTAGAAGTTCTTGTAGTACATGTGTTATCCGGTCCATTAATGGACAAAGTGAGCTAAACATACGAGCCGCCATCGCCGTGAAGCCATAGGCCCATTTCCATAAACTTTTGCACCCCATACAAGCCCTTGTGATACATGATCGGTCCCCGTCCTTTGCTCAGGACTTCGAAACCAGGTTTCTCAAGGAAAGATCATAGACAATATCCTCAATCTTCTTTACATTATACTTGATGCTATCGCTCCTCCGCCTCAACGAATCATTCTTCAGGTTCAAGATCTGGAAACCAGCATGAAGGTCTTTGACAAATTGGCTGATCTGCAACGGTCGTTGATAATCGCCTAGAGTAACAGAATTGACTGCGAGTCTTGCAAGCTCTTCGATGAGCGTGATGAGTGATTGCAGGTACTCTTCGATCGAGATGTGGAAAGCATCTCGGTCCTTCAAATTTACGGGTACTGAAATTGTGAGTTTTAAGCGCTGGAAGATGGGAATCAACGTACCGTCGAGGATCGCGCCGACGTCTTCGATGGTTAAAAGTCTGCCAGCTTCGGCTGCCTTGCCATTATGTGCCATGCCTCCAAGCCATCCGCAAAGAAGGATAGAAAATATGACATTCTGAACATCCCTCGTCCAAAGCCCGTTGTATCTATACCGATTAGCTATGTCTTGAAATTTACGACGACGGCATACTTGTAATATGGGGAGCTTGAGGCTACATCGGAGAGGCTTTTGATACTTGCAACCTCTTCCTTGATGGCACCCTCAGCGGCGTCGAGGACTGGCTTGACTGCAACTTATTAGAGGAAGCGTTGGAACTTGATAGTGAAGCTCACGATGTGCTGCGGGGGTTGAATGGGCTCGTGAGAGGATTGACTGCGCGCCTCGACCCTGTCGTTCTAAGGTCTGGACGATGGCTCGGATTTGCTCTCGTACTTCAGCATCCTCATCAATCTTGTTCTGGAGTTCTTCAAAGATTCGTGGGTCGACCATTCCTGTCTCGCTGGGGTTGACCATTTTGGTGATGTTGAGTCACTAATTTTTAGGGCTGTGCAAGAAGGTTTAGGGAATGAGGATTTTGATATTGGGCCTCAAAACCACACGATGTCAAGAATTATGATTTATGGAGAGCTACTATAAATGTTTCAAGACTATTGGAATTTACTAGGTGCATTTTTGGAGATTTTGGTTTTCCGGGTCAAAATGTCAAGACTCATCATTCACGAAGCTCTACTCGGGTACATCAAATGTTACTGTTTTTCTAAATGCTTGTTGGCTCAGGAAAATTTTAGCTTTTCGGTTTCGATCTACGTAGCAGCAATGAATGTAACCTCCCGACGAGCGTTGGCGCTTTGTATCTTTTCGGCGTTAATTCGTTTTTAAATACAAGTTATGGCAATTTTTATAATAGTGGCCAGGTCGAGAAGCTCTTCTTCACAAGTCTGGCAAGCCAAACAGTGCAATGAAAAGTGGTCGCGTCATCTGGAGGCAGTGAAATACCAGAGACACAGTGACAACTGGCACAGGCAAGCCTGGAGGCCAGTCGTCGAGGGACAAAAATAGGAATAATCTTGATGTTCGCACGTGGCGAACTTTCAGAGATTAAACTGAAAAGCTAGAAAGATGTTAGTAAAAGTTCAAAGAAGTGTTCAATAGTGGTACTTACAACAGATACTACACTTGATCTAAGCCTGGGAGGGAGTTAGCATAGATCTTTCGAGTTGTTGAAATTTGGGGGTGCCTACCAATAGGCAAAGAGAGCTAATTTTTAAATTTCACGGAGCGAAGGCTCTTCTTATACAAAACCTAGGACGCTAAAAGTACGCTAAAACACGACAAACTTTTTTCGTTTGTCTTTAGAGCAAACAGAGCAAACTGCAGACTAATCATTCAACTAGCGTTATGATTGGTTAGATCTAGTAAGCTAAATTTGAGCCAATACTTTTTGCTTGTCTTAAGAGCAAACAGGACAAACTGCTGACTAATACCAAACCACGAGTAACTACCTTATGACCATGGAGAGTGCTCCACAATTGAGGAGATGTTGAAGAGAAGTGGGTGCTTTGGAAGAAATGGAGAACCCAGAACGTTTGTTGGAAAAGGGTTAACAAAGGAAGCTTGGGGGGGCAGTGGGGAACGAAGAGCGGCGGATGCAAATCATGAAGAGATGATATGACACGCCAGTTGAGTCTGAATCCAATGGACATTTCAGAAACCTTGACAATCCCAGACCCACATCCAATGTTCTCTATCTCAATCGCTCCGACTCTCGCGGACTGGTCACCGAAGGGGGATCCAAACTCCATAGAGCCAACGAGAGAGCAGCTAGATCGTGGGATTTCGTTGATGATGCACATAGTTTCAGAGGCTGGACTGCGAGCAGTAACGTCGTACCAGGCCGGCCGGATCTGCAAAGACACCGTGGCTCAATACTCGTTGCAGTATGTTCAGGATTCTCCTCATGCTGCACTTCTCTACCAAGAAGGACTGCCACTCTGGCGTACAGAGAGCTTGAAGGTCGAGAGCAGAAAGGACCACTGAAGCCATAATTCCAAGTAAAGAGGTCGAACAGGATATTTCTGGTACCCTGCCAAAGATTCCCGTGGCTAGTAATCAGCAGATCAGAAAGATCTCCGAGTGAATCGAAGGTGAATAGTTAATGTCAAAGCGATTTGAAGATGCCTGGGAAGCCGGATGCAGAGCCTGGGACACGCTAAAGACCATGAGAGCTAAGGGGTGTTAAACTTCTATCACTTCCAGCGGCGTTTTGTAGTTGAAGATCCAGCTTTTGGCATGTTGATAGATGCAATGTCTGCGTCTGAAGGAGAAACTTCTGGACCTGGGAACGATGAACTCGAAAGCCTCGAAAAGTCCTCCCACATAAAGATCACCCTACCCAGTACGGAGCCACCCAAGGACTCAGAGCCCAAGAATTGTCCCAACTCGAGAGATTTGAGCTATTGTCACGTCATGAACAGAGATGCTCTCGAGGTTATCCCCCACTTCCCACCACTGTACTTCAAGCTTTCCTCTTCATACTTATCCCAGTCAATGAAACCCCTTATATCAACGCTCTACCAAAGCATGACAGCTACCCATTTCTAAACCTGCACACTCCACAATAACAATACATCTAATCGAGCTAGCAATATAGAACAAGGGACCCGTACGAATGAGATGCACTTGGAACCAGCGTCGAAGGTATTCTAGACTTATCCCTCTGCTTCCACCTTAGTGCAGTGTTCATATAGTCTGCTACCTACCCAATATAGCGAGCGCTAGACGCACATATATGTACACGAGTGCGGTAAGAGTCAGGTAAGCTTTGTTTACAGACATATAAAAACAGTCCCGCCCAGCCCCCTCCCCGCAAGCTAGTATTTTGCCTATAGGTATTAAGGTAATAATTTGCTTTCACTGCTATTATTTAATTAATCTCTTTTGGACGGGGCGTAGGCATCTATCTGATCTGGTTGATTCATTTACATAATCGCAATGCGGGGTGCAGTAGCTCACCCCGCCCCTTCCCATCACGCTACTGCTGCTTACTCCGTATTGTTTACGTTTGTCACTTCGCGATGGATGAGGGAAGGCGGCGGGGGTCTTGGTACTAGGTAGAAGAAGATAGGTAGGCTAGGTTGGGGAGCTGGGGAGCTGGGGTAGATAAGGAGTATTTCAAGGGGGTGTGTAAAAGTAAGTAAGCAAGCTAGCAGCAGAAGAAGCATGGTTCAAAGTCCCAAAGTGATGATCCAATCAAGGCGTACTTCAAGTGAGAATGAACAAGTAGATGTAATGTTAGGTATGTTGATAAAACAGTTCATTATTTTTTGGGGTATATCCGTTTGAAAATCATCAATCGATCAAGTCTATATGCAGCCAGCCAGCCAATGCCAATGTTCATGCAGCCAAGTTTCCCAAATCATACAACCGACAACACCAACCATCCATCTAGCCCATGCATACAATTCACGCACACGTACTCTATCTAAAAAGCCTTGTTGTAAAATTTCTTCCACGCCGACCATTGCGCCTGCTCTTCACGCTCTAGACGCATCTCCTCGTTAAAGGCAGCCATGTCGTAGTCACGGCGCCCCTCATCGATCATGATAGCGCTGAAATCTACACCGAGGGACCATTGCTTGTACCAGAGCTTGTAGCCGATGAAGAAGGCAATGACGATAGGCGCTGCGAGGTAAGCTTGGAAGAATGCGTCGGCGCTTGGAGGGTCTCCACCGATTGGGAACAAGGCAATGTAGAACTGAGCCGCGAGGCAGATGCAGTTCAGGAAGAGACCGATCCAGGAGCCCGTGACACCGAAGATGGCAGCAAATGGCAAGTCGTCGGTAGTGCGGCCGTTCATGTACCAGACTTTGCGGAACATGATGTGTGCCAAGCAGATGGAGCCCCAGGTGAAGAAGTTGGACAGCCCGGAAAGAGCCAGCAGCCAGTCGAAGATGACGCCTCCTTGCTTGGCCTCGTTGATGTACGCGAGGCAGCCAAAGAGGAGACCGATGAGGACAACCCAGTAAGGACGTCCCTTTTTGTCAACGGCGGCTAGGAACTTAGGTGCCATACCTTGAGCGGCAAGAGCTTGGACGGTACGAGTAGATCCGTAAATGGAAGAGTTGGCGACCGAAATGACCGAGATGGTAATGACGGCGTTGAAGATGGAGGGGAGGATCTTGATTCCTGCGAGTTGGAAAGACAGGACGAATGGAGAGTACCGGGTGTTTCCACCGGATGCGCTGGAGAGGTTCTCGTTGTCAGATGGGACAATGAGACCGAGGAGGAAAAGACCGAGGACGTAGAACAAGGTGATACGCCAGAACACCTGCTTGGTAGCAGAGGGGATGGTCTTTCTTGGGTTGGCGGATTCTGCAGCAGCAAGACCGACCAACTCAGTTCCACCGAAAGCGAAAGCAGCAGTGACGAAGACTGAGCAGAATCCCTTGAAACCGTTGCGGAACGCGCCTGGTTTGTGCCAGTAGTGGGCTCCAATGTAGCCTCTGGTATCGGTAGGTACACCACCACAATCAATGATTATACCCAAGATGATGAAACCAATAACAGCGATAACCTTAATCAGACCGAGAATGAATTCGACCTCACCATAACCCTTGACACCAAAGAACTGGATAGCGCAAACAAGCACCAAGAAGATAGTGATCCAGACACCGACGTTGATGGATGGGGACCCAGTATCATTTGGGTCGGTCCAGAAAGCTATGGTGATACCAGCAGTTGTGAGTTCGAAAGGCAAGACGACCAGCCAGTTCATCGCATAATTCCAGCCCATAGCGAAACCCCACGCGGGGTCAATGAAGCGGACCGAGTAGTTGTAGAAGGAACCAGCGACAGGGTAGAGAGCTAGATAGCGAATTAGATTTTGATCTGCTTGTGGATTTTCTCTTCAGATCATGACATACCAGCAAGCTCGCCCATAGCGTTGACCGTGAGCAGCAACATGAAACCCGTGATCATGAAATCAATAACCAACCAACCTGGTCCACCCGAGTGTAGAGCAGAACCAGAACCAACAAACAGACCAGCTCCAATAGAACCACCGATGGCGATCATTTGCATATGTCTTCCTTTCAAGGTCTTGGACAACTGGTTGGTCTCACCCATCTCGAGATCGCCCTCTGGTGGTGGGGAGCCCGAGACATCGGTATCGTATTTCTCTTTGGTGTCCATGATGGAGGTTGTATCCAACTGACTGACTGTACCGAAGTGAAGAAGAGGGAGTCGGGTCGAAGAGTGAGTCGACTCTACACTTTGTGTGAGGAAGTGATGATGGAATGGAGTGGAATGAGGAGAGAGATAGAAACCAGACTGGGTATGCGACCACTTAAGTATTCATGATTCGGGGAACTCAAGTGTACCTGTCCCCGTACGGACTACACCTCTTAGCTCAAGTATTGCCGCCACACAGACGCATGTCGAGAGTCCCTTTGACGATCCTCCTCAACTCCTCAACTCTCGGTCTCGAGTTAGGCCTATCTCGCTGCACGGCATGGCCGAGCCCATACAGTACGACCACTCCGTAGCGTCGACCTATACCCAAGCAATGCAAGGACGAGGCTTGGACGACGCGCTAGCCAATCCTAGTGCTGTCTCATATTACGTTGACCCACAGATCCACAGATAAGGGTAGCGCCCGCTGGTCATTTGCAGCATATCAACCAATCAGAAGGTTTGATTGTGAAAGGAGGCTGGACATGACATATCGTCCCCGGACAAACCCATAATCATTTTAGAAACGGTCGAGATGAGGTTCGGGAACTGCTGGATCGAAGCAAAACGGCGCCATCAGGTATATTTTAGCTTTTGCCCGCGGCTTTATCATGAGATGCGGGAAGGGGTTTGCTAACCGTAGAGTCAGGTAGGGTGAGTTCAGTATAGAGTTTGAAGGCTGCAGTACTCTACTCTGGAGTACTATTATTGAGGGGATGAGGATGAGCTAGGCAGGGGTGTAGTCTAGCTTGGCGAGCTTGGCTAAAGAGGGAAATGCTCTAGAAGGAAACACTAGGACCATTTCGAGGAAGAGGCGCCTCCAAAAGTCGTGTATACGAAACTAAACCGGCAACATGCATCGACTTTCTTTCCCAGGCGGGGTCTGACTGACTCTGATTTGTCCAAAGCGCCGTGTTAAGATGCAAGCGTGTGTGTTTTCATGCTGTCAGATCTCAAGGAGCTAAGGCATTTAGTCATCGGGACCCTGGAGAACCTTGCAATGTACGAAGTAATTCAGTGCAAAGCTGGTGACACCCAATGGTGCGTGAAGAATAGGCAGTGTTGCTACTGTAGAGATCACCTCAGCAGATGAGGGGTTCGCGATTTCAAAACACCGTCCCGAGGTTGAACTTTGGATGAAGGGAAAGGGTAGTAAAAAATGTAGTAAAAAAAAAAAACTTTACGTAACTGCCGAGGACAATAATCTACTTCACTACTGGTACATCCCTCACCAACATCACGCTGTATAGAAGATCAGCTCATGTCGTTCATTCCGAATGCGAGGGAATCCATATTTGATTACCGTCGCGCATGTACCATACAAGAGGCACGCACGCCTCTTGTATTACAAGTAACAATATGTGAACGTATGTAATCCTATGCACGCCACGGAATGCATTAATCACGGCACATCTCATGGCGTATATTACAATCCCATCGACCCTTGCAAGCGACCAATGACGGGCGGCCCTCGGAATATTTTCTTCTGTGTGGCGTTGCGGCTTGCAGAGAAGGATGTGCGTTGTCTTCTGGAAGTTTGCCCCTTTGGGCTGACCCCCACTGCACGGCTGAGCGGCTAGGCTGGAAGCCAAGCCATTTCCACTTCCACACTTTCTCTGGCTTCGAATCTTCCTTCCGATGTTCTAGCTTGGCTGAGGCTGCTGAGATACACAATTCATGATTTTCCCATCTATCTTAACTCTTCCATTCGTTGATGTTCTCGCTCACCCACTCACATCTCGAAAAGTCTTTTTTTTTTTCTTGGAACAAGAGATTTGGCATACGTCTCAACATGCTTTTCTTTTTCACAGGTAGATCACGGATCTCTTTCCCCATTCATCCAGTCCATCTAATCCATAAGCTTTTTACCTGATTATTTTACCTGATTATGTCGAGTCGATACGGGGATTCCGCCCCCAATAAATCACCTGATTTAGATCTGATTGGTTCAGAGAGGAACCCCACTTTAGATAGGGTCAGCAGTGTGACTGACCGTGTGGCCTCACCTTGGAGCATCGATGTGGAACAACAAAAAATGCCAAAGCTTCTTCGCTTTGCTCCGTACAGTAAGTAGTACGTTGCGTTTAAAGTTTAAACTAGAGAAATGCTAAGCTTATATATTTATCTACTATACCTCCTGTTTTATTGTCCAGGTTTAAGAATATAGGTAAGTTTACGGTACGGTACTGTTCGATTTATCCTTACTTATACTGTACGTGCATGGCATGGATATTGCAAGCAAATTTATGTACCGAGTACCAGATGAAGAGTACCTAGGTACCTAAACTCGATGAATGGATCTCGCGTCTCGGCTCAAGCCGAACTCACCAACCCAGCACCAACTCTATTAATCCTTTGATTCGCTCTCTCCACTCGGAGAGACCTGACCTGACCTGACCTGACTATCTCATTCACGGAAGCCCTAGAAGCCCTAGAAGCCTTCTAGAAGGAATCCTAAATTCCTCTATCGTTCGAAATAGGTATCCCTATCATGATCCTTCGCCTCGCCTCGCCTCTGGAGACGGCGACGCGCGCAGACGCATCCTTCAACTCCTACACTACAGTACTCACAATTTAAGTAAGCGAATCTTCGATCGTTGGTGATTCCTTATGATAAGGAACTTAAAATGAAGGAATATAAGCTCAAGACTTAGGCCTTACGGAGTAAGTTAATGCGCTACGCGCTCCTTCAAGATACGCACGCACGCACGCACGCCCGGAATACATACAGTCCTGTGGAATTCTACTTACCAATTCTACTTACGAAGTAAAGTACCTGGTATGGAATCCTGCGCTTGTAGTCTATTTCAATCTCAACTCAGATCCGATTTGATCCCTTGCTATCTTTCGTTCACAGTACCGTGTTCTCGGTATACGTATTCCTCCAAATAGGTGCAGTACGTATTTACAATACCATACGGAGGAGCTCAGTGGCTTTTTTTATGGGCTAATTATAGATTCCTCGCTCTTGTGCTATGTATGGGGTATGGAGTAATCCGATTCTAGGATGGAGATTTGTTCTTGTTGGCGGGATAGCCGCCTGTTATGTTAATTGCGAAAGGGGAAAGGGAGAAGGGGAAAGGATGCGTACGTAGGTATGGTATGGTATGTATCACGCCGTACTGATACGCTGTGCAGTACTTGGCTACTCTCTGAGTGTAAATTGAAACGGTAACTTGGTAGGTTATGGAATGATGGAATGATGGATGGATGAATGATTGCTCAAGCAGTTCCTAGTTCCTCCTCTCCTCTCATCTCCTCTTCTTATTACCAAAAATCTCTACTATGCTTCGTATGCATGCGCTCTTACATTCTACTCATCACCTACCTACGAACAAGATGGATATCCAAGAACGACGCATCAAGAAAAGCAAAATCGCGAATTCCTCACATGACTTCCTATACATAACGTCCAGCCAGCTGTCACTCTACGGTAGCACGTTCTTACAGTATTCACCGATCCATTCACGGCAAGCGCACCTGCTCTTCTTCGACCCGGATCCGGAGTCGTCGAGTGATTTCGTGGGAAGGGGAAAGGAAAGAATATCTCGTGTCCAGGAACTTGAACTCAAGCATACCAGTGATAATGAGTCGATCGGTTGTCTGCTATTACGCTACTTGGTTGCTTTGCAAATTCATGTATTTCCTGCGAATTGGATTTTATTTCAAGATATTCAGTCGAGCTAGCCTGGATGTTTCTATACACTGCACTCAGGAGTCAGGTCTGAACTTGAGCAAGGTGCTTACGTTCAGCGATACTATACTCGCAGTATATCGAATTGGAGGAGACGAGCTGCATATCGGGTCGAGACTTCACCTTGATATCACTCAGGTCGACGGAAGAGATTTTCGAGGTGCTGCTTATGCGAGACTGAATCTTACGGAGAAGGAGTCTGATTCAATGGTGCAGTGGAGTTTGTTTCCTCACAGAAGCAATGAGAAATGGTGGGGTCGATATCTAGACTGCCTGAAAGATATATCGTCACAAACTTTCAAGAGATGGGATAAACAATTAGCGCAAGCTTACACGCCTGAATCCGACATTCAAATACCCGAACGAGAGTCACCGCAAGTAGTCACACAAGGCTCCGCCGAACCGTCCTAAGAAAATCAAAATTCCTCCCACTTGCTGCCTGAAAATCCTCAGAAGGAATGATATTGCAAGGGAAATGCTGCAGAGAGCCAGCTCCAGCATCGATATCAAGAATTGCCATCGTCCGAGTACTTGTGTGGAAATTGCTGTCCCTTATCCCGCAAAAGCTGGCAATTTGACTCAACACACCAGGACTGTGGCTGGACCTTCTGACCCTTGGTACAAAGTAGAGTCTTATTAGGGTACACCAATCTGTTTGCACTGTAATCCTGCGTGTTTTGCGGAGATTTCTGAATATACTCTCTCAGCTTCTTCTCATCATCGTATTCAGTACATGTCACGATTTTTCGAATGGCATCGCCAAGTTTTGTGGCTTTCACAGCCTTTCAGATATCCATCACTTTGATCGGTATACAATGCCACCAGAATTCCCACTTCCATAATACGCCATGAGTCTCCTGGAGTTCGATGATCTATGTCGCTGACCTGATCGAAAATGAAAGCTGAAAATGCTCAGGGTCGCGAGGATCCTCAATTGATACCTTCTCAATGAAGATTTGAAGACGCATTTCCGTTTTCACATTCGTGTCTGGCATTCCGGGCAAATCGAGGTGCTTCAAAAGGCCTAGGTGCATGTGTATGGGGTGTCTCATGGTTGCCAGAATATGCTCTGAGTTGAGGCGTAAATCCATGCTTTGGTTCGCGAGCTGGAACAGGATTCAAGAAGAGAGGAACTTGCCATCTTTTTGAAAGAATGACACTTTGACCTCCCTTCCAAGAGCGCACTCTAAGAGCCCAAAGTAAAGCCAGCGTTACAGAAAGGCTAAAAAGTCTGGCTTTCTAGACCTGAAAACCTTCCTCCAATCATCCGCTGTCCTAGCGGACCACTTTTGGCGCTCCGGGTACCCAATAAAACCATCTAGTTGATGATCATAATTGGCACGAGTGAGTAGAGAGGTCTTTGGGGTATTGTGTAGAGGCTGCTGTGGAGGGGGAAGATGATCCATCTTGAGTTTATGTTATATCTGTTTTATAATGATGGCGTTATGCCTGAAGGCAAGCGTAGAGCTAGCAAGTGCTAGAATAGTTTCAATTGCAGCAGAACTTCGGGGGCATGGCAGTAAACTTTTAGAAAGGATTTGCAGAACGCAGGATTTTATTTTCATTAGCGGAGAAAGAGAGGAGCCATACTGAACTGGTAGGCTTCCGCCGCGATAGAAAACGTGGACCTTGTGTAACCACACCGGGCGTATCGCTGCCTGTATCAGAGGTTCACACCACCACCTTTTATGCTAAAACCAATAGTTCGCTCTAGCCACGGGAAGTAAAAGCCCAAGGACGCGCAGCAAAATCAAGTTAAGGCCAAAGTAATATGCCTAGCAAAACTAGGTGTAGGGACTCAAGCATTTAGTGGAATAGCAGCAAGGCGGCAGCTATCTGCCACGCAGCCAACAGCTGTCTGACGTGTCACTTGGGCGTAGAGCGCGTTCTCTTTTATTGTGATAAATATACCAGAGAATTATCTCTTCCGTGTCTCGGTCTCAATTACAATTGCCAATATTGAGCTGTATACCACACGAATCGCTATCATGGCTCCCCATGATAGACACAGACCCCACAACTCTCGCAAAGACAGAGAATCTAACAAACACAAATCGTCTAATCGCACCTCTTATACAAGTGTAGAATCTACAGCTCCATCGGCCACCTCGTCGAATCAAGCTCCCGAGGCGTATACAGAAAACAGCCAACCTGCCACGTCCAACTTGCAAAGATCATCTTTCTATCCTCAAGTAACAAACGAACCTAACGCCAGCCAATCGGAGTATCGATCATCTAATAATACTCCATCAGAGTCGTATTCTGCCCTCTATAAAAATAGCTATTCCGCAAACCCTATTCCATCTTCTGTATCTACAATTCGCGATTTTCCAGCGACGAATCAATACAACACTACGCCTTCAGCTCAACAGCCAGATTACGCTACTGTAAGTAGCACATCACCATACACTTCTCAGGCACATGGGTCATCTTCGAATTCCTACGAAATCCATGCTTCCGCACTTTACAGCTCTACTACAGCATCCTCCTACCCTGCACCTTCTTACCCTACAACCTCCTACATTCCAACATCCTCTCCTACACAAACAACTAGTTGAGCGCTGATTCTCAAATTGGATCAATGGTATATTCGTCGGAGAAAGACCTGCTAATGAAGAATGAAGTGTTCCAAAGAACGAGGGATGATGCGGGGTATACATCTTTGGTGCGTATCCATGCAATTGCTAGCACCGCTGTACTAACGCGAGAACAATAGCTTGTAAAACTATTTTTGTCCGCACTTCAGGCAGCTGTTACTAGCCCGGTTCCTTGATGTATGAATAATGGTAAAAGCCTTATTCTTAAGCAAAGCAGGGAACTGTTTGGTGGAAAAGGGGAAATTCTCTTCATTTCTTGTTCTCGATCAGAGTGTGCAAACTTCCGTTACGGCTTTATTACGGTGGAGCGGGCTTGATACGCCCTGCTTACCCAACAAAGGTCATTAAGATTACTTCCAGTACCTAGTATTAAATGCAGTCTTCTTCCACTTCATAAACTCGCATTACGTGTAAAACGACGGAGGGTTGCGTGTATAATAGCTTAGCGAGCACGCAGAATGAGGTGATTATTCTGGTTCAACAACACCTAGTTGATTGTCGATAAAATGTGAGGTTGAAAACTAGTCACGTGCGACTGCACTCGAGCGGATCCAAAATCGACTCGCTAACGGGTCTCTAGTAACTTTGATATGGAATGACACTGGACACTTCTATCGATCTTGAGCTATTTAAGTACAAAAAGAGAAGTTTGCAATAGTTTCAGCGCGAAGCACTATGTCCTTCATGATAACCGTGTTTAAAGCATCATTCGGGTGCAAAGTACTGGTGCTGCTTCGTAGCCCACTCTGGAAGCGGCGCCGCTTTTTTCTGCGTGTCAAAACCAGCATCATACTGTAATTGTTCAAATTTCCGTACAAATCCCACAGCGTCAGGTCGGTCTCGTGGATTCCAGTATGTTGCTCGCCGAATGGCTTCCTTCAACTGGGAGGAATAGTTGGTTGGAATGGTGAGGGGGTCCTTCAACTTTCGGCACTCAGTTCCCTGCATATAATCATTGGCGTTTATATCCTGCGGTAGGCGGCTGAAATCGCAATGGCCTAAAATGCTTTTACATTCAGCGAGGTTGAACATGGTAGCACCAAGTGCCCACATATCAGATTTCCGGCTATTTAAAGCTCCAGGTGGAAACATGTTCAATTGCTGATTGTTTTGAGGAAAGGGTGACCAGCAAAGCTCTGGTGCAATGTAACCCATTGTGCCAATTTTTGAGCCCTCTCGCTGGAATCGATCGCATAATGGATCACTGCTTGGACGGTCTTCACAAGCAAGCCCAAAGTCGCTTAGTACACAATAGAAGTACTTGTTAGAGCCGACTGTAGATCTCGATCGAAGGAGCACATTATCTGGCTTCATATCCCTATGAAGAATTGGCATCCAATTTGGTGGTGCTCTTGAATGCGGATTGTGGAGATGCCCAACCCCGGTTTGCAGGTAGGCCAGTCCATCTAATAGTCCTCCAAATGTGTGCCATACAAAGGCTTCAGGGGGTAGAATTCGTGGGAATACTTGTTTGCGTTTTGAGAATTCTCGAATAACCCCGTCCAAATCTCCGCGATCACAAAACTCAATCCAAACAGATGCCTCCGGGTTGTGGTTTTCGATAATGTAGGCAACCGAGTAACACGTCAAAGCCGCATGGTTGAGTCTACGGATCATCCTTATCTCGTCCTTTGCCATATCGACTTGATCCGCCTTGAACCTTTTTTCGATGTATAGCTTGTTGGGTACACCTTTGACTCGAACCACGAAGACACCTCCATTCATGCCGCCCTTAGTTCCATCGCCTGGATCAAGAACTTTCATGATCTCGAAGTAGTCTCGAATATTTTTATTCCCGATCGGCTGCCGCTTCATTTTGCTAATGTCCAGATTCTTGTTCCTTTGCGAAGAGGCGGCTATCCTGAGCTCTTTTGGAACATTCTTTGAGTGCTGAAGTAACGTTTTGTCTAAAAACCTGGGGTCTTGTCTGGATTTGATATGATTCTTGGGATCGTAATACAGTATTTGGAAAGTGTTTTTCGAATGGTTTGGTACGAGCTTGAGGATCCACGGACTAGGCAGAGGTCCGAGAGATGGATGAGTGTAGTGCTTCTCGGCCGGACGAGCGTCCCTGAAAAAATAAACGCGGTCTCCAGCGTCAGGGTCGACTCCAATGGCCCAGTCGTCGGGAAGACTCTGGTATTCAGGACAATCTCTTAGAGCATTCGTTCTAGCCCTCTGGACAGAGTCAGACATCGTCATCGGCATGCTGTTGAAAGTAATCGGGGCGAACTTGTTGATGTAGCTGGAGATGGTAGGGTGTGTTGTTTGATGGATATGATCCCGAACTACGCAAGAGTAATGTCTCTCTTATGTGCAAATTCGCATGGTTTTTGAATGAATCACTGAGACTGGGTTAGAGGGATTGTTGCTCCTTAGTGAATGGACTGATGGCTGCTCCTGTTATGCTGCACTCACAGACAACCGGAAGACATTGTCTACCGGATTGAAGTTATTATTGTATCATATTCAAGTTTTATAAAGGTTTTGAGCTTCTATATTCCGAGACAAATGAACATATGAATATATGAACATACAAACATACGAAAGCCGGAAAAAATGCTGTGTCAAGACATTTACCCTCTGCTACTCGTCAACAAAGCTCCCAGCAAGGAGCGAAGTAGATTGGAGGATACATTAGCAGAATCATTGGCCATAGCTCATACACGCGGTGAAATTGGAGCGCACGCACTTCATAGTCCTAGAAGAGGTACTGCGGCAGCTATGAGACTCGAGGACTATGAGCGTACCGATATTGAGGACCTCAAACGGCACACTCGCAGATACCGAAGGGAAAGCAGAAATGGAAATGGGGAACCGGAAAAGGAGCTCCAGCGTCCAGAAGAGCAAACGTGGGGAGAGTCATTCGAGTGGTGGCAGAATACATATAAGGGAACTCCATTGATGAGGTGCCTGGACGACTATGATTTCGACCAAGATCCGCTCTTTGCTAAATTGTACGAAGAAGTCCACATCCCCGTGGACGAGGTAGTTCTCTCGAGAAGAGAGGTGTGGCAGAATAGAGCATACTGGGACAATGTAAAAACTCAACTACAGGAAGACGACGAGGAAGAGACAGCCGACCTATGGCCTGATTTTCTGAGTGTGGATGGGAATGGGAATGAGGATGCTGGAAGGAAATCTATGTTTAGACTCGATGTTTTCATGCAACGGAACAGGAATTTAGACAAGTTGTGGCAGGAGAGAATAGCATTTGAGACGAGAGATGGAACGTTGAAATATGTAAATAAATGGCAGTGGTAGTGGAACTCGGAGCATTCAAGAGGAAGAGGAAAGAAGACTTTGGAGTGTTCCTTCTCCATGTCTTGCTTGTACAGTACTGCAGATCAGCAAATATAAGCTAGAAACCCACCTGCGGGCGCCTGCCTCAGGACATCTTCAAACACGTATCCCGACCACAATCACATCCAATAGCCCTGCCACTTCACCATGGATCCCTTTTCCGCAGAAGGCGAGTTGCTCAACTTGCACAATTACTTCCACCAAGGCCAATACCAGGAGGTCATTGATTTCGATACGGCCGGCCTTTCCCCCGAGAACGCCCTTCCAGCTCGTGTGCTCTCCCTTCGCGCCCAAATTGCCCTTGGACAAGCAGAAGATGTGATTGCAGATGTAGAGGGAGAATCAGAGCCTGATCTAGCTGCTGTGTGTGCGCTGGCTGAGCTTGCGGCTGGGAACGAGTCTAAGGCCTTAAAGATTGCGGAGAAGCTGGCGCAGGAATCTGCGGACAACTCTACGGTTCAGGTGCTTGCTGGCACAGTTCTACAAGCAGGAGGCAATAGCGAGGAGGCTTTGGCTCTTCTTTCACAACACCAGGGAAATCGTATGCCGCCCTTGAAATACATATGGAGGAAGATGCTAATCCAATGCTACAGTGGAAGCCGTTGCTCTCATCGTCCAGATCCATCTTCAACAAAACCGCACAAATCTAGCTATCAAAGAAGTCCAAGCAGCGAGAAGATGGGCCCAGGATAGTTTACTTGTCAACCTTGCGGAATCCTGGGTTGGCCTGAGAGTGGTAGGTTATATAGTGTATCCTATAAATTCCTCACTCCAACTAAGACATTGTACAGGGCGGAGAAAAATACCAGCAGGCATTCTATGTCTTCGAAGAGTTAGCACAAGCTGCATCAACCTCCTCGATTCAGAGCCTAGTATCACAAGCTGTTGCCGAGATTCACCTCGGGCGTTTAGAGGAGGCTGAAGCTGCACTCCAACAAGCTCTCGCAAAGGACCCCAAGAGCGCGGAAGTCATAGCCAACAGTGCTGTCCTAAACATAATTGCAGGCAAGGATGCTACGGAACTCATCAGGTACGTCTCTGTATTTTTATGTCTGGAATGCACGATTCCTAACGAGCAACGATACAGTGCCCTTTCTACGACTGCGCCAGAGCACCATTATCTGCAAGACCTTCAAGAAAAGAGTGATGTATTCGACAAGGCTGCTACAAAATACTCAGCGAAAGTCAAAGCATAGAATACCCCAAGATCGAATTAGGCGTTAGCGGGGAGGGGTTCACATGATGCTGTTTAGGTCAGAAATGGAAATTACGAAGCAGTTGTCACGATATCCAATTATTTTATCACACATTGTGCGGCCATACAGGTCTAGGTCCACGCCTGCCGAGTGCCTCTCGGAGATCCACAGCCGCAGACGCATATTGACATCACCTGTCGGAGTACGAGTGAGTGCATGCATGCATGCACTTCCAGACTTGCCCGTACCCCAAAACCATGAAGTTTCCGTAGCGACACTGGTATGCAGTGTGAACTGAAGCCCCCGCGAAATGTCCATGTACAAGCAGCGGAAGTGAGAGCCGCCCACACGACTGTAGAGTGACGCACTTTCATAACTGCATCTATACGCCGTACTATGAGGGGATCAACGCTTGCATCGTGCATCGTGAGCTTCAAAAATGACAAGTACGCATATGACTCGAACATTCTTCAAGGGGTGGCATCGCAAACTTTGACTTCCTATTGTCACCTTTGGATTCCTTCTTCAGTCAGTAATAGTAGACCAGAGGTGAAATTTGTGTTACTCTTCAGATCAAAGAATCAAAACCACAGATCGTCTTCATGGATCCCATTTCCAACCCCATCCTAAATGCCATCCCACATGCTTTTCCCCTTTTCCCCTCCGTTCCTTATCAGTTAGCCTGCCCCTCCCCTCCACACCAAAATTGCCCCACTTCAAGCGAGTTTTGCTTTGCCCTGGCCCTTGGACGACATCCAGACAACATCCCCAAAGCACAATGTAGTCATAGTGCTCCTCAGCAAGCGCTCGGAATACCTAATCCGTAGAAAATTTCTCCTGAAAGTTGGGTCGGTGAAGAGAGACCCCCTAGATCCCGTTATTGACCGACGCTATGTCAAAGTCTTTTCGTTATCATCGTGAGATTCGGAGCCAGGGATTTTGACTGGCTGGAGTGCGGTTGCTTTCTTGTACGGAGTATGTTCGTCATTGTTTCAGTACTCCGTACATAGCGAGGTATGCTTCACGAGAATAAGATAAGAGGGTCCTTGTTGCCCACATTTTGAATCCATCTATAAGCATATTCTCCAGTTTTCAAATCCCACCATCCCACCATTTACCATCCTACAAGCCTACATTCCACGGGTAGACAAAGAACCCCACCGTATTTGCCACTTTGTATAAGATATTCAAGATGCCTATCGCCATCACTCCTCCTTCAACAACGCCCACGCCCAAAGACGTTTCTTCTGTACTTAGAACAAGCATGCCCGCCATGGATATGCCAACGAAGCGGAAGATTATCTGTTTTTCAGGTACGCATGCTGATCCATTTCCGTTTCCGTTGATTGTATCTTATCTCGTTGCCGTGCAGACGCAGCAGGCGCCCTCCGTTTTCACTCCCTAATTACTCAAGCTTCATCAAATATCCTACTGAAATGGCCGTCCTAACACAAATACCCCCCAGATTTCGACGGCACGATCTTCATGCAAGACACCGGCCATGTCCTCTTCGACGCGCACGGCTGTGGCGTCGAGCGCCGCACGATGCTAGACGAGCAGATCAAGACGGGCGAGCGCTCATTCCGCGACGTCTCGGAGGAGATGTGGGGATCGCTGCATATCCCCTTTGACGACGGATTCCAAGCCATGGAGAAGACGCTCGAGATCGATCCGGATTTCCAGCAATTCCATAAATTCTGCATAGCGAATAACATTCCGTTCAACGTTATCAGTGCGGGGTTGAAGCCGATACTGCGGAAGGTTCTCGATTCGTTTCTGGGCGAGGAGGAAAGTAAGCATATTGAGATTGTAGCGAACGAGGCGGAGATTAGCGGGGATGGGAGCAAGTGGAAGCCGGTTTGGAGGCATGATACGGAGTTGGGTCATGACAAGGCGCTTAGTATTACGGAGGCGAGGAAGGAGGCTGAGCTGCAGTGCGAGGATGGCACGATTCCGCTTATTGTGTTCATTGGAGATGGGGTTAGTGATTTGCCGGCCGCGAGGGAGGCGGATGTGTTGTTTGCGAGGAAGGGGTTGAGGCTAGAGGAGTATTGTATCGAGAATGGGATTAAGTATATTCCGTTTGATACTTTTGCTGATGTGGAGAGGGAGGTGAAGGCCATTATGGAGGAGGATGAAAGGAAAACTGGAGGAAAGGGCGTCCCTGTTAGGTTCAATCCTAGGGCGAATATGTGGAGGAGGGTTAGCAGTCAGAATGCTGTAAGTGTTTACTGAAAGGAAGACAGATGAAAAATGGTGTGCTGACATTGATATAGGTCCCTCGGCTCGTTGCTGCTACTCCTAGCAAAGAGGAGAAGATGTTCTTGTGGCCAGAAGCATTCTCGGACTATCACCCAGGCAGCACGAGCACTATCACAGAGAGCGTGGCCACTTGATCTTGTTGCACTCGTTCCTATTCTAGTTTTCGCGGCATTGCTAGGCGTTGAAGGACTAAGCAACATCTATACTGTTGGGCGTTTTGATAATACCTAGATATACATATTAGACAGAGAAAGAAGAAACAATAGACCATTCGTACTGTACTTTTGCGCGGGGTTGCATCAGCCAAGGACCCTGGTGATACTTCGTTTGCGGCAAACCAGCCCTGCATTTGGGAGATTCTTGACCTGCTCCAAACGGGGTCAGATGCATGAATGACAAAATCTGGGATATGACCTTAGTGCTGGAAGATGAGCTGGCTCGAAGGAGGATGTGTTGTTGGTTTCCACGGGGTGGGTAATATATGTTCAATGCATGAGGCTCGATGGAGGGTTCATCCGATCAGCGGGGCTGGAGAAACTTCCACTCTCCATCTTTATAATAAGAAAGTACAAAGGCTTGCATGAAGTGATTATCAAATTGAAAATATACCGCAATATTATCAATGATTTAGACATCATATTCAATTCTGGCGCTGACTGAATCATTGCCCATTTCGGGACGGTGCCCAAACCGTTGACTCGAAGCACAGCTAACAGTAACAAATAACCAACTTACCTTCATATACTGCTTGGATAAATTTCATTAAGACATTTGGGGAAAGGTAGGTATAATAATTTATATTGACCCCGAACGTAGCTTCCGAAAGTTCTAGGAAATAACGCCGCGGGCTTGCATATTAAACTATGAGATGTCAAAATCAAGGATACATATTTGAAAACATCTCACTCAGCCGGATTTTTCGGATTCAAACATCCACTCTTTAATATCCAAGGTACATAAGGTGCCGCAACAATCAATGTGGGGTTGATCTAGGACATCAACAAACGATTCGGATCAACAAGTATTCTTCTCTATTTTCACCTTCATCCTCAGCGAGACACCAGGTCTATCCAAAATTCCATTCTCCATCATCTTATACAGTACACGGCTCGATGAATCTTTAAATAGCAGACTTACCCAGGCGGCCGACTAGCCCTACGATCAAATCCAAAGCCGGGAAGTATAAAAACCCCGCACTGCCAATACGGTATAGTATCTTGGAATTTCTTCAGCCAACCAACATCATCTATTCTGCCAAGAATCCTGCTCTTTTAGCTCCTACCCAGTCTCGCCAGTCCACAGCGTCAGCATCCTGAGAGCTGTCAGCTACGTCGCTCGCTCGCTCTTGGCCGCCCAGCGTGGTAGCACCGGTCTGCATTCACATTATATCCATACATACCTCCCCACCTTCGACAACATGGTCCGCAACATCCTCCCAAACCGCCTGAAATCATACACCAGCACCAGCACCAACAACAGTCGAAGCACCAGTCCAAATCCAGGCACCATGAAGAAGACACTGTCGGCAGGTATTGATCCCAACCCAGAGTTGGCACGGGCCAATGGGTTGATGCTAAAAGTGGTGGTGCTAAAGGTATGTTTTTATTATCTATCAACTGGGCAGGGTAGTAGAGGTGTGTCAATGGATAATGCTGATGGTTACAGGCCAGAAATCTTGCTGCGAAGGACAGGAGCGGTACTTCTGATCCGGTGGGTTTTCACAGCCTGAAAAGCTACAGTAGACTGGGCAACAATTAACCTTGGAACCACAGTATTGCGTCCTCACTGTCGGCGATACGAAGAGTGCTACACAGGCAGTTCCAAAGACTCTAAACCCCGAATGGAACGTCACAGTCCAGTTCCCAGTATCTGGTGTCAACTGCCTACTATTCGAACTCGTTTGTTGGGACAAGGACAGATTCGGGAAGGACTATCTAGGCGAATTCGACCTCGCCGTAGAGGAAATATTCTCGGGCGATGCTACGGAATTAGAACCACGATGGTACCCCCTCAAAAGCAAGAGACCAGGCGGCAAGAAGAGCAGCAATGTTTCAGGGGAGGTCCAGCTACAATTTACCCTCTTCGACTCTTCCAATGTCGCATCGCCGTCTGCACAGGTCTTGGAGAAATTCCGCGCACTCGCTGGGATTGATATATCTGATATTAGTACCAGTGCTCCTTCGACGCCCGGGCTGGTGGGTACTGCTGGTGGGGACGATGAAGACGAATATTTCGATGAAGACGAAGAGCCTAGCGATGAGACGGACGATCCTACAAAACCAGAATCTGCCGAAAAGAGACGACGGAAGTTAAGACTTCGCGGATTGAGAAAGAAGAAACAAACTGGTGCATACGAGTTCGGTGGTGGAAGTGAGGTTGTGGGCATCGTATTCCTTGAAATTGGCAAGATTACGGATCTGCCACCTGAACGGAACATGACGAGAACCTCGTTTGATATGGATCCGTTTGTGGTTGCATCTCTTGGAAAGAAGACATACCGAACTCGCGTTATCAGACACAATCTCAACCCGGTATTCAACGAGAAGATGGTGTTCCAGGTTCTCAAGCACGAACAGACTTACTCTCTCGCGTTTACGGTCATTGATAGAGATAAGCTATCTGGGAACGATTTCATTGCTTCGACAGTCCTCCCTTTAAAAGACATTACAGATACAGCCCCCGATGCAGATCCGGAAACTGGCCTTTATGCCTTGAAAGATCCGCCAGATGCCGCCGCGTTCCCAGTCGAAAAGAATCGGTCACGCTTCAAGTTGCCACTATCCAGGTCCTCCTCATCACAAAGCTTGAACAAACTATCTGCTCGGCCAGCTCTGACTTCCAATAGGTCTAGTTCTAGTATTATGCAGAGTACCAATACCTCTGGGACGACCACACCAACTCAGGGACTAGCTCCTACTTCCAACCCAGTAGCGGGCCTCCATCCGGGTGATAATGTACCAGCACCAAACGCCGTTGATGACGATGAGGGCTTCAATGGGCGCGGAGACCCTGACTTGCATCCATTCACGGTGCAATTGAAGCTCAAGAACTCTGAGAAATGGGAAGAGAAGCACAGTCCAGCTTTGTTCATCAAGGCCAAGTATGTCCCATACCCCGCTCTTCGCCAACAATTTTGGAGATCTATGCTCAGGCAATACGATACCGATGAGAGTGGGAGGATTAGCAAGGTCGAGCTCACAACTATGCTCGACACCCTGGGGTCGACATTGAAGGAATCTACGATTGATGGGTTTTTCAAGCGCTTTCCACACCACGCGACAAACAGCGGAGACGAGAATAATTCCGACTTGACCTTTGACGAAGCTGTGATATGTCTAGAGGACCAACTTTTAGAAAAGTCGAAGACCCAATCTATGGGTGATAAGGTCAGAAACTTGATGCCGGACAGCGCTGCTGTAAAAGCCCGTATTCCAGTACAACTAGGAGGCACACAAGGCCAAGCTTCAGCATCTTCATCTGAAATAACCTCAACGGATACTGAGAATCTACGGCCTACTGATCAGTCTCTTGGTGTCGAGGCACAAAGCGTCGAGGATCTCTCCACACCTGGTGAAGAGGGGGATTACTTGGACCGAGATGATCTCAACGACAAGGGTGAAGAGCATGTTGTTGAAATCAGAGAATGCCCGATCTGCCACCAGCCGCGGTTGAATAAGCGTTCTGATGCAGACATCATCACGCATATTGCCACTTGTGCCAGTCAGGATTGGAGGCAGGTCAACAACATTGTGATGGCTGGATTTGTTACTTCAAGCCAAGCACAGCGAAAATGGTATTCTAAAGTCATCACCAAGATATCTTACGGTGGCTACAAGCTTGGTGCAAATTCGGCAAACATTCTTGTACAAGACCGTACTACTGGTCAAATAAATGAAGAACGCATGAGCGTCTACGTGAGGTTGGGAATTCGGCTACTATACAAGGGACTCAAATCTAGAGATATGGAGAAGAAGAGAAGTATGTATAGCCTGATTTATACGTACCTAGCAAAAAGCCTAGCAAAACAGTAGCTAACACAACACCAGTTCGCAAGCTCCTCCGTGGCTTGAGTTTTAAGCAGGGTGTCAAATATGACGATCCTGCTTCGAAGGCGGAAATTGAAAAATTCATCAATTTCCATCAATTGGATATGAGCGAGGTGCTTCTATCGACCGAACAGTTCAAGAATTTCAACGAGTTCTTCTATAGGGCTCTCAAGCCAGGCGCGAGACCTTGCTCTGCGCCTGATAATCCGAGAATCATCGTTTCGCCTGCTGATTGCCGATCAGTGGTATTCAACAGGATGGACGAAGCTACTAAGATCTGGGTCAAGGGTCGTGAATTCTCCATCGAGAGATTACTGGGCAATGCCTACCCTGAGGACGCGAAGCGGTACACCAATGGTGCTCTTGGCATCTTCCGTCTCGCTCCGCAGGACTACCATCGTTTCCACATTCCCGTTGACGGCGTGATGGGTACACCTAAGCTTATTGAAGGCGAGTACTACACCGTGAATCCAATGGCTATTCGATCTGCACTCGACGTCTACGGAGAAAACATCAGAGTCGTGGTGCCGATTGACTCGGTGGCTCACGGCAGGGTTATGGTCATCTGCGTAGGTGCCATGATGGTAGGCAGCACCGTCATCACTCGCAAAGCTGGAGAGAACGTCAAGCGTGCTGAGGAACTAGGATACTTCAAGTTTGGAGGGAGTACGATTCTGACCTTGTTCGAGGAAGGAACGATGAAGTTTGATGATGATTTGGCGGCTAATTCGGCGACTGCATTGGAAACCTTGGTGAGTCGTTCTTTCCCTTGCTCTTTTTTCTTTTTTGGGAGGTGTGATAGTTGCTAATGATTATTGATATAGATCCGCGTAGGCATGTCCATCGGCCACCACCCTTCTCAAGGCCAGCATACGCCCGACATGCGCAAGAAAGACGAAGATATCTCCGATTCAGAGCGCGCGGAAGCTAAACGGAGGATCGAAGGTTCGATCCAAACTGATGGTGAGAGTGGCACTACTGGCAAGGTGCCGCCGGTTGCTAGCATGGCCGGATAGATGCCACTCTTTCCTCTTTACTCACATGCGATGTTACGGGCGGGGGTTTGAGGTGAGGTGATAGGAGACTTTGCATAGAAGATTCGACATTGAAGTGCTCGGGTTGGATGTGTTTTCATTTGTTGAAATGGGAGTGAAAGAGAGAAAAAGGTGTGATGATGGTTTTGTTGGTAACACATCCATAGTCCTGCCACTGGTATGGTCGGGTAGCGTAGCATAGCGAATTAATGCTTTAACGTTGTGCAAGTCTTTCTTTCTTTCTGACCTCTTTAGGTAGTGAGTAAGGCGAAGATGGATTGATGTAAACTTTTCATCAGTCTCAAATGATATATATCTCAAGCAACTAGGGAGGTTGACAGGTATCTGGTTCCAGACAGTAAACAGTGCTCACAAACCTGCCTACCTACCTGCTTAGAAGACAACTAACTGCTCATAGGTAGGTAGGTAGGTAGATCCAGTCATGCATGATCAGTGAGTGAGCCTCGGTAGGATTCAATGCCCGTTGTATGTAGAAGGGGGAGTGGAGTGGAATGGGAGCGGGGTAACACTGCAGTTTGTATTGTATTTAACCATCCGGGCCGATCAATCGAGTACATACAGTACAGATAAATACCTAGGTACATACAAATTTGTCTCGAAATGGATGCATGCATGCAGCCTAGCTACATTAATTAATCAAGTGCTTGGCTTGGCTTGGCTTGGCTTGGCTTGGAAGATTGGTTTAGTCATGCAGCGGGTATATGCATCAGCCTTACACAATGTATGTGCTGACTGGGCACGGAAATAGGCAAGTAAGTAGGGACGGTCCTATGAGATTGATATATGGCTGAAGATGTCGATGAAAGAAATGCGCGATTGGGGCATGGAATTCCCATGTCTTACGGTAGATATATTAGGGAGTATTAGGGAGTATTAGGGAGGGGTTTCATTAATTTATTGATAATGATGATCTTACTGGCGATATCATGTGGACATCGTGTGTGTATACCTTTTTAGGACCTGGTGGACGAAACAAATAGGATTTGCTTGGGAAGTACTCGTACATATGCCGCTGGTGACGTACTAGTGGTGCATTTTCTGGCATTAATTATATTACCGATATACAGTGTATATGTATGTATGACATCTGGGTATGTGAGTGGGCTTACGGTCGATCCAATAGAATTTGGTGGTTTTCTTTTTTCAGGGAAGTAGAACTTGGTTTTCTCGAACTCTTGAGAGTTGATACATAGCGTTCTATTCCTGTCTGATACTTACAGTACTTCTTATCCAGGAACTCAGTTGAGCCGTTTCGGAAAATGCCGATCCCGAGCTACTATTGTGAACAAATTCTGGGCTGAGCTGGGCTTGGCTGGAAGTCCCCGGGTGTTTCATTCCGTATCCCGGCCGTGCCGTACCGCAACTTGCGTTCTGCGCGTTCTGCATAGTAAGTTACTTCCTCATGGATATATTTGTATGTATAATTTAGAGGTCTTGTTGCATCAAAGGTGCAGCGTATACTATTGTAGCCTTAGACAAGCAAGTAAGAAATACACACACACTACAAATGCGTTTCCCTGTTCGCTCGCTCTACTAGATGCTGTAATATGCACCGCACCACCCGTACGTATGTTTTGGAAGCTGTAGAAACGAAACAAGGTGTGGGGTTTCAACACTCACCTGACTAAAAAGTCGGGCTTAGTTGGTGGAGGGGGGTGGAGCATTCCACTTTTGCGAGCAAGCGATGGAGTCTCTATTCTTGCAATATTGTATATGGGGGTGTTCGTATTAGGTACTCAATGATGACTTCGTTATTTCTTTGAGATGGCTGTGGTGAAAAGTTCTTTACGCACGTGGATATTTGGTAGAGTATGTTGAGGATGCAGTATTAGAGAAGTACCTAGGTTGCATATAAATTCCAGAAGCGATTTCTCCTATTCGACGCCAGCAATTAGTATCTCGTATAACAATAAAGAAATGCAAAGGGAAAGCAGCATAGGTAGTGCATTATAGTAGTGAGATACTGAGGACCACTTATTCTCTACTATGATCTTGATGAGAGCTATCTTTGTCTTTTGAGACACCAAGCTTTAAAGCTTCGAGTCCTCGTATCTCCTAGCTTTTTCGAGATACCTCCTCCTTAGAATATAAGATGAATGGTGAAATGTGGGCAGACATATATGGTTCCAAGATTTAGCCTAGAATCTGAAAGAATGTACTCGAGCATACATTCCTCAAGTTATTGATAGCTAGGAAGCACTTGCCCCCTATTCTCACACTGGGAGTGCATCTCTACATTGGCCTCACTTGAAGTTGGCTCGGTGATGAGACCTAGAAATTTATATCCTTGATACTGATTGTTTGAACGGGAATCGAAACTTTAGGATCAGCGTATCGAGCAAGCCTTGCTTAATCCGATAGCCAGAATCTTCCAGCGGGCAATTCATCTCATGTGTTATGTCAAAATTCGCTCACACCCCCTTAAAGCTAGAAGTACCGAGGGACGGACCGGTTCTTATTTAGAGGAGCGGGGAAAAAGGACTGTGATTGCATGGCTATTTAGCAAAAGGACCATCACCGCGGTCGCCACGTAAGGAAGCTTTTGTGGTTACTGTACTCACATGCATTTCCTAGATAACCTTATTGGGGGAACTATACTTTCTCAAGATGGAGGTTCTATAGAGCGCCGACAAGAGGCCCAGATTCTAGCTTCCTAAATGCAATCATATGTACTCATGGCATGGATCTTTCAGGGCGCTTGCTTTATATCAGTCCCTGCCAGACTCGCTGGCTTGAATGGTGGGACAGACGGCATTCAGCCAGCACCTCCTTATTCCATATCTGATACCTACAAATGTGCCCCTATTATAAATTCCGGTCAACACCCCAATATCAAGTCTAAATCAAAGTGCCCCGAAAGTGAAACACGGGGTGCCTCAAGTCTCTCTCTACATCTGCAAAAACTCTACGGAGTAGAGGATGTAACTTCTCGAAGACTCATGTCAAGCTGTATCTTCCAACTAAAGTTCTAAGGTGCATCATATACTGCAAGCCGAAGATTGCTACTCGGGGTCGGTCTGCGATGTCCTTACTGCAGATGAAACTTGGAGTGACTGGGGCTCTGGTATTGATCCAGGACTTCTGAACACCGCCACACGGTATAGTAAGAATCTCGGCGAGTTATAGGAAAATAGAAGATAGTACTTTCCAAATATGAGTAAATACTAATTCCAGCAGCATCTGAAGGTTGCGAAACGTGGGATGATATTATAAATGAACCCAAGGAGGGGGGAAATGAGGGAAGGGCAAAGAAGGCACGACCGCTAGATTCAAGAACAAGCAAAACATTCCACAAGATCCTTAGTAGAGGCAAATTGGGCTGCAAAGTATGCCTGTATGAGTCTGGTAAGGTATTGTTCGTCGGCAGGGGAAATCTCGAACAACCAGACATATTGAATATCACTCAGGCAAGCCATACTCCGTACGTGTTTTCACTTGATCTCCCTATCGGCTACTCCGTCCTTTCGTGGGAAGCATGAAATATGCATTGACCATCTCTAACTCACACTTGCCCCATATCGACCAGCTTGGCAGGCAAACTTACTCAACGCTACCAAACGACTCAAGTCATTGGCATGCGTGAAGTATCCCGGCATAAACGGCTTCATGATGGCTGCATCAGGAAAAACAATCTCATGACTCTTAGAACCATTTCAACCTTAGCTCCTTTTAACAGTAACTGAAACTCAAGACATCGATCAGAGTTCGTGAAGGTTTTGACAGATGCGAGAAAAAGTAACATTCGACGGCGCATGCTAATTGAGCTTAAAAGTCAGGAGATCCAAGCGGCGCATACACTTAAAATTCGACAACAAACAGGTTTTGTACGTTTGGGACAATTCCATTACCCCCCCGCAACTCTGGGATGTTTAACAATTTGGATGACTGTATCTGTACGAAATATTGATAGAATGAAGAAGGTGGGGGTTACGCCACTGATGACGGGCGGTACACAAGACACGAGGCTGGGACTGTCAATGAAGAAGACGGCACGGTACCTCCGTAGTGGGAAGGGTCCCAGAGCTCGAGTGAGACGATTCGGACACTCCATGAATGCCGGTATACACGCCTCACAAAGATCAGATCAAATGCACATAATACGGTACATACAAATCGGGAACAAGCAATTATTTCGATCTCGGCGGGTTATCGCCTCAGCCGCGCCGTAACTTGACATGAGAGCCAGCCTGCCAGGAAACGAATGGGAATAAGATCTACGAAGTTCTGTTAATGTTCTAGAGTTTCCCGCCAATCATCTAGTACGGAGTACGGACGTAATACCATGGTGTTCTAGACCAATCAGTTTAATTAGCACGTTCACGTTCTCCAGTTAAATGGGGACTTGGAGATGCAATTCGAACTTGGATATTGTACCTCCGTAAGGTTATACGAATTATCGAGTTAACCCCGCTGCCTGAAACCCTCTCTTACACTCTTAACATGCACACCACACCATCAAATACGAAACCATGCAGGTCAGAGTCGTACGGAGTACGCGTAGGAACAGGAGTATGTATGGCAAGCACGTGGCACTTAATAAGGAAGATCGTCTTATACACACGGCACACTGCCGGGAATAATAAGCTGACACTCATGTCAATAAGACGTCAACAATCGAGAGTCCGAAGGTAAATCTTGGTTTCTCCTCAACATAAATAGGACTGCGATACTGCCTTTGACGCGCCTGCCGCACTCTTGATAGCGATTCTATATATGTCTTTACTAGCTTTGGGAAAAGTCGGTCAAGAAAATAAATAGATAGGAAGAATTTGAACAAATGATTGCTAGAATAAGAAAGAAGAAATAGCCAAATGCAGAATAGTGAAATCGCCACATCTAAAAATACCTTGGCAAGCCTCTGTCTGTAAATTACTACTAAAGCACGCCAATACTTGTACCGTAAGGGTGATCTACTAGTGACCGGTACTTTGTACTTGTAGGTTCCCCACATGTTTGCGCGGACCGTGAGTAAGTGATCAACAGATCAGATTGCAGCATTGGCCGTCCTACTGTACCTGTACTTGTATAAACCTTTCCTCATTACGCACCAAAGTTACCGAGTAGGCATAGACAAGACGAGTTATCACTGGTGTACTTTTCTAAGATCATCGTTTGAGTACAGTAGTGCGCGAGACACGCACCTTTTCCGCTACCTTGGTGCTGGACACTGACACTTTAATCTGCCTTATCTGGAAGGATTCGTGAAAGCTTCTAAAGATAACCGCTGTGGCCTGGGCTGGGCTGGGCTGGGCTGGTGGGTGAAGATTAGATATATCCATTCTGAAATCTACCCGCGGCGTCAGAACTTTTCAGTACTGGAACTCTCAAACATGAAGAGAAGAGCCTGAGTGGGTTTGTGCCTGGCCCCCAATCCGCCGGCGGGTAGCCCCTGAAAGTGCGCCAGCTGAAGTTGAACCTCCTGTTGGAAACGAATCTTACTCGAGCTGAGCAGCCTCCTTCATCGCCTCCACCATCACCAGAGGCCAGAGGGAGCAAGTAACGAACAGCAGGAAGGGAAGCAGGCAGACAAACACGATGTTGAAGCGCAATGTTCGCGGAGGGAAACCCTCGGATTATCCGCGATGGCCATTCCATGGACTGCGATGCGCGCAACTACTTTCGTCGATGACCGTCAGTGGTATCATGGCGTACTTTATATATTACCTGAGTGAGTGCTCCCTCGTAGACTTTGTGCTGCTGAGACGACGACTAACGCGTTTTTCTCTTTCTAGAGAAAGAAAGTTTCCCTATTCCTTGGACGTTCATCGTGGTGCGTTTCCCCTTTTCTCGTCCGAACTTGGGCGCTTAACTGACTGTGGAATGTGCAGTTGTTTTCAATATCACTCGCGACGATCGCGTCCCTCCTCATTACAATCATCCTATATAACTTTACCTTCCTTTCCCCGCGCTTCAACCTGGGTTTGAACGGAGGCATATCATTTTTCTGGGCCATGGGCCTGGGGATGCTCTCCTGGTCCGTGAGCAGCTCCCACGTTCTGAATAAAGCCTGTACAGGCTCGGTCTGGGGTGGGGAGGCAGAGGCAGGTATATGCAGGGACTACAAAACTCTGTGGTCCATGACTTTAGTCGGCACGTAAGTAAAGTGCTTATCTCTATAACCCCTCAATCCGTTCACCCTGGCTGCTTTCTACGCACAGTGATCTTTAATCGAAATCATCATTTATTGACGTCAACCATGTCATAGGGTCTCTACCCTGCTTGCACTCGCTCTAGACCTCCAGACCTGGAAGAAGTCAACGAGACGTGGGGCATATGTTATGCCTGAAGACGATAAGGATGCACAGAAAATGAATGATCTGAAGAACCCGCGCGTGAGAGATGCAGGGTATGAAGCACCGAGAGAACAAGATGCTAATAAAAGCACGGGTTCAACTACGATATGGCAAGAGCAAGATATTGGATATCACAACCAGTATGGCGCTGAAGAGGCGCACGGTCCACTTGATGGTGAAGAGATAAAAGATATGCGCTATCAGAATCGGCACTTCCGTGACTGAAGAGCAATGCAAGGTGCTTGCCAAGGTGCTTGCCAAGGCGTAGAAAAAAAAGAAAGGAAAGGCAAATGAGGAAGGTAAGGGGTTAGGTCTGGCAGGTCCGGAGTATGTTACGGTGGGATGGTGGGATGGTGGTACGTTTCTGTGCTTAGGTGTTACTGGGGTTTTAATTTCGTGGGGTAAATAATAACAGGACTCTAGAGCAGATAGGTATCCAGCTCGCCCAATTTCACGATCGACTGCCGCCCACTGTTTTCCTATGTTCCAAAGTTCGTATAGCACCTTTCCTACTAGAGCTTTATGAAGTTCGGTTTCCCACTTGACGTTTAGAGTTCCCTCGAAGGATTTGTAGTTCGAACGGATGTTCGGAGGTGTCATTTTTAAGCATGAATTCTGACTTCTCCTACCGTTGCAACCCACTACCGCAAATTACCTTTTATGTGGGGAAACCTGCATTCATTCACAAGGTGATCTACGGAGGGGCTTCTGAAGGATTCAATTCCATGTTCATGACAGTACAGTACTGTACTGCAGAGGATGGGGTAAATACTGGGACTTCAAGCGAGAGCCTAGAATTTGCAAGTCTGTTGCTATTGCCACGAGAACCGCTGGTTCCGCCCCTTGTATACGCGTTTGCGTTTACACACTCCGTCTTCTCCGTCTCTTAGAAAAGAATGGGAGGATCAATAAGATGAGGCAGATGATCTACGAACCCATGTATGAGTCTAAGATTCGCCATGTGGTTTTCGCAAGAAACGGAGCTTGGGAAAAGTCGGTTCAGTACAAGTGTGTTTCGGCCACTCGGCCACGTTTTCGTCATCGAAAGACAGACTTCGCGAAAGGTTCGCGAGATTCAGAATACAAAACCTCGAAGGATCCCATTCCCGTTTGGCGAGGGATAAGGCAGGGAAGGGAACGGGTAGCAATGATAGACAATTCTTATTATAGCTGCCCGTCTCTCTGTTGATCTTAATGTTCCATGAATGTCGATCGAGACTCATGGCAAGTAGACAGGGAGGTGTTTTAGAAATTGGAAGCATATGAAGACGGGAGAGCAAAGGATAGCAAGTGTTAAAACTGCACATCGCACTACCCTTGCGTGCTCTGTCCAATGGATAATGTTGACATGATTACTGAACTACGGATGACAATTCCCAAGTCCGTTTTGTCCTTGATGCATCTCGCATTTCAGATGGCACAGAAAGGAACCCTGACTTTGTTACTTGAACAAGAGAGCTTCTGGACTTCGGCGCAAAAGCATCCGATCGATGTTGTTCAGGGACCTCGACTGATAGAGGGGTGTGCAGGACCTCAAGGAATCATATCACCACTGTGAATGGTCGAAGCTTCTCAAAGGGTACGGAGTGAGCTTGGAAGAGACACACACTCCGGCCTTCTCGGCACGGGCCGAGAGGGATGTGGGGTGAAAGATACTCGATATAGAAGAAAGTGACGGACGGCACGGGAATGTTTCGAGGGGGAAGCACGTCTGATACTGCATGTATATGTATGTGCCTCTTATCACACCAGATTGGTTCTCTTGATCATGTTATCGCTGTGTGCGGGGTTGCTTCCACGGGAACAAACGTGCGTTCAAGGATTGAAATGAGTTGCCATGAGGTTTATGTTTGCAGAACCTGGTTACCAGGTTGAAAAGTAGCCCTTGTCGCATCACAGCTCCCTATTTGTGTTTATCTCCACACTCAGAATTTGGCAAGCTACTTAGACCTGGGCTGCATTGCGACATTTGACAGGCCCATAGAAAGCACGAATGAGGAAGGCGGGAAAAGGAAAGGCACAGGGATAAATAGTTAAACATTAAGTTAAGAATAGAATTGGAGGTCTAGAGGACTAGAGTGACATTCAGTCAAGGTGATCGAAAACCGAGAAGCAAGGTATAGGTTTCAAGTGGGTTTTACTGTGCTAGTGGGCCACGTGGGTATAGCAAAAGACTACTCTCTTGAGACGGATTGTTGAATATCATGTTAACCAAGTGGGCCTGGGTACCGGTGTGACGTTCTTTGGATTGCTTCCTTCAATATCGAATGACGCTGAAGAAGGAGCAAGGTACCGGCAGTACGCCACATTGAGAGGAGGTACAGTAGCAGTACCATCATTGCAGCCTTGCCGGTTGAGCAGTGGGTGAGAAAGAAGTGTGTGCGAGTGAGTGACATTGAACCAACACGCCTTCTACCTCGCCGCCGGAATTCCGGCCCTATTTAACGCGTCTAAATGCGACGCTTAACGCACGCACGCGGCGCGGCGTGAAGAGTGGAGGGGTGGGGAGGGTGGGGAGGGTGAAATGGAATGGAATGGAATGGGACGAAAAGATAAGTGCGTGCGGGCGGCGGGCGTTTCTTTTCCTTATCGCGAATAAATACCTGTGAGTGTATAACCTTATTCCAACCCGGGGAAGAATCATACTACCGCAATATGGTCACCGCACGACGCATAGGGCGGGCTGTGCCTCAAATACTGTACATCGACCTTACCCCCTCAGGTAAATAGCTCGCTGGGAGGCAGGTGCTATTGGCCGCATCGGTAAAACCAATCTGCATTTAGCTACTTACGATACAGTATAGTCCATTATTATGCTGCCTGGCCTGGTCGAAGTCAAGTTTTATGTCGCATGTTGGTTGTGCTGCCTCTCTAAGCGCGTGGAAAGCGACAAACTGCGGAAGAAGCCAGGCTTCTGCGCTTCTTGCCATTGCCATTGACATTGCCATCGCTATTGCCATCGCCATCTTCGATCCAGCCTCCGTCCCCTCCTCTCTCCCCCCCTCTCCCGTGTCCTATACCGTCATGATTCCCGCACTCTGAAGATAGAAACAGAAACATTAGCATCAAGTCCTCTGGCAGTTAGTAGCGTGCTCAAGGGCACCGCTCCTCTGTTTCCCCTTCCC